CCTCTTCTTTGATGTCTTCGCATGCTGTTTAAGGTAAAGCATGAATGAAGAAATGTCAATCTGCAAGGTGTCCATGTAGTTTATGCTGAACACTGAAGAGGACTTGTAGATAAAAGGCAAACACAAGGTTTGATAATGAATGTCCAACAAGGAGGTGTGCATATCTAAAAGGAAACACTCAGCTGGAGAACAGCTCTGCAAACCTTAAAACTCTGCTTAGCCCAAGTTTAAGAGATTAGGAAAAAGTGAGGGTTTTTTTTTTTTTTTTTTTTTTTTTTAAGGGAAGAAGAGATACAGGCAAGCCCAGCCCTTCCTATCATTTATCATTGCATCAGCATTAATGAGTTATTATTGCTTTTTATCTTTTTAATCAAAACAAAATCCCTTCCATTAGCTCAAATCCTCCCATCAGATTAGGCCATTTGGAAGCTCTGATTAGTCAAATCTCTCCTCTCTCCTCAAAGGTTCAGTGAGTGCACTTATGAAAAAAACCCTCAGTTTAAAAATTAAATGATATTAGCCCAGAAAAGAAACTTTGCAGAAGGGCAAAGAGAAACACAGCTGCCTGAAGGGCCTGTTGGAGCACGACACACACAGCCCTTGCACCAGATGTGCTGGGCTGCCTCTGCTCCTAGGAAGGCAGGGACTCCAGCTATTTTTACTGCAATCATGCAGGATCTGCTTCCTGGCTATTCCTTTCACTGCTCACCTCTCTCCAAGGCAGTTCTGTATTATCCAAATGAGCAAGGGAAGTCTGCAACCACTGTCTGGTTTAATTCCATAACCTCCCCGGGAAAGAGCTGTCCTCCCTCCCTCTTAGCCCTTCCTACCTGCGAGGAGGAGCACTCCGGTTCCTCAGCTCGCTCTTCACCGGACTGTTCTCCCCAGATTTCTGTAGGTACATGGAGGGGTAGAAACCCGTGGCTTCATCCTTCCTGCAATACAACACAAAGGAGCAGCACTCGCAATTGCAGCTCCTCAATCACCCCAGCTCTGTCCTAGGCAGTTGGTGGTGCTGGGGGGATGAGTTCTCATGATCGTGAGAGCTAACAGCCTCGTGGCTATCTCTTGAAGTGTGTTTTAAGTCCCAAAAGTGACTAGCAGGAGCAGACAAAGCAACAGCTCACTTCACCAGGCCCTCATTGGCTTATCTTATATTGCTGCTACATGTCCCTGTTGCAAAAGTGCAAACTGTGAGTCTGCAGAGCACAAATGCAGCTGCAGTTCCCCTAAAGAAAGTCCAGATCTGCAGGTCAAGGCTAGGATGAGAGATGAATTTTTACAAAGCAAAATGTGCCAGAATACGTTTTTTTTTTTTTCATCTGCCTCATTCTTGGACACATCTGAACCACTGGCAGAGGAAGCATCAGCCACAATGTCTAACATTCCCAAAGCCACAAGACTGCTAGAAGCAGTTCTGCAATAGCAAGAGCGGTGGCAAGCAGTTCACATATTTCACAACTGAGCTGTGAAAAACAACTGGTTTCTCCTTTCCCTCTTCCTAGATCCCATTTGTCTGATTTCTTTTTGGCATCTCTCACCTGATAACCCACCAGCCATCCAGTAGCTTGTGGATGACTTCTATAGTATCTCCCTCTTTGAGAGTCAGCTCGTCCTCCTCGATGGCTGTGTAGCTTTTCTGCACAGTGTAGAGCTCACCTATATGCACAAAATGGGGACAGATGGATGGTCACTGGTCACTGTCATGTGGTGCTGCCTTCGCTCATGGGACTAAGCCTTTCCTGCTACTGATGAGAACAGGCACCAGAGCATCCACCCTATTTTTTATGCAAGACTAAAGTGCCTCCAAGTTGGTATTCAGGTTTCCTGCAGCCTTATCTGTGCCTGTGGAGCAGCTCAGGTCCCACCCTCACTCCAAATTACTGCAAGCAGTGGAAGTACCGCTGGCTGAAGAGTGTGCTGGAATTCAGATCATCAAATGAGGAACAGGAAGTGTTGTGCTGATAGAATCTGTTGCAGTGTTTTGAAAAACCACAGAGATGAAACCATGAAAACAATAAGCATGAGTTTGCAGGAACCCTTTTCTGTTCTGTGCTACATGGTCAGATGACACAGGGGGTGGATAAGAAACTCAGAGAAGCTGAGCACTAGATAAGCCCTGCACCTCCCTTTGGATGCTGCATTTTGCTCATATGCTAATGCAGTAACGTGCCATGCACCCAGCTAGCTCAAGACACCCAGTGGCAAGCGTGAAATCAAGATGTGCATCCATGATGAAACAAGACAAGCACCTAATGCTGAACTGCGGGTCATGGAAGCGCCAAACCGTTAGACTAGTCCCTCCTGGCAGCTCTTGCAGCAATATCTCCCTGCCCCAGACTGTCTGACTGCAGATCCTGTAGGGAGTCACCTTTGCAGGTTTAGGCTGAAGCTCTGCAGAGGGAGAGACTAGAGCTCTCATGGCTATTCTGGTTATATGAAGATTTTACCTGCATAGTTGGGCTCCTGCTCTTCAGATTCATCAGGACCATCTATGGGCTCCAGATAGGCTGCTGGCACCCAGCCTCGCTTGTTCTTTAACTGGCAAAACCACCAGCCTGTAATGAAAGTAGCCATGGGTAGCAACCCAGTTAGTACCTGCTGCTGATGGGCCCCTCAGCTTCACATGGAACCCGGGAAGAGCCTGCATCCAGGTGTCAGATGGCAGGGAAGAAAGAGGTGCAAAGGATTCCTAGGGTTAAACATCACTGTCTATTCACCTCTGAGCCAGTCATCTCCACTCCCTGGGGACAGGGGGAAACAGGCGTGCATCGCAGGGGAACACACACCTCCCTCTACCAGTTACAGAGTTTTGGACATCTCTGAGGGAGATGTCTGCACTGTGACTGTCCCCATGGGGGCTGGCCAGCCGCTCCTGCAGCCCAGACAGACGCAGATGCTCCCCAGCACCATCCTTACCTAGACACAGCTGACTTCGCCCACCAGCATGAAGCAAAGCCAAACTCACCACCAGTGGGTCTTGCTATTGCTGGTAGGCTGTGTCAGCAGGAGCAGAGGGGCAATAGTGCGTAAAGAAACCAATGGTGGCGTGGATCAGTGCAACAGCAGGCTACAAGCCCCGCAGCCTGGCCATGGCTTCAGGTGCTTCTGTTCTGGAGAGAAGCAACCGGCATTTCCCTGGCTCCGTGCCCTGCAAGGCAGCGGAGGAGCATGCGTGCGTGTGGCCATCAGCCATAGGGAAGGCAAGGGGAACAGATCTCTGTTTAGGTTCTGTAGCCGAAGGGACTGCTCATCTCACCCTGTTTCCTCCTTGGGAGGAAACCTCACATGCTGAGGCACAAAGGGTGGCTACAGGGTTTTCTAGGATTGCCTCATAGTCTTCCTGGCCAGTATTGTCATGTGAACCCATGTGAATGTGAATAGTGCCCCAGCAGGACAGGAAGCAGGGCAGATTTTTTTTTATCTGTTGCTTAGATTTGCTCTAAGCTTCTCCACTCCATGGGGGGATTGCATATGATGTAGCCTGGAGTGCCGTGGTCCCCGCTGGGAGCAGAGTGGCACTGCTGGGTGCTAAGATGGCAGGCAGAAGGTAACCTAGTCCCAGCCAAAATACAGCCCAGGCTGGGCCTGATCCTCAGGGCTGCGGCTCGAGGATGACTCTCCAGCACGACGGACACATACCGCTCTCACTCTTCTCCACGACGTCCACCATCTCCCCTGTTTTCAGAGCCATCTCAGAGCGAGAGCTCTTCTCATAGTCAGAAATCACCCGATATGTCTGCAGGACAATGGGACCTGTGATGTCTGCAAGGGAGAAGCGAGAGACATTCCTTCACCCGAGCCCCTGAGCAGAAATACCCTGCATTCAACTAGGCCCAAAGCACCTTGCAACTTTTCCTGGGCCCAAGCAAGTTGGATCTCAGGTTGTGGACTCAGTTGCCACCAGGATGTGGGGCAAGGCTGTTTGTTTGCCCTTCTACGCTTGATCAGGGGAGCTGTTCCCCCAGTCAGCACTGGAGATGCCCCTGTCCCCACTGGGCCGCGCTGTGTGGAGAGAGCCACGTGCATCGTTCACTCCCCTTGGAGGCCTCTTACCTGTGGGGTTTTTCTTGGAGTCCTTTGGCAGGAGGAACACCTCAGGCTTCTTGATCCTAAACAGGTCAGAGCAAAGGGCCTGCACTTATACACTGGATCCGTGGGGTCTAGTTTGGGCAGGAGATGTCCTCCCATGGGAGCCCCGTGCACGCTACCGGTGCGGCCGGGGAGCGCCTGGACTCACTGGCTGTCTGTGACGGGGCTCGTGTCGTCCGGCCGCACGCTGAAGAAGCGCACGACGTGCCCACAGCGCGAGATCTTGTGCGGCAGGTTCACCAGCGCGTAGCAGTACTCGGCCAGCGTGCCCTGTCTGTTCTGCGTTGACCGTTGGCCGTCGAACCACTTGGGGGCTGCAAAAGAGGAAAAACAGGTAAAAAGAGCAGATGGGCAGGACTGGTTTTATGTTGCCCTGAACAAGAGCGGATTTGGATGTGGAACCCTGGGATGCCCATGGAAGTCCCCAGGAGCAAAGCAGAGCCTCCTCACTCGCCACCCAGTGCTGGCAATGCTCTGGCGCCGCGGTGGCCACCGCTGCTTTGCAGAAGTGCCGCAGCTGCAGCCTCTGGTTCCTCATTTCTCCAGCACGGCCCAGCACCACCAGCAGCACTGGGGATGCCACAAGGGATGGATGGAGCGGCCCCTGTGCCACTCTGGCTGCCCGCTTACCGGGCAGGTGCGGGATGATGCGGTTTTCAGGGTTGATGTCGCCGGATTCGATGGGAAACATCTCCTTAAGCGCTTTCTGCAGGGCACAGCAAACACCGCAGTGAGCCCAGGGCCCGCTGGCCACTTGTCCCCAGGCCATTCGAGCTGGTTCCTATGGCCCCTAGGGCGACTGCAGCGTCACTCACGTGGAACTCGTAGATCTCAGTGAAGCGACGGTAGACCAGCTTCTCAGAGAGGTCGTTCCACTTCACCAGGAACATGTAGACCTGGGAGCAGAGCCAGGGGAGCTCTGTGAGCTCTGTGACCCCCCTGCAGCAGCCCGGGCACCTCACGTGGCGCCTGCCGAGGGCAGCACGTGCAGCGGGGCTCAGCCCTAAGCAGCCTGCAGCTTTGCATGGGTACCCGGACTCACAGAACATGGCAGTTTATCCTCTTCCATGGAGCATTCAATATATTTTTGCTTTTCATTATTGTAAAAAGAAAATGCACACTTTTCACTCTCTTTAAAATAGTTATCCCATTAGTTTTCCCTGGAGAACTGGAAGACCTGTTTCTGCAGATGTGGTCTTTAGGAAGTTTCAGTTTGAGAGAAATTGCTTTTTCTTTGCAGAGCCCCCCACAGCAAGAGCTGCTCCGCTGCAGAGGGGAGCCGTGAGTGCAGGAGGCTCCAGCAGGGACGCACGCCGCAGAAGCACTCACACTGCTGGGAATTAAGGAGGGAAGAGCCCCCCAAGCCCTTCCCAAGCCCACGAGGTAACCAAATCCACAGCCCTGCCTCCAAATCTTGCGTGTTCAGGCTGGAACAGACATTCCACCCTCCGGCTGCCTCCAGCTCAAGGCATCAGTCCTCACACTCCACCAATGGATGCCCTGAGCCCTCCAGCCACACGTATATAAGTAAATATGTTGGCTGGAAAACGCCTGGCCCAGCCACCCCTCTCTCCTCCTGTGTCAGGCACCAGCTACTTACGTAATGTTGGCTGGGGAAAAACCTCTTCTCGTAGCCCAGCAGCTCTATGTGCCTGATGAACATGTCCCCCATGGCTGCCCCTGCCCGCGTCGCTCGCTCCTCCGTCTCCTCCCTGCCCTTGCATCACTCTGCGCCGCTTTTAAAGCCCCTTGAAAAGAGGAAGTCTCTCTGCAAACGTGCTTGCAATTTTGGACTCACTGCGGTTTGTATTGACCTGCTATTTCCCCCTTGGAGTCTCCAGGCAACTCCAGGAGCCTTTTCCAGAGACAGGGAGGAGTGGAGGTAGCTGGGGGGCCTCAGTCCAGGTCAGCACAAGCCACCTCGCGCAATCGGGCAGGAGGTGGCTGCCCCCTGGCCACCCCAGGCTGTGCTGGCAGCAGCTTTGTGGAGGGCAGCGCCTCTTTCGGGGCAGAAACTGGCCTTTCCCATGCTGGGATGCTCAGAGCGGGAAGTCTGACCAACATGAGGCTTTCAGGGCAGCAGCAGATGCGGGTAGTGATGGTCGGCAGTGAGGTCGGGGCTGTCCGGGAAGCACCCATGAAACCAGAGGGCCGATTGCATCCCAACTGCATCCCGATCCCAGGCTGAGCATCCCACATGGATTTCTCCTGCCTGGCTTTGAACCACGGCCACCACTGCCTGGCCCTCGCTCCCATCAGCACCTTTCCTACAGAGATACCAGCAGGACTCAGAAACCATCCGTACTGCCGAGATATCGTTACACTCCCCTGTTTCATCACCACGCTGGACAGGAAAGCACAAGGCTCGTGTCTCAAAGCCAGCCCACTAGCACCACCCGCAACTGCACGAGATGGGGTACCTGGTGGTTGGATCATCGCCCAGCCTCGGGGACGTGGGGCTGCCCCTGCCCAGCCCCTCTCAGTCAGCGTGTGGCTCATAGCCAGGTATCCAAATTAGGACAAACTATTTGTTTTCCCATCTTGGGATACTGGAAGGGTGGACAGGGACCATGGGCCTCTTGCCACCTCCGTGGGAACATGGAGCACTGGCATGGGGCAGGGGTTTCTCCTGGTATATCTGCTGGGATTTCCGCTATTTCCCAGACCCAGGAATGTCCCTAGTGGCACCTGCCTCCACTCCTGGCAAAGGAGCAGGGATAGTAACCCCAGCCATGCAGATCCTTCCCCAGTGTTGCAAGAGCCAGCGAGGCCATGGGAAAGGCGCCGGCACCACGAAGCCCGCTCTGCAGGCAGCAGCCATCCCTGCCTCTCTCCCAGATCCGCTGCTGCCCCACAGGCACTTCCCTGTGATGGGCATTAGTGCTGCCCCGCTCCCAGAGCGGGGAGCAAACATAAGCTTGGAGCAAACCATTTCCAACCCTGCAAGCAGTGACTTGCTGCTGGATCCTGCCCCAGGAGCTGGAAGGGCTGAGAACCTCCTGAGCACCTCCTGACTTGCCTTAGTGGCAATGAAAGGATTAATGTGAACTACAGCTCAGGTGCTTTGCTGCTGAGACACTGAGGCACAAATATGGCAATTTTAAACTGGTTTCTTAGTCTGTTAGCGCGCAGCAGACTTCCTCATACCCAGGGAAAATGAGGCAACAAAATAACATAAAAAACAACCCCCCCCACTCAGACAGGTCTATGCAGCTTCTGCTGTTAACAGTTGTGCTGCTGCCTCACACGCACAACTACTAGCAACATCTCCATGAAAGCTAATTTCATAACTGTCATGATTTGCACTAATTTTAAACCTGGGTCAGATACAGTTAGACCATTACTGGAAACCATTTAATTCACATGTTTCTTCTCGTTTCCTCATTCTTCATCTTGTGATGCAAGAAACAAAACAGCTTGCAGGCTTTGCTCTTGGTGAACACGCAGCTCAGTTCAATGCACATTCCTCCACTACGTGCACTAGTTACTAGCTAGGAAGATGATTTTAGAAGAAAGCTCAGTGGACAATCTGAAAAATAAGCTATTCCTTCTACACTGAGCTCAAATGATTCATATTTTGAAATGTGGCAAAGTGAAGGTTGGCATATGAAAATAGGTGTGGAGCTACCAAGAGCTTCCATTGGTCTCAGGAGTTTCACATTGCTGCACCACGGAGAAACGGGTTTCTGACCAGGTGGCAAGTCAGGCTTGGTTTAAAACACTACTTCCTTCCTCTGTCTGGAGCACAGAATTAATAAAATAAAAGCATTCTGCAGCAACGCACAACTGTTTCAGACTGAGAAATGCGAATGCAAGACTAACATGGACACATTTCTGTACACTTAACAAGTCACTGAACACAAAGCACTAGAGGATTTAAAATTTCTTAGGAGAACGGACTATCATCTTCTTTGCAGTGTCACATGCCTAACCAGTAGCAAAAACTAACTCCTGGAAATTAAAACCTGAAAAATGAAACGCTACTCTAATTTTGTCCAAGAACTGAGCTTTTGTTTTTTAGCAGTTTAAACTTAATGCAAACTAGAGTAAAAGGAAGCCTCGTTTATGGCACTGAAGGCAAATGTTTCTGGGTATGTAAAGTATTAAATGCTCTAATAGATAGCGCAAAATTAACAAAATGAGATGAAAGCATGTCCTCTTCCTCAGTCCCTGAGGAGACAGATAGATAAATAAATAATATCAAGAGTTTGAGCTGCGTACACGGAAATCTCTGAATTTCAAGGGAAAACTACTGGCCAACAGGTGAGCTGGACCTCACCTGACACCTAGTGGTTATCACTGTGACGAGCCCTGGGGTGGCATACATGAGAAAGGTCGAGCTCTGCTATAAAAATCTTGAATCCTAAACTATTTGCAACCAAATCGAATTTAAAGGGAAAAGAACCGGCCTAAGGAACAGGGCTGATTCTGAGTTGAGTTTTACATGGCGGATATATCCATGACATCTACTCTGTCACCACAGAGTTTCTCCACTGGAGCAGAAAATATCCAGAGTTTGGGTAGGTTGTCGCAACTGACTTTATTTAGATCTCAGCCTCAGACCAAATCTTTGCAAGCAGTGCCTCCCAAAGACAGCTGAGGATGAAGAAGGGATGGACCAGCCTTCCTCTTTTGAGGAAAGGGGAAGTCGGGCAGAAGCTCAAAACGCAGAGAGAACTGCATTAATATATTTTCCCCTATTAACACACTTCTCACAGCAATCACGAAACCAGCCTTTCCTCTGACACCAGCATTTGTCACAGTATCTTAACTGCGCGTTTCTATGCAAGTACCGATCAGTGAAATACTGCAGGGGTTATGATTTGGGACGGAAACCATATGGTGAATGATTAATAGATGCAGTGGGCATCCAATGTGGCTCCTAATGACATCAGAGACACAAAGTCTATGCATTTAAGTGGCAGCGTGTAGATCCGCCCTGAGCAAAGCTGAAAATGTCATTTACAGCAGTGCCATGCCCCTGGATCTACAGGGTATGCCCCGTTCTGAATTCTTTCCCCAGCAGAATTTCCTGGGGTTTCTGCCGGATGTTCCCAAGGAACAGACACCATACACTACTACATGCAAAGCTTCAGAAATTTTCCCTAAATATGCAACAAACTCACCCACTCAGAGCTTGATTTTTGTCCAAAAGGCATGACTGGCTCTTCCTTCCTTCACTTGAATTAGTAACAATACTAAAAGTACATTTTTGTTGCCTACAAAATTACTGCCAGAATGTCATTTGTTATAAAGTATATAAATGTATACTGCATGGACAGCCATGAAAACATCAGAAATGCTTTTATTTTTTATGAGGGAATAAAGTTTACCATTTGTGCATAATATGGTCAATCCAAACTCATGCCAATGAAAGAGAAACTTTTACAATAATCTACATTTTCTCCATAGAGGTTATCATGTAACCAGAACTTTACATCTCTTACGGTTTGTGATGCTTCAAAAAATACTTACATTTGTCTCTTACAAGACGTGGGGCGCAGTTAGGACTACAGGGGACTTATTTTGACAGAGTAGGACGCACAGCAGCTTAATTATTTAAGTTATCCTAACTAGTTCTAGATGAACAGAAGGGCATTATCCCACACTCTGCAGCAGAAAAGCTCTCATAGGTCCACAGGAGTTTTACCTACGTTAGAACTGCACGATCAGATTCATCAGACATAAACGATGTGATATTCTAATAAAACAATCACTGCTTTAGCAGGGCAAACTATAACAGGGTTTCATTGAAATCAGTTCCTAATCCCATACACTGAAATACTGACCACTTTACAGTCCGTTTCATTAATGCATACTAACGGTCAGGTGAATCAGTTTATCTTTTATTTATGAAAAACACATTAACTGGGATAGATATCATAGGAAAAACATGATTTCAAATATACAGATATTGTTGTCCAAACAACCATTAAAGGAGTAAGAATCAAAAATTAATTACTTTTTTCAAAGTTAACAAATGGAACTACTGCAGGGTGTTTTTTTCAATACAAAAGCTGCTGAGAGTCATTCAGATACAGTAAAATTCAGCTTTATTGGGAAATGTAGACAGCCTCTGTTAAGTCCCCGTGATTTTAATCCATCATCTCTCCAGCAATGCTGCATCAAGTTGAGTCCTTACAATATATTCCAAAGTAAAATCAGCCATTCCAAATCTACAGTCTTTCTCTGTTTTAAATCAATTCACAGAACTGCTGAAAAAGTAGACATTTCTATCTAAAAGTACAAAAAGGGGTTGTATAGAAGGTACTTCTCTTATACAGTTATATTACACAGCTTAAGACTGTCCCAGCAAGCTCTTCTCAGAACTGGATACTTCTGACTAGGTAAGAAAAATGAGAAGAAAATGACAGAAATGAGTTAGTTGCATTGCAGCTCTATATCTTATTGAAAATATTAGCAGTTTTGACGAGGTTTTGAGTTGTTTAGGGCTTACACTTGGAAAGCACCTAGAGGATGAATATTGTCCTCAATAAACATGAGATGAAATGGGTGTTGGAGTGCTCTCTGTTAGAAGGTAAAACAAATATTTGCTTTGGTAAAAATGTGTTGGGTAACAGAGAGCTTAGAGTATCTGGAAATCCAAACCACTGTAGCATGAAATTCTCTCAGATGAGTACAACCTCTGTGTCTTGCTACATACAGACAGGTACAGCCTAAGCATGCTGAACAAATGCATACAGTCAGTCATATCAAACTACTAAAGTACCAAACAATAAACAGGAGGAAAATATTTGGAGTATTACCAAGTATTGGAATTGGAAAAATAGAGGTCTGTTACTGCTTAAAATTGCCTTTTTTTTTTTTTTCCTGATCTGTAGTACAGCTCTAAGCTGTGAGTATGTACGTAAATCCCCGTCTATCTGGTTACATGCCAACACCCATTGTGCTGTCTCCATCCCCATCAAAATTTCATTTTAGCAATAAGTGAAGGAAAAAAACAACTAAAGAAAAAGAAAAGAAACAAATCTTTGTGCTAAAGCTAAGCTTTTGTGTTAAGCTAAGTTTTTTTGTGAAGCTCACAGAAAAGAAATAAAACTTTTAAACCATATTGATTTTTCATCATGTTTTGTTATTTTACTAAGTGTGCCAAAGTTAGACAGTATCAAAATCCTCCTGAAGAGCTTTCCTGCACACTTAAAGGTTGGAAATATACAGGCTCTACTAGAAACAACAATATTCTTTCACACAACCAGGTCACAGCTCTGCATAAACACTAATCCTCTAAGCTTTCATTTACTCTGCGTCTAAGGTATGTAATTGCCATCATCTATTTTTATTTATAGGCTGCATTACAGCACTCATTTTCCTAAGACTGACTGTCTCACAAATTGTAACACAGCATGCTCAGCACAGCAACAAATGTTGACTTCCAATAAGCAGCAAGTTGTTTTACCCTAGTATTGATGAGGTCTACCACGTTGGGTCCGGTTCTTGTTTTATTTGAGAATTCTCTTCCGTTTCTGTGGCATCTATTGGAAAAAGCAGTAATGAATAAAGAAAAAACAAATTCTTGTTAGTTTTGTTGTTATACTTCACAAAAAGAAAACCCTATAAAACAAACATGAAAAGCATTCATTTGCCATTTTATACTATTAAAGATAAATTAATATCTATTCAAAATAATCTGATTCTACGGAAATTATGCTGACGTCAATGTAAAACAGCCTGGAATCTTAAAAGAGCTCTATTTTAAATAACAGAAATAAAAAAATGGTATTAAAAGTTTAAGAAACTCGCTAGGGGAGAAATGAACTTAATTGAAAACTGAAACAAAACAGGATTGGTTAAAAAACCATCAGCTATAGCTCAGCTGTGGTCTGCAAAGACATGCTGCAGTACTTGTCTGCATCCCCACCGTCATTCAGTCCTCCTCATCTTTGTCCATCCCCAGGGTTGTTCTCTCCTCCAGTCACCTCACGTGATGTACAAGGTTTGAAGCAGCTTTTACAAATACTCACAGGTAAATCTGCATCCCGCAATACAGTCTCAAGGTCTGCCTTTACAAGAAGCTTAGGGTATGACCACTGCTTCACACTTAAGGTGCTGCCTTCCAGAGCCAGTAAACAGCATCTCGCCCTCACTGTGCTCAAGTTATACCTTTTGCTATAGTGATTTAATTAACTTTCATTGCACAAACTCTTTTTTTTTCCAGCATTGGCTAATTTTCAGATATTTTTTTCCATCTGCAGAACTGCTCCTCAATTAGATGCAGACTCCATCATTATTGTATTTCGATCTGCCCAAACCAAATTCTGATTCTGGCTAGTTTCTCGTCAACACACACTGACACGCAGAGAGGTATTTACATATGCTTTAAAAAAAACAATCTGGTCCTGCTGGTTACAGCATTCATCATCTTTTGATATGGTATTTTTCATTTCCAGGAGACTTCATTACAAACTCCTTGCCTTTTCTTGTTCACAGTGACACTTGGAGGTGAACCAAAGAAATCCTGTGTCTGTACAGCACTGCTTGTGCAACTCGGAACTTAATTTTGTTCTTTTTACAAGCAGAGGATATGACGCTGCAAGAAAACTGTTTTTTCACTGAAGCTGTTGGGAAGGTTTGAGGCCAGGCTAATTCCTCACTACTGAGCCAGGTCACTTCCACACGACTGTTTTATATCTCTCACGCTGGTTCTGAAGTGACTTTTAGCCCCTTAACAACTGTATACCTTTGTTCAAGATCATTTCCATGGGAAGGGGATCTGAATGCAGTTTTGGATGACAAATTCAAAGGCATCTTTGCTTACTTCTTCAAATTTCCTCTGCACGTGGATACTCAGGAACTACCTCCATCTTGTAACGTTTTTGGTGATCTCAAATAACTGGCAGCAGAAAGACTGCTTTATGTTCAGCTTAAAACTGTGGGCTTAAAATCTGCATTTAGATGTTTTGCTACTACTTGCTCCCTTTTCAACAAGTTTTCTTCCTGATTACTGCAGCAAGATTAATCTGTATTCAGAGAAAAGAAAAATTACTGAAAACACTGCGACTGCACCTGCAGCTGAGCTTGTAACTAGGTTTGTTTGAGCATGTTGGATTGTCTTAGAGGTCAGTGACACTTTCAGTGAATTTGAAGTAATGGAGATAGGCAAGGACATTTGCCTGGAAAAAAAGGAAGAACGGGAGTGCTAGAAATTGCTATTTGCTTTTCTGGGGGAATCTAAGCAAGATTAGAGATTCAGCTCAAGTTGAGAGTTTCAAGAAGACACCGCACTGATGCCAAGCAGCTTCCATCCCACTGCTGATTGCTATAATGCTGTCAAGATCTTGTGAAAGCATCTGTGAGCTGGCAGATCTCAGCACCTCTTTAAAGTGACACAGAGTGACCACAGCTCTTCCTGATGACCAAAGTCCACCAAAGCAGAGGCAGACACAGCCATCTAGGGCCATAAAGAAAAGCTGAGGTTAGCTAAAGCAGCTTGTACAGGACCAGAGCGCACAGCAGAAATCAGAATCCAAATTCCTTAATGCTCCATGACTATCTCCAAAGATATAAAGTGAGTAGATCTTCCATACTCTATTTGCTCTCCCATATTTGGTTTTTCAATGTCTGAAAAAGAATCAGCTTAAGTATATTCTTGGAGAGCAGGAAGGCTGGATATTTTTCAAGGCTTAAATTCTGGAAGAACAACAATACCCTCCCTCCTAACAAACACTCACTGTAAATTTAGGCCAATATGTCATTTAAATTTCCTGAAAATCCCAATCATTCAGTTGCACAAGCTGTGGAAACCACTGCTCTTAATAATAACTAGATGCATCACTCCGGATATGGACACTCAAGCTCTATATATAGCCATGATTCACCAAGAATAACAACTCATAAATCTCTTTTGTAAAATTATGTGAGTAGCTTTTGATTCAGAGTATTTTTTTTTTACATGTTACAGTATGATATTAATAGAGATAAAAACACTGCTCAGGAACCAAGACGACCCTTTTTTTGTTTTGTTTTTATTCATCTTCCTTTAAAAAAGGATGCAGCTTTGTTCAAAATAATTTAAAAAGACTTGTTGATAGTAACTGAACACAAAGACTCACCTCCTACAGATAATTCTATTAGGCTGGGTTCAGCTGGCTCTTAAATGAAAAAGTACACAGTCAAGTGAATATGCATATGTTTTCAACACATAATCAGACTCAAATATGTTTGTCTGAGAGAGATCTGTAACTCTACAGTCTACTGCAAGACATTAAGAAAATCAAGTATTTATTATAAATTAGTAAACACCATTTCTTACTGCAATGTTATTCTTGAGAGTGTGTTTCACTGTGGTAGGCACATAACTGAGTCCTAGCAGAATACAGCTTGTGCTCATACAGGAAACAGTAAGTTCGGAACAGTTGCACTTAAAATTCTTACATATAATCTAGATTTCAAAAAACCAGCATCCTTTCTGATTAATGTTGTAACATCTTTAGTGGTGAGTGCCAAGGCATGCCTGCTAATACCGTCTATCAGTATGTCTTTGAATCCCACAGCCTACCCATTCTGAAAGGATGTGTACTGCACTCCTCATCACCTGGGAGGACTGGTGCCACTGGTGGTGCTTCTGCTTCAGCTTTCTCCATCAGCTCTAAGATTAGACACAATCACTGTTCAGCTTCACAATGAAAATGGTCCCACACATTCAACACAGTGACAAATTATATTCAAATTCTGAAACTGCTGCATGAACAGGTTACACTCACTGTAATGGAGCCGCTTTGTTGTTTTAAACAGAAACAATATTCCGTATCCTGCCTTCAAGCACTAAAAATTTCCTCCTAAATTCTCATACATTATTCTTGTTCTAAAGAACGTATTACAGGCAGTAGCCTCAGAGGCTTTCAGTAATTCACCTCACTATCAATCAGTATCAGTTCAGCTTGACCATAATGAATGGACACAGATAATGCACAGAAAGTCCTTGCTGCAGTGACAAATTCCCCCACTCCAGTGATGGAAGATGATCAGACACCTGTGCTGTTCTTGCTCAGCTAGCCTCAGTCCCCAATATGATTCAAAAAACAAGGTCACAACTATTTTAGGCAACTGAAGATACAGAGACATCATATTTCCAAATAAGATTTGAGCAACATGACCAAATTCCACTTGAGCTAATTGCACCCTGCCTCTCCCAACTCTTACTGTTTCAACAGTAAGAATTTCAGAAAAAATCAGAATGCACATCTTTTTTTTCACTGGAAGAGGATTCTGCAGCTACTGGAAACTTCTTGCTTATTAGCTGCCAATGCCAAACCTAAAATTAGAGACTCCGTCAGTTGTTCGGTCTGAATCCTAAATCTCTCTGGCGCTCTGCAGCAGAAAATATACAAAAACACTATCTCCCATTTGCATATCAAAGTTATTGCTAATCTTACACCATTCTGTATATTTATCAGTCCACTCTTGTGTTAATGGGACATGCCTGTTTAGTAAGAAATTTAATGAGAAATTTTAATGATAATGAGAAACACACAAGAGACTGACTCTTAGAACTTAGTAGCAGAGGCTCTGCAGCACTAAGCCAAAACGTGGCAACTAATCTCACTACGTGACAAAAATGCATTTGACATTGATATCTCATAACTACTTACGGTTGTTAATCACCAGTCCTGGAAACGGTCTGAGAAAAACAGAAAACAGAACACAACATTTACTTATTACTCCTGAGGCAGCCTCACCTAATGGAGGTCATCCTGAAAGAAGGAACAGAAAGTAGCTGAGAACAGAAGGAATCATCACACTGTTTCTTGGGCACTGTGGTTTGGTCTCTAGCATTTTTTAAGTGACTTGCACAGAAGGAGTTAAATCCTTCCCTCAGTCACAACTGAGAGATTAATTAACAGGGGGATCACCTCTTCTCCACCTCACTTGATCTTAAACTTGCAGATTACGTGCAGGGGTCCTTTCAGGTTGGAACTCTTTAGAGATTAAGAGTAAAGAATTCAGACTTTGTAGTAAAATGATGTTTCATCAATTTCTCTCTCTAAGGAAAGTAAAGCTTTTAAACTCCTGTGAGGTGGTCTTTAATTTGAGGAGTTATAAAAATTGAGGCATTTCTGCTTTCAACTCCTGACCTCCTTTTTAGTGTGATTCCAAATTTGTGCAAGGCTACGACATGTTAGGACCATGTTTTATAATATGAATAAACAGCAACTCGACTGCTAGCATGCTGCAATGTGTAATACTAACACTATGATTTTTCTCCTACCTAACCGGGCAGTTGCAAATTGGGCAGTTTTGGTCCTACACAGAGTTACCATCTTCATTCATGTTATGGATACTTGGGTTTCATATGACCTATTAGTTACCCAAAACAGTAAACTTCTTCCTCCAGATACCCTGAAATTTCTGTTCTTTCGAGTCTCCATTTATTCACACTACAGGGCTGTCCTCACAACATGGGCACGATTGAATCAATGAAAACTACATACCGAATGACAGTAAACTTGATAAACTCTGCTGATTCCAAAATCTTCCTCATTGAGCTGATTTCAAGGTAACTGGGAGCTTTGAATGCCACACCAGGAGGCATTCCATCCACCACCACACAGCCAGGGTTGATGGTGATTTTCCTGTATGGGACTTTCATAGGAAAACTCATACCAATTGCCTCACCTACGTGAGAAAATTAGGTCAGGTTTATTTTCAAGTCTACATATTCACAATAACATTGAATTAGTAGTAAAGCAACTAGTAAAGGAATTACTAGTAAAGGCAGTAAAAGTAGTAAAGGCACTAGTAAAGGAATTCTAGATCAAGAATCTCACTAAGTTGTTACTGGTGTCCAACACAAATATACCATAAATTTAAAAAAAAATACATACAGGAAAAAATATAAGTTAGATTTAAAAAAATTATCCAGTCTTAAGTATTAATAAGTCAGGATTATAATCCTAAGAAGAATCATATCTACAAGCAAAATAAACATTTCACTCATGTTTAGACAGGAAGAGGGAGGGAACAGGAAGGGAAGCAACATAAAGCAATCTATATGTATGGGATTTTGTTTAAAATATTAAACTACTTCTCCTATGAAAGATTCTTTCTGAAGTCAAAACTGAATATTGATTCATACGCAATAACCATATTTGTTCATTTTAATGACTGCACATATTTTGCACCACTAGCAACAATTGAGTAACATTATATGAACAAGAGAAGTTACATTAACATCTGTCTAAAAATTAATTACCAAATTTCCGGCTAAACAGATCATTTACTTGTTCTCTCAGCTGTCTGGCCTTTTCTACTTTGGACAATCGCTCACTTTCATCATCTGAAAGAAATGGATAGAACAGTATCAGAATTAGGAACATTTTCTTTTTTCCTGAAGGTTTAGCAATGTGTGAATGTGTACTGGAAGCAGGCATACCAAAATGTTTTGAAACAGGAAATTTGTTCCTCGTTCTATCAGTAACACAGAATTGCATAAAAAAGCGAAAATTCCTGGCTGTTAAGAAACCTCTCAAATGCTTCAAATAATTGAAATTATTCAAATTTATATTTAGTAAACAAACTAGAACTCTACTTTAGTTTTCAGTAATCCAACTAGGGGGAAAGAAAAAAAAATCAGCAGATAAAGCAAAAACAAGAGCACAAGAAGTAAGCTGTGTAGCTGGACAGCATGCATACCTGGTATAGTTACTTGAATGATGTTGAGATCTTCAACACCTGCAGCTGTGTTCACCATGGCACTGGTTGTGGTGCTTGTTGAAATGGCCATATTGGAAGAGTTATTTTTTCCTAGAGGTAACAGAATGAATTTAAAAGACAGTTGTCCAAAGTCTTCAATGCCATATACTAAGAAAAGAAAGATTAAACTAGATTAAAGCTTATGTTAATTATCATCAAGCACGTTTTCTGAAGACTTCAAAAAACAGGAAGAAAGATCAGGCAAGGCATATTTTGTTCTTTTTAATGAAGAGGGAAAAAAAACCATAGCACTTGTGGTTTATCTACTAACGATTTATCTACTACTGTGGTTTATCTACTACGATTTTTGATATATCACTTTTCTTAGAGTGAAAACACTGTAACAGCTATATAAAACATAATCAGTGCATGGAATACTGTTACAAAGCACTCAGTTACAAAAAGTTGCTCAGAAAGCCCTGTTAGAAGATGGAATAATACAAGAGTTAGGGACATATGCAGAAGAAAAAAAAAAAAACAGAAAACCAAATCAATCACAATACAGAATGAAATTTTCAGGAATTCATTAACACCAAGCAGCACTTCTCATTTCTTTTTAATCCTTGAAAGAGATTATTATCTAGAATACTAAGCAGTCATACAACTCACTTTGGGGGCTTCTAGCAGAATGTTCCTTAACTGCTGCTTCAAACATCTCAGGCCTGCAAGCAAACAGATTGAAGATTTCCATGTACAACAATAAAATTATATTCATTTCATCAACAGTAAATAAAGTGCAATATTCTAATACTGATATTTTAAAGACAGAAATTGATACTGTACACACAGCATTTTCCTAGACCAGTTGATCTAGGATGCAGTGGTTAAGCCTCCAGAACTTCTCTTCCATCTACACTGGAATACAGATGTTGAAGACTATTCTAGATGAGACAAATCAGTTCTTGCAACCTCAAATATATGAATCTACCCTTCTCTGTCCTTAATATCTTGCTGTTAAATTGTAGCTAGAGTAGCCTACAGTGGTTCCACGTAACAGGAATTAAAACAGTGATGTGCTACTAACTGAATGAAATGAACTTCAAAATCTAGATCAGCTCTTCCCCACTATACAGCTTGTAACTATCATTCTGAACAACAGATCAATGTACCTTGCTCCTCATATATAAATGCTTTCTGAGCATTTCCTGGATTACTAGAAATATTCCAATGTGTATTTTAGACTGCTGAGAAAGGAATTCAACAATTCAGCAAATGAATGTTATTTCTCAGGCTGCAGTTCAGCTCTAATAGAATAGATTATCAGAGGCACATGGGAGCCTTACTTCTTAATAATGAATTTTATCTTAGATTTGTTTCTCAGGATTTTCTCTAGCCGTGGAATTCCAAAGGTAGAAGGTCGACGGAATGGCACTCCCTCCGGTAGGCCCTCCACAAAGAAATCTTCTGGGTAGGATTCAAATAAGGCAAAAGGGACCTTCACTGGTTCAGTCAGCCCCAGTGCTTCCCCTGAAATGCAACAGAGCAAATAAGCTACCAGCAAGACCACTCATATGTTTATAAGCAAAACATATGAGGTATAAACTCAATATAATAAAGCTTTTAATTTCCAAAACAGGCTGCTGTAGAAAGAGACTGAATATGATGGGTTTCATGTTTCTCCAGGTACCATCCATGATGAATGCAGTCACACAGCAGCTGAAATCACACAAAATTACTAGGTAGAAAGAAGAATGCTTAGAAATGTGCCCAGATGTGCAATGACTAGGTCTCTGGGTCATTTAAAAAGTTGAAATCAAACCATAGCTTCTCCATTTCTAAGCCCAAGTAAAGTAAATGAAAATTTGACACTATAAGGAGAACTATAAGTAAGTTATATAAGAATGAGGAAACACAGCCTACACTATGTTAGGATTGCAAAACCTTCAAAATGAGTGTATGAACACATCCATGACACATCTAACTGCACATTCATAATGTGCTGTTAGCATAACAGCATCTTGGTAAAGTAATTGGTAAGCTTACCACATTTTTCATTGAAAAGATTTTCGACTTTCTGCTTTAGGTCGGTGATTTTGGCATTCCAAGCCTCTGACAGGAAAAAATGGAAAGCAGTAAATCATTCACAGAATTAATCTTCAAATAATGTTTTTATAAATGTTTAATAAATTACTTATTATGCTTCTTAACAGATTATGATGAAATGAAGATAAACCAACTGGCAATCAGTTTGCAAATGTCATAGAAATATGAGTAAGGAATTCTTTTATCAGTATAGGGGCCAAGAAGTGCACATTATTCTAAATGATGGAGAACTGGATGTAGATGAAAATAAGAACTTCCATCATTCTCTAACTGTAGAATAAAACATAAATGCAAATAATCTCTGATATTAAAAAAATGTCAAAATTGTCATTGATGACATTAATGGAACAGATACATGCTAAATCATATAAGTATTTACCAAAAGAAAATTCTCTTCCTCGTGGTTTGAAACACATATTGGATCCATTGGTTTGAGAATTAGTTCGAATAGCTGTTGTTTGTGGTTTATGAGGACCTGTAGAAATACGTTATATACATACATACATGCCGACAGCAGAAGCAAGTCATCATATGAAAAGGATAATACATCATACCAATAGGAAGAACTTAAGCTCTACATTAAGAATGCAAAGAAAATCTTCAAAAATTCCTCTGGGGTTGAAATTAGGCATATAATACTATTGCTCACATTTCTCATTTTCTGCTCAGGACTTTAGTCCTACCTGCATCACTGCTTGGAATAAAAGGCCCGAGAAAGCTGTCAAAACCATTACTTTCTCAAAATCCAGTATTATTCAAAAAGGAGAAATAAAGCTGTATCTAAGCTGGAGTGTATTTGGACTCCTGAAGTGAAATCGAGTCTGCTATACAAGGTGAAAATTAGAACTTGTATATGTTAACTATGGGATATGAGAACTTCTTCCACAAAAACAGTATTTCTTAATATTTGTTCCATACCTTCGTCAACAGTAACTTCAATCTCTGGGATCTTTGAATTGCTTGCAGGACTTCGTGATCTTTTTGAACGCTTTGGACTCATTGCTAAAAATCAACATAAATCAAGCTCTAATGAAAATACTTTATGTGAAATATACCCTCCACAGCCAACAAAACCACACAGTATTCTGCAAATTGCAGCAAAATGAATAGCTTGTGCCTGTGCACAGTGTAGTCTGCACTGAAAAATCTGAACAATACAGTGAAGCTCACAGACTTCAAAAGTGCTTTTGGAGTTCATCCAACAGATAGGTATCACACTCCCTCAAATTTTCACTTGATTAATTTAGAACAAGAAGACATGGGGAAATTCATGTTTAAGGGGCAGCTTTAATACACTTTATTGTCTAAAAAATTCAGAAGTTAATAACTTCATGATTATGACAGAAAATTTTAAAGGACTTTGTTATTTCCTTACGAAAGTTAACAGTTATTAACTTCAGCTCCCAGATAAGCTAAATAAAGCTTTTAATAAGCAAAGGAAGAGCTGTAGAAATTGTATCAATTCAATGATCTTTATTTGAAGAGAGCAAGTTAAAAAAATAAAAAAATGTTTCAAGTAAATATTTTGGGGAATAGTTAACGTTAAGATGAACTTGCACTGTAGCCTCTAAAGTAACGTCTTTTATCTGCAAATCCTGTATTTCCAAACTGTAAAAATCCATAACTCTGCTAAGAAAGCAGAAAGTGTGTATTTATCAAGTGGCAGCAGCAAATAACACTTAAACATTTACCTTTAGTATTTATTTTACTAGCCAGTCCTGGAGGCAAATAGGAAATGACAAGCTCAGGCCTAGAAGTTGAGCAGAATACAATTCAATCAATCACAAATGCAAGAAAAATACAGCATAATTCTACACATTTACTGAAATTCAGATGAGTTCTAACTTACATAACACCAACCGCATATAAATTCCTACTAGAAAAAGAAGGGTGACTCACCATGTACTATAACCAGAAGAAATGAGAAAACATTAATTTGCCTTCTATATTTTTTCTGAGTTTTTAATCAGAAAAAAAAAATCAGGAAAACAAAAGGAGGAAAAATATTTCCAGGTATAGGGCTATTTTTTTTTTCTCCCAGATCCATGATTTGGGAACACAAATTATACATTTATTTCAGTCTCTAAGGAGGGTATATCCTTTCAGGAGATAAAATATCTGCAATATAGTTTTTCTGTTTCATGTAAATAGAATTTTGGTTGCATTTAAAACTTAAAATTGCCAAGAAGAAAAATCAAATAATTTCTAAATCAGAAGTAGAAATAATTGAATTACAAACATACTTTTTAACAACAAATTTGATTTTGCCACTCCCACGAACAATTCTTTCAAGGCGTGGAATTCCAAACCACGTGGGACTCCGGAAGGGGATTCCTTCTGGTAAGCCTTCGACGTACAAGTACTCCGGGTTTGATTCAAAGACAGGATAGGGAACTCTCACTGCCTCTGAAAGCCCCAGGGCTTGGGCTAAAATAAAGATTTAATGACAGTTTACACACTGGAATGGGTGGTATTTTATATTAGATGATTTTAAGAACTCTGGTTTACCGAAGCACTTAAATGCAGAGAGAAAAAAAAAAAGAAAAAAAAAACCCACCACCACCATCACCAAAAACCGTTTAAACAGATTTTCTACTACTTTCTGTAGAATCACTGCAAGTGGGGACTTTTTCTCTCTTGTTACAGTCTCCTTGCAGGTGCCTAACTCTGCAGAATCTAGTATTATAGTAAGTGAGAAGTTCTTTGATTCTAAGTACTTTTGTACACATACCACTATACCCATCCTAAAATTGAAAAACTATGCCCTCAAATGTTGTTAGAAAATCATCAAGTCAGTAAGAAGTAGGTAAGAAGAGTCAACATTCCCTTTCTCTCATTTAATCTTACATACAGTAAAACTTAAAACTTTTCTATAAGAGTTTTAATCAAAGCAGTACTATAACATAGTTAATTTGATATTTAACTTACCAAATTTTGTATTAAATATCTCTTCTACTTGCTTTCTGAGTTTGGTGATTCTCACATTCCAATCTTCTTTCACTGAAAACAAGAAATGGACACATACTATAGGGTATTATTCCTTTTCCTAGATAAGGTAGTACATTTGACCACACTTCTTCCAATTCAAGAACTTGGAAACTTCCAACACAAACAGAGTAGACAAGGGCCGGCAGGGAGTAAGGATTATGAAAAGAAACTTAAATGATGTACATTATTCCCTACACATATTGGAAGATCTGTCCAAACATAGTTACAAATTTCAATTAATGTTCCAAGTGGGAGAACTTGCACTTCAGAGCCTTTCAGTGCAGGAAAGAATTATACTCTGATACAGTTGGAATTATTCTTAGAATCACAGAGTTCTTTAGAACAGAACATGAAGATTTAAGGAGTGGTTTGCTAAACATTTTGATTAACATAAAAAAAAAAAGAAAGCCCCAAAACCTTCAATCCTGATTTCTGCTATAAATAATAGTCTATTATAGGGATGCCAGCAGTCAATTTGTAGCTCAGAGTAAAGGACAAACCAGCAGAAATAAAAGGCATTTCTTTCCTGACAAACACCATTAAGGTTCATTACTTTAGTCATCACAGAAAACAATTAATTGTCACTGAGAACTGTAAAAAAACATAAATGAAGGCATACAGAATTTTCAAAACATATTTTCAACTAACAAGTTATAAGATTCAATTTATTACTAGCTGTTTATATTATCAAAGTTAGTAGAATTAATGCTTTCTGCAATCTATTTATTTCATAGATTTCACAGGACTCCCATCCTGCAAATGTTTAACACCTGCATCCATGTTTATACTTATTCGCCGGTTGGAGTCTAACCGACACTGGAATTCGACAGAATAATTGACTTAAAAAATACAATAAAATTTTCTGCTGGGGACACCAGATTATAACTTTGCAACAGTACAATATGCTGCTTTATAAAAGGCTAATATTATTCTTTATCCAGATGAGGTCTGCATCAGCAAATAAGACGATCTCTGGCATTTACCTGAGGAAATGACCTGCACTGGTTTCTAAGCCCAAGAAACCATTTACTATGTTTACCTGTCTGACATCAAGCCCTATATATCCTCATAAGGTATGTGGGCACTGGTAATACCAGACTTGCTTAAGTTAAGGAGAAATATGTAATATGAATATCTGAAATAAGAATGCTATTCTGAACATACAAATAATTTGCATTTAAGAATCAAGACCATTTCACGTCAGTTCTTTCAGAAAGATGTTTCTTCTTTATTGCTGTCCCGTCTACTTACTGCTGTTGCTCTACTATCAGATTGTCAGCTACACTGTGAAATTTGAGAATATTCAGGGGTTTAGAGAGCTGAAAAAACAGGTGCTGTTTTTCCCTTCTGCTCCATCTTTCTACCCTCTTGCTGAGTATGAATCTCTTCCTAAAATCCAAACAAAATCCACAACAAATTGCGATGGCATAAGAACATTACTGTTCACACAATTATATCATATTCTTTCTTTTTTCTTCTTCCGAAAACTCATGGTTTTCTCTTAAAATCACACTTTGTTTATTTTTTTATATTTACACATTTTTGTAAGGGAAAAAAACTAGGAAGCCCTGGATCTTGGTTCAAAATCCTAAATCATAGCACTCTTATGTGTCAGAAAATAAAGACAGGATTAATCTGGACTCTTTTCTTCATGTTTTTAGAAGGCATGATAATTCCTTACCGACAGATGTCTCAAAAGGCCCAACACAATCAGTAGTAAAATGCTACAGGACTTCAGAGGTTTAGATCAGGGCACCACAGTAACTAGGTCTCTTAAGCTGCAAATGCGATTCCTTCTAGTCATTCAAAGATGGTTGGACTGTGCCATAATCCAGCCATTCATCTACATAATGATCAGTTTAGGTTTTTAAAGCCTCACGAAGAGCATGACACGCACAGAAGGATTACTTTTTTAAAAAAATGTTTTATTGATTCACATTTGTTTTCCAACCAGTCTTTGACATTGTCCTATGGAGACAATATCGGTCTTACCTGGTGTGTTTGACCTTGGTTGAATGATTTCGGTAGGAGTGACAGCTAGCAGTTCTGGCCTATAATGAGAAAGCACATAATCTATCCACTCTTAACACAAATTAAATAATACTTTTTATATTAGTAATTGAAAAGTATGGATTTTTCTATTATGTATTTCGCCCTCTCGTAAAAATGTTATGAGGATAAATCGGGAGACTCTTGTCTGAACTGCAAATGTCCTTTTTCTTTATAAGACAGTATATTTCATTTGCCCATCTGAATGCTTTATGACTTAAAGAAAGCAAGCATCTGATTAAACAAAAAGCAAGTTTGCTTCCCTCCTGTCCTTTTTATTTTAAAAAAAGAGTTTATATATTAAAACCAACTCTTACCTTTTGATTACAAATCTGATTCTGTTGCCCACTTGAATTATTTTTTCAAGGCGAGGAATCCCATACCAGGATGGGCTCCTGAACGGAATGTTCTCCGGCAGACCTTCAACATAGAGCTCAGTAGGATGTGCCTCAAATTTCTGGTAAGGGACTGCTTTAGGCTCAGTACTCCCCAGGGCCTCGGCTGTTAGAACAAAACTAATTCAATAATCGATAGTTTGGTCATCTTTACTAAAAGCCAGCTAAACTCCATAACTCCCAGGCTATCACAATCCTTAGAACAATATAGAACATGGAAATCCAGCAGACTCCAAGCTTCAACACATCAAAAACAAAGATTTATCATATTGTATTATGTTATATTGGATAGTCACAATGCCAGGAGGAAGATGAACAGGCTCTTCATCAGGGCATAAGGAAGTGGTTTCATCTACAGTTTAAAATCTATCATACGGCATCATGAAACAACATTTTAATCTAGCTCTTATGAAGCTGATCATTTTTTATACTGGGGAAAAGATAGAAATTAAACAAAACCAGAAATGTTCAGATTCAAATTTTAAAATTACTGTAGTGGATAAAGATAAGTAAATGATCCTTTGTTTTTCTTCAAAGAAAAAGATAATCTGAATAGGATGAAATTAAAAGCAATTAGTATATATATATATATATGAGATTTAGATTTTTTTTTTTTACTACAAACTTAGCTTGTTGTATAAACAGTCTAGTAATATCTTTTTCTCTCTCTCAAAAAAAAAAAAAATTGGCCAGGATTTTTAAAATTTGGAAATCATTGGATCAAAGGTCAAATTCACGCTGATGTTCCAGAAAATAAAGAAAGCAACCTTCAAGAAATACAAAAATCAGGAAAGAAAATAAAATAATCGTATTGTGCTCACCGAACTTTTTACAGAAGAGCTGATCTACCATCTTTCGCAGTTTGGTAATTCTGGCGTACCATTCCTCTTTCACTACATTTGAGAATGACACAGAACAAATTCAACATTCCCTCCTTATTCCAGTTAACCATTTTCAGTCCTACCGTTTATACCAGTTTATAAATTTCCTTTAAAATATTGCTTTTCAATACACCAATACGCTACATTTTCAGCTAACTTATTTAATACAATGCTAAAGTACAGATTTAACTAGGAACCAGAAAAAAAATTATCATAATTCTGTCAAAGATGACTGAATTTTAAAGCTAGAAAAATTTCCACTAAATCCACCAAACTTGTGACATCATTCCAGCTGCAAAACACACCTGCATGTTGGCATCCAGAACAGTGCCGTCACTATTGGCTCCAGTCTGCAGGCTTGGAATTATTTTTTCTGCCAGTTCCATTTTCTAAAAATTTCTCTTGATATTCAATGCATAATTTGGCATGGATAGGCGACAGAAACTTGCTTTCATGCAATTTTCACTACTCATTGACAACCCAAATGCAAGCTTTTGTGAGTGGCATATTTCGCCTTGATTCTTGTTGTACATTCAGGTCAAACTTCCTGCATTCACTTCTCTGCCTTTTTTTTTTTTTTTTTGTGGCTATTATTTTTAAAATAGAGACTAATGGCTGTACCAAATGACTGCTGTAATTCTGTCATTCTTCTTCAGATGACAAAAAACATGTTCTAACTCTCTGAAATGTTTCCTTAGCATTATTCAAGACATGAGCTAAGACATAAATGTGACAGTTTTGTAGATTAGTGAACAAAACAAGTTTGAATCCAGTTTGTCAGCATTTAATCCCTTGCCCGTTTCTGCTCATCGGCTCCTACAGAGGCATCTTGGGTGGAGTTCCTGAGACAAGACTTTGCATCTGAAGATAGTCGTGGCTTTGAGTCTTGGTAAAGCCAGGCAACATAAAGTCACTGCTCATGACAGTGCAATCTAAATGAGTTAGCACCAGTGTTCTAAGCTGCAGGGATTTTATAGGATATGCAATGTATCTGCTTTGTCTTCATTATCAGTATAGTGATATTAAATATGGCACAAACACAAAGAGGACTAATTAAAAAAAACAAACATAAAAGACAGTTAAGTCTAGGACACAGTCATTAACCTAGCTACTATTTTTATAGTCAAATTTGGTGCTCTAAGGAATAGTAGGTTATTAACATTTAAAACAGTAGTTTAACTTATACAGCAGGAAAATCTTAATTCCTCCACAGACATATTTTCTTTGCTTAACTTAGATCCTAACGTTCAGTCTAAGCACAGTCTTTGACACACTTTTACAACAGAAGATTATGAGACTTCTCATATAATACAACATAACAGTGTTGCAGTAATACAGATACTACCATTTATATGCTCTTGTCTCCCTGTCTGAACTAGGCATCTCTCAGATATTACTGAAAATTCACAATTCCACTATGTCAAGCTTACCAGTTAATATTTTAGGGTTAGAAGCAGTTTGTTTTCTACCACCACTTCAGATATACAAGCTTTCAACCCTCAGCTTACTTGGACAATCAGCAAAATAAAGGCCTGAAGGACTGTGAATAAAACTGGCAGTTTTATGTACATTACCACAGTGGAAAAAAATGGAGGAAAATAAGTCCAGAAAAGTAATTTGCCAACTATGCAAAGGCACAATTCTTTGAATTTTTTTTTTTTTCATCCCAAACAATTTTTTTTTAAATTCCAGCCTGAGACAATATGGGTTTATGGACGCCACTGTAACAAAAATCACTTCTTGCAGTCTTGTTTTTACTTGATGATTTTTGCTAGCTTTGGACGCATACTAAGGGGAGGCAAAAAATGTAATATCAGGTATCTGCCGAAAAGGATTTCTTTCAGCAGTGTATGAGTCAGGTGGTCAGATAGCACTGCCTTTGCACTAGTGACTTGCTTGGATGATGGGACTTTATTTTCATGCACATTCTACAACAATAATTGTCTCCATAACTAGAATGTTCATTATTGCTTTTCAGCTGATCTAATTCTAGCAAATACCAAATGTAAGCAAATGGTACAGAAAAGTCTCCATGGGATAGACAGTTCCCTACTCCGTGAACTTTGTCAGCTATGGAAACTATTGCTTTTTCTCAGTGTCTCACGGGTTAAAAGCTCACTGGTTTTCCTTGCGGCCAGCTGCATCAAATCCTGTGGACTGTGAGTATTAGCACAGTACTTTGAAAAGACAGTAAAGTCTTCGCAACAAGTAAAGTCTTTGTGCAAACTTTCACATGCTAAGTCATTGTAATTATATTACTTTAGAAAAATGTACTCTTGAATAAAGAACAAACACTGCAAATAACTGGTAGACTTTCAAAATATTTCCAGGATTTAGGAATTTTACTGAAAAAATGCTAAATTTTACTTTCAAAATAAGAAATTATTCGCAATGTGTTTTCAGTAAAAGCAAATGCTAGCCAAGACTATGACCAACAGACAAGTAGAAAATCACACTGTGTGCATACAAGTCACAAATGTGAAGACCTACCTCCTGCAACTGGCTTGTCCAATGGTACATCTTCACGTGTTGAATTCAAAAGCTCATGCCTACATGATTTAAGACATGTGAATCACACCAAGAAGTTATCAGGACTGGATGGAATTGTTCTGGCAAAAACATTTTTTTTTTCCTTTATTCCTGAGATACCCATCTCTCTGAGCCATAATACTCCTTAGGAACACAAGGATGTCATTGAAATTATGTCTGAGGTTCAGCATGTACTCCTCAGTCAAAACTACCATTGGAAACTAAGATACAAATTGAAAATTCAACCTTCAAAAATAAAAATCTAATAGCAGATACGTCTGTTTTGCAAATACATAATAGTTTCATCCACTCCAGAATTAAGAAAAGTTTCAAAACTAGCATTTCTCATGGAGCTGGATTTTTTTTTTTTTTTGGCATGTTCTGGTTATCACCAATCACTGAACTAATAAGCAGCATAAATTAATTATTGCTAATAACTAAGACAAATTTGAGAGGAAGAAGCACCAGCATTATAGGAATGCCTAGATCTATTCATACTGTATGATTTTCAGTTAGACAAAAAGTGGCAAATTAACCACTTCCTTTCTTATGGTTATCTGCAAGCTTCAGAATTCAGAATTTAGAAATCAAACTGTCTGAAAGCTCTGAAATTTGAAAAGTAAACATCAATGCTAAAGGTGACATGCACAGAAACAAAGACAGTCACTTCCACGGATTACAGGCTTAACCATAGCAACCAGCATATTCCTACTTACTTCAAAAATGTTGGGATTAGATCCCATGCCACTGAACAGCAGTAAGATGTCAGCTGTTACACACAGTACCTTCAGAATACCGTATACAGTACCTTCAGGATACTGTAAATATGTTCCTATATTATCACATTTGGCTGAAGCAAAGCACCAAACTACATTAGGTAAGTATATGCACACTAGCAAATGTGCATCTCAGAGTCCATTGCCAGTTTGCTGTGCTGGACAATCAAATTCTCTGCAACCCTGAATACCAGTGAGTTCTAGTGCTCAGCATCCATACAGTCTCTCCTTGCCTATCCTGAATTCCAGATGGTTTGAGGCTCCCTTCAAATTCCATCTGCCTTTGTAGCAAGCAGTCTCACTACAATTTTTCAACAGAGTATGCCTAAATTAAAAATTACTCTTCAGGAGTGGAAAAGAATGACATTTGGAATTCCTGAAGACCTGAAGAGTAGATAGAATAATAGCAGAAGTAGTAACATGTAAAATAGGGACAAAAACATAAAATTCCTTACTTCTTAATCACAAAGCGGATCCGCTCCTTTGCTAGAAGTATCCTCTCAAGGCGGGGAATTCCATAGGTGGATGGCCTTCGGAAGGGGATTCCTTCTGGCAGTCCTTCCACATATAAGTCTTCCATGTGTGACTGGAAGAGCGGATATGGGATAGACACTGGACCTTTTGCTTTTATAGCTTGAGCTTTAGAACAAAAGGAAAATGAGAGTGTTAGACTAACTTGTAACCTTACCCAAACTACCTGTTTGCTCCCACTGCTACCACTCTGCAAAGCATTAAAACTAGCAGATAGACACAATTATCCAAAGTCTAACACAGGCGCCTCTGTTTGTCTCCAAGAATCATTAACATGTAAATGTTTCCTCATTGCAAATCAATCATGATTAGAAACAGAATATAGTGGCAATCTCTCTCCAAAGATATCTGACAAAACTAACGCTTATGGACTTGGTATAATGAGAGAAAAAGGCAAACTCTTAAATGTAAGTACCCAAGACCTGAGCACACTGGAGTTCTTGGAAACTGAGTGTAACTAAAAAAAAAAAAAAAAAAAATCAAGTTTCAAACTTAGGTGCCAAATACAGGCACATAATTTTGAAAATACTCTGCTCATCAAAGAAGATGCTCTCCCTGGTTGCTTTTTGTGCTGTCAGTCATGGCTTGCTTCAGAGTCAAGAACAAGACCAAAGCATGCCAAAATCCTGTCATTTCTGATGTAAAAAGTATAAATTGTTTGAAGATGTGTTTAACACATACCATATTTTTTTTCAAACAGTTCTTCCACTTGTTTTCTCAAGTCCGTAATTCGTGCATTCCACTTCTCTGCAAAGAAATGGACGTTAGATAACAGATGAAGCAAAGAATCTCCTGCAGAAGTTTTACTACTATTAACTGAAATATGCAGCGTGCTTTTACTGCTCGTATGCATACAGATGCCTACTATGGCCTAAACTGTCTATGGTATAAGCTGTATTTCAAAATACATGCATACATTGAGGAAGAAAAAGGATGGAATGCTTGTGATTAGCACCTGTACAAGTTCTGGAGGTAAATCAAGTTTGAAAAAATACATAAAAGGACAAAAGACAAGCTAAATAAGTCCAAAAACATTTTCTCTTTGGTGGGTCAATCAGCAACTCTCACTACCATCAAGGGTGAACTCAGTTTGCAGCTGCTGTTAACTGTCACAGAGCTGAGACCTCTTCAGTTCAGTGAGCTCTCAGGCAGGCTCAGCCCACCTCTATAACACAGGCTGGTTTTCTACAGAGGGAGACCAGGCAGAAAGAACATCATGCCATACTACAATGCAACTATATTAAAATATTTAAAATATTGTTGTTGCTACATTCTTGGGAGAAGTTGTTCATATCTAGCCTCTCTCCTGGGCATGTTAGCAAGCTCAAGAGAGTAGTTCTTGCATGAACTACTAAGCTGTCAAGGGTTTATTTTTCTATGTTGCTATATTTTACAAACAAGGACTAAACCCCCGTCTCCGGTGGAAATGTTATATGGGTTACAGTCAAATATATTGCAATATATTTAAAATATACAGCACAGTATACTGCAACAGCGAATACAGAGAGAATAGGCAACTATAAAAAAAAAAAATCAGTTTCGCTCACATTTTCATCAACACATTCACCTTCTAGTTCCTTTTATATTTTACAAGTAAATTGCCAAAACTAAGCTAGAGAGACATTAAAAAATTGAAAGGGGCTAATAAGCAGGGTTATTTTAAATCAAATGTCAACATTCGGCTCAGAACAATTACCGATAAAAAATCTCCACTATTCTCACACACTTTTTTGCCTGTGCAGCAAAATTAAGATCTAACTTCCACTTCTTCCACTCCTACACCTTCTGATACCAGAGAAACACTCTCCTAGCTTAATACCAATCCAAAAGTCTTCCCTAGCCCATCTATGGGTTTTTCCTTCTAGACCATCTCCTGACACATGGGGGTATGGGTAACACCAACTACAGTAAGGAAAAGCTTAGGAAAAGTTAGAAAAAGCTCCTGAAATATTAACCACTCTATATACTCTACTAACATCATAGTATTTTTCTGACCCAGTCAAAACTAACACTACACATGGAACTGCCTATCCATATTAACGACCTCTTGAGAATAAAGGCTAAAAGGAGAGGTACAAATATGCAGCAACGGCCATGGGAAATAAATGTCTTACACCAGAACATCCGCAGCACACGGATGTGTTTCTGCGGTGAGAATGTTACATAAGGCATTATGAAAGAACACTGCTAAAATACTCCATTTTTTGTGCTCACAAGGATCAATCAGGTTACTGGGTCTAATGGAGTTCTTCAATTACTTTCCCAAATGTGGTTCCCCTGAGTACATCTTTGTTGTTCACAGATTTTATCTAGGAAAAAATAGTTATGCCAGGCTGCTGACCTAGAGTCTCTTGTAATTCAGTATACTACGCTGTAATTCTACTGTAATACTAGTGATCTCAGTGTGATTTTCATCCAAGAAATTAGTTGACAAAGTTCTAAACTTATTTTTATTAAATTATCCTGTTTCTAACCTTCAAATTGTTTCTGTTTCATTTACTGCACCTCCTAAATGGCTCACATGCTACAGCAGTGATTAGTTTGCAGAATCTATATTAGATGGTCACTTACTGTGACTAATGAGAAACAGAAGAGCGTAGCCTAAAGATCTTTCTAGTGCTACAATGCATCTACAAAGAGCCCTAGGCTCTTAAATATTCCCACTACTGCGTTCTATTACTGCAGCATGATGCCATCTAATACCATTTTAGAAAACATGACAGAGACAAAATAAAGTTTTAATTCTAACCTTACCAAAATTGAACTCTCTCACTTTTCTTCTCCCAGTATTGGCAGTTTCATTTACTGACTCGGTGCTCTTTGGTCTCTTGTTAGGAGGCAAGTAGTCTTCATCCTCTTAAAGAAACAACAGACACAACTGTTTTTAATGTCCAGACAACTAATGGGCAGCACTGGAACAGTTTTGAACCTGAAAGCTCTAAAGCAAGCATGGATCTGTGCTTCATTAGAGGGCCGAATTTTGCAACAAATTACTTATCTGCGTGGCTTTTGGAAGCTACTCGCCTGCATAGGAACAATTTGTGTAAGTCAGGAAAACAGCACATGGCACAAGGTGGCAAAAACCAAACGTCTGTCTCATTTCCTAAGGGAAACAGAGCTATAACCAGAAACAAGAGTGGTTCTAGGCTCCACACCATCATGGAAGACTCCAGCTGACCCTCAAAATTCTCAACATCCATGCTTAACTGGGAAGCAGTATTCCTGATGTGACCTCACTGGTGCCACTACAAATTTATGAGTTTTTCGGTCAAATCAGCAGTATCTGCAATTCTGGAGAAAAGAAATAGCTAAAGCAGACAAAGAACATTAAAGCTATTTTCACATACGAAATAGCACTTCCCCAGACCATCATGTGTATGGTCTATATATAGAAAGCCTAATATTATATATGGACATCTCTTGCACTTACATGCTTGTATTCTGTTTTGTTAAGAGAAAAATCTTTCAAAAGCATTTTTATGGTGAAGGTTTTACATGCACAGAGAACCTAAGGAATATTCTTTAAATCTGTTCTGATGAGGTAATGCAGCAGTTATTTTATTGCTGGATAGAAAAAAAAAGGTTAAAGTAATTCCCAGAAGTGTCAACTCTGTCCTAAAACATATTGCCTAATTTCTCAGTTGATAATTTGGTGGTCTCAATCTTAGCTATTCCAGTAGCACACACTGCAACGGCTAATCTGAGAAGTGTTTTAAAGTGGTTACAGGGCATATAATTTAAAAATAAGAGCTGCATTGCTGACTGCTAACCACTCTCCTACCACGTAAGCAATATTGAACAGTTTCACTGCTATTTTCTTTGCAGCAGTCTTGCTGAACTTGTTGATGAAAAAAGGAGGCAGCAAATATAGAAGTTTTAATTTTGTATCTATCAGTTTCAGACAAATAAATTGAAGCTTCGTCTACATTTTCTGTAACACATCACTTCTGTTATGGCATGATTCCTTTTAGAAGCTAGTGTTAACTAGACATTTTAAATAACTATCATGTGATTATAAAATGTCATGTTTTTAGAATGCATGTTATAAAAGGGTTTTTTAAGTCTAAATTAATGTTTTTTAAATGATGAACATTCTTAAATACTGATGCTTGAAAAAGACGTGAAAGACGAACATCTGCCACTCATCATTTCAATATCATTTCACTATCAAACATCATTTTGATAGCTTCAGCACGCTGTGGTTTTATAAATTCTTTGGACTAGGTTTGCTTGTGAAGTAGCACATACTTCAGACTGCAGTCAACACTGGCACATAATCCTATTCATTCCATGCCAAGAATTACAGAAATGGGTGTGTGACTGCACATCTTCTTTGACTTAAAAGTGCCCAACAGACTGAAATCAAGGAACCAGAGAACTAACCTTCAATGGTAACCTCTACTTCAGGATCTTCACTTGTTTCTGTAGGAATGTGCTGGGAGGAATCTGAAGGGACAAAACCAATACTTTTGACTGATGGACACAGAAAAGATTTCTAATCAATCACTCAGTGATTATATATATATATATATAAACTTACACTTGTCAAAGAAGCCCACAGGTGCAGTGAAACATTTTGCATTCACAGTATGCAGTAAAAATGGGAGCGAAGGTACTTTACACCATAAGCCTTTAGGAAACTCTAGACAAGGCTAAGGAGGTGTGGATTATACATGCTAAACTGCGTGTGCAGCAGGACAGAGTTGGTGTTAACAGCAGCAGGAAATTCCTTAGTCCCAGTTTAACAGTATTACCAGAATTATAAATCTTTTTCTCTTTGTTAACAAGAATTGCTGAAAATACAAAGGCTGTGCCACTTCCAGATTTTTTTTTTACATATATCATTTACAACAGCTCAGAGTGGCTGCACTCTAATGATTTTCATGACAGGTTGGAAGGCTAAGAGTGAAAAATGAAAATGACAGAGATATTCATAGTCACGGTGCTTTTGCCAGGGCAGTGCACACCCATATAATAACTAGGATTAGGTCTATCAGTACTCAGCAGGAGGAGGAACAATTTGAATTTAATTCTGGTAAGGTTGAAACAGTGAAGCTCATTATGTTGGAAACGACTGCTAACTAACTATGTTAAAACTAAGTATGAGTGTATGAAAGAATACATGATAATTTTTCTGGCAGAGTAATGCTCTCCTTGTGTGCTTGGCGGAGTATTTTCAGATCTCTACGCTGGTAGTTTAGAGTCACTTTGGCAGCAAGTCTGAAGGAATCTCCCATTTTCATGGCTCTTCACCTAACCCTGTGTATGGCAGAATCCGAGCAAGATCTACTGAGATTGCTGAGTAGATCAACAAGATCTACTGAGAATTTCTTTTAATATAGACTATTCAAAGAAGGAATGTTCGTAAACCAAAAATCTAGAACAACAATCTTCTCACAAACAAAAAGGCTCAATTTGTGAATCTTAAAAATTCACAGCAGCAAGACCACTCTGACTTTTTCAAGTGAAAATTCACAGTGTGAAATGCAGATTAGTATTTTCCAACATTTGCAAGTGGGCAAAACAGTATTTTTAATATCAATTGGAAAATACTGGAAAAAAAGTGTAGAATTTTTGAGCAAATACATTGCAAATATTTTTCAGCTCCTATAAAGAAGTCCTACCATTAAGCACAAGCTTCTCACATACTTGTGTTCATCTCACCCAAAACTAAATGAAAGCGATGATCAAATTGTAGTCAAAAACATGTAAGGAAAGGCTTATTAAAATTTATTATCAATTATGACACAGACAATTTCATGGGAAACATATTTGTGCTTTCAAGAACCACTAGTGTTTTAAAGTAATCACCCTGATGACTCACATCTTTGCTATTTTAGAAAAAAATGATTAGGTTTCTGTATGTCTCTTTAATTGGAAATCTGAAAATTAAGGCAAAGGAAATTAGCAATATTTAAAAAAAAAAAAAAAAAAAAGAAGTTTCAGTACCCTATCTCAAATAACCAGATCTCTGAAAAGTAAAACTCACATATTCAACTTCCAAAAAAGATGGGAGAAAAATACAACTAAAAGATCTACCTGTGTAGGTTTTTGCAAGAGCAATTTTTTCATCAATCTCAGATGTTTCTGAAGGGCCTGCTTGGGAAAAAAGAGAATGTCTCTTAAACTGGGTCTCACAACAAACATTTTCCCATTCCACAAATGAATTTGTCAAATAACTTTTAACTCTTCATATATCACCCACTCATTTCACGCTTTCCATAAAGGAGGACTTGGAGAAGATTGAAAAATAACCTTTAATTCAGTTAAATGTATAACTCAGTTCAGCAAAACAAAAATATTGAAGGGCTAAAGTCAGGAGGAGTGAAGTGAACCTTTCCTGGACTGATGAACAGAGATTCAGGCATACTATTAATAAAACTTATTTTCAAACATGAAACACTGATAATTATATCTTTTCAATGAATTTTTAATCAGCTAAGTCCTTCTCCTGTGATTTGTTAAAATCTGCCCTCCTAGGGAGCTCCTCTTTACTAATTTGTATATACGTTAAAAAGACAAATTCTGAGAGATTAAAATCATTTACAACATGGCAAATTTATTTGCTTTTAATGAAAACAGCTCCTTTGCTGCCTATGTACGAACTGCTTTAAAAAGGCTTTCCGCACACAATCATTCGAACAACTCTTAAAAGATTAAATTAATACCACGAAAACTCTACTGCCTAAAGCTGTGGCACTAGTGCAGTTAAAGTGAAGGACTGAACTACTTACAGCACAAACGGCTCCACACTGAAACAAGGAGCATTTTATAAATAGAAATAGCACAAGCCGATGGACCTAGCACCGTGTGTGTGGTATATCAGAAGATCGTTCTAACCAGAACTGAAGGATCTGCACTAATCGTTCCAAGAGAGGTGCATCAATTCTGTGTCATCTGGGACTACTATCTGTAGAATGGTGCAGCTCCCCAGAAATTATGGTTGTATAGAGACAGCTTTAAGAGTATTAACAATGGATATTAATAGACTCAGAATAGGAAAGAAAATCCTACCATTAACTCAAAAGGCAAACAGAATATTTTAGACTTACTATTTCATATATGCAAATATAAAATAGGACAGAAAAGTGTTGTCACTTTTATTTTAAATGAATGTGATTTCAAATGAGGAACCAAGACTAGATTGGTGCAAGGTGGTGTCTTGTTGGTGCAAACCCAACATTATTACGAGTTTTACATGGATTTCTTTCTGCAAGTACTGCCTCAATCCGCTCCTGTCCCTTCTCTGCATGATGTAGGGCTCACAGTGAGTGTTGGTTTGTTTAGCCCAAGGATGCTCCTTTTTGGGTCTGAACATAGTTCCCTCAAGAGCTGCACTAGCACCTCTCAGATCAAAGTCCATATTGGGGAGCAGTGAAGGGGGAAAATGAACAAGGAAGATGCCTCAGAATATTGGCACTGTTATAAGAGGCAAGATAAGAAGTTTTCATCAAACCAGACAGTGATTTGTAGCTACTATAGGCGAGTATCAGTAGAACACGACCCCTTTAGATGCCCTGGAAAGTGTTCGCACGTCCTAAATTTAGTTTTATTTATGAAAATGTATTCAGTGTATGCAGATAGAGAGATAGGCATGGAAATTTTGTATGCAAAGACAGCCAAGCAGTTACATTTTCAATAGAGTAAGAGAAAGCAAAGAGACGTACAGCGAGAATAACACTTAAGCAATCCAGGATTTTAAGAGATAACTACATTTGAAAGTTATTTTGTTTACCTGGAATATTATATTGATAGTATTCAGGATCCTCTGATTCCTCTTTCACTGTTACTGTTGCCATTTCCAAAGAAATTCCTGTAGAAACATCACAAGAGTCAAATATGGACACTAAGAAAAAGTGGATTCTTACAAATCAACCAATCTGCAACATTCCAGCTGATGTCTATTCCAAAACAAGAAGAAACGACTTGCAAATGCCGAGACGAATGGCTACAACGAGAAAAGCAAAGGGACATTCTGGTGTTCCTGTATTCATGTTCGGTCCTCATGAGAAGGGACTCAGACCTGCCTGCAAACTAGGCATCCCTCCAAACACGATCTGAGATATGAAGAATTAAAGCCCTCTTCTCCATTTTTGTTCACTATCACAGCCAAATAAGAGGAAAATAAATAAATAAAAGACACAGATTTTATTACCTTTTCTGCCAACGGCACTACTTGCCTGCTACCCCTACCCCTGCTCACTTCTCTACACGTCCAAGTTCAAATACAGTTTAGATCAAATTTCACCTTCGAAGGCAGCAACAATTTTTGGCACCAACCAACCACCCTTGGTTTCCTTAAGCTGAGCTATTCTCTACATATGCCTAAGCACTCCCTAAACCTTTTCAAAACAGCCTGACAAAAGAAGAATTACTTAAAGTGTCTACAAAGAAGCACTGGAAAGAGTTTACCTATCAGCCCAGAAAATAAAGGGCTGATTCCTCTGAGTCTTTCCAATGGACTGAACAAAAACCTAAAGTTAACCCTTTACATATGTTAGGCTAAAGTATGTATGCATGATAAGTGTGATAGCTTAACTTAAAGATAACCATTGAGGGTTATCAAATCACAAGTTTAAAATAACAAAGGGCTAAAAAGGCAGAAAACAGGGCAAAACATTAAGAGCTTCAGTCAGCAAAGTGCTGAGGAGTACAGCGAACTACTAACTCAACAACTCACAAAATCAGAAGTTTATCTTTAAGCACACCTGCAATCTCACTGGCTTTAGCGAGATTATTCAGGCATGTATTTTAAAGCATTCAATATTGCTCTGCTACAGACCATACTGCCTTGCAGGAGCATGTCCCAATTGTGTAGGAACTTGTGAATGCTTGATTTTTTTTTTAATGTTAATTTGTGTTAATAAACAGCATTTATGTTAATAAACAGCATATTTTATTATTATTTATTTCCATTTTAGTTATAAAATGGTATTCACAGTTCTGGCATTTTCTGTATTTGAGGTAATAGTATAAAAATCTAAATGTGCGCTCCACATCAGGGATAAAATCATCCTGAATTAAAATAAATAAAAACTGGTGTATTCCTTTTTTCCTTTTTATTAGGCATAAATACTTGATAAATTTTGCAGCTGAAAAGCAGTCTTTTGCAAGGAAAGAAACACTTGTTTCTTTTCTTTCTTAAAGGATAGATCTTTGCAGCTCTTATTGATGATGCTTCCTATTCTATGATGCTCAAATACACCCTTCTGAACAGAAACTGATTATTCAGTGTTTTCCAGAGAAGAACAAAATATTGAACGTACCAGAATCCTCACTTGGTTCCGTTTTTACTTGAATAGGAGGGCAACTACAAAAATAGACAAAAAAAGAATCAAACTCATTTACAATATAAGGAGTAAATGCCACATTTGGGGAAGGTTCCTCAGCTATAAGTGTTGCCTAGTAACATTAAACTCTGTTTATTGTTTTAAAACTAAGAAAATAAGAGTTAAAGGATATTGCATTTTGCCTTGTCTGAACTAACTCAACGGAATTGCCCAGAATCTCCTACGCCCACATTCTTGAGACACGCGTGACTGCCATTTCATGAGAAGTGCACCCATTTGTAATTTATTCCAGAGAGAGTCTTGTTCATTTGATTTTTTTTTAAACTGAAGAAAAAGGGAAAAAAGAAACAATACATCTGTTCCCCACCACTGCTCTATTATAAAAGAGGATATACTTATCACTGACTAACAGACCTGAATTAAGAACACTTACTGGGCTAATTAAGTTGAGGGAAAATGTTACCATCTGTTTAACTCATAAGCGATCCCTAATGGTCAAGAAAGAAAATTCAGCTCCATGTATTTTATGATCCTAGGCAAGCAAAAGTTATTCAAAAGTCAGTTGGACCAAAAGAGAAAAAAAATCTTTACAAGAAAAAGCCTATATAAAAATATACAATTGACACCAACTTGCACTACACAAAATCATCTGTTTTTCAAAAGATGAAATACTTGAAGACAGGCAAAAAAAATATTTTAAATTCACCTTCCACCTGGAGGTATAATAGAATGTGAAGGATCTGACATATGAACTCCTAAAACAAAAAACAAAACAAACAAACAAAAGACAATCTGTAAGTTTTCTGTGTGCCATTTATCTTAAATTAAAAAACAATTTAATGAAGAGGTAAATCTGTACCCATCTTGAAAGTATTTGTGCATATTTTCTGTATTTACATAACTAAAGGATACATCTGAATAAATTGTTTTATTAATCTATAAAATAACTCCAATTAAAAATTACTTCAAATGTGCACAATCACTATGCTTTTTAAACACTCTATCATGGTATTAAGTGAAAATCTTCGGAAAAAAATTTTAAGAAATCCTTCATCTAAACTCTTCCAAAACATAGTGGATGGTTTAATATTCCTTATCTTTGTGTTACAGCTAGACACAAATAGATTATGTTTTTACAAAGTCACTGGGGGGCACACTGAAATAATTCTTTCTTTTTCCAGTATAAATATTACATTCTTGGAATTTCTGTAATTTCCTATTTTCTAGTCTTCCCACTGGGCACAGACAACAAATTTCTAATTTCATGAATTCAGCAACAACTGATAGCTGGCTACCTGTTTCATCTCGGAAAGTGAAACATTTCTCTTTTGACTATATTCCTACAGAGATTCTAGTAACCAGCATGCTTCATCTTTTTCACAGAAGAATTTCTCATATAGATGAATGCTGCAAGCAAAGCAAGGTCACAAAACGAACATATAGTAATTTCTTCTAAGCCAGAAACGAATCTTCGCGGTTTCTTCAAAGTCACTCTAGCTCAGACTTGTAAATATGGGCTTATCATAAGCACTGTAACACCCAACCATTTTAGAAGATTAAATCAATTTTTAAAATGAGATATAAATACCCATATCAGCTGGATATTGGAACACTGAGTACAGCAAAGTCTATGCATCTTCTGAAAATTCAATGCACAGCCTTTTATCAGCTTAATTAACCTTTTTCTAAAATTAGGATACGACTTAATTCTTATTAAGTCTAAATTCTGTAATAGGAAAAAGAATAAATTTTAGAATAAATTTAGAATAAATTTTATTTCTAATTAGCTATTCATGGCAGAATTTCTGCAAAGTTTTGTACCCCCTACCCAAGTGTTCACATCTTGTGTCACTATTGCTGCCCTACTAACTACTGGACGTAACGACACTGCATATTTAAAAGGAAAATGCTAACCTGCTTCTGTGTAGTCTAAATATTAGTGCTAACTTACCCAGGTGTTTCTTCGGCTCTAGGAAAGGCCTGTATTGAAATAAAAAAAAAAGTCTATAGCTTTCGGAAAGATAAAATGTTTTGGTATAACATTAAAGAGGTGGCACTCCTGTTCATCTGAAACAGGCTAGACTATATTTATTTTAAAAAAATAGAATTTAATTGAAAAATGTAAGTGAACAGGATAGGGAGTAAATAACCTTTTGATGATAAATGAGATTCCTGACTTATTTTCCAAAATCCATTTCAGGGTCGAAACACCGTAATTTGCTGGATGTTTAAATGCAAGTCCTTCAGGCAGGCCCTGAACTACCACAGCGGACTGGTCTCGATGAATCTTCTCGTACGGCACTGGGACTACTGTTGACTTTCCCAAAGCTTTACCTGGAAGCAAAAGGAAATTTGTGAGAGGCCAGGAGTAGGCAAGCTACCAAAAGTTGGTGGTGCTTAATCTCTCCTCACTAATATTTCCAAGCCCTAGAGTCCAGATACACTGCAATACCGTTCCTTTTCTATTAGAGCTTGTTTTCTGCTTCACTGGGAAGACAGGAAGCTTTGCCTCTAGAGCCATGAGCCAGAGGTAGGATCCATGAGAAAAAACAAAATCCAAACTAATGTACACTCATGACGTGACTTCTTAGCTAGAAGATTAATTCTTTAAACAAACAAACAAAAAAAACCCTTACTTTGTAGAGGAAACAGGCTTCCTATTGAGCATACCAAAACTCTGCCATGTGTGCTAAAGGCAGAAAAAGAAAATATGCAAATCTGTACATGAATACAAATAGCACAGGTGTTAACATGTAAAAGTAAATATACTGTTCTATGCAATATTCTCAGAGTTCACATCCCACAAAACTTATTTAAGAATGAAAACTAACCACGATATACGTATGTTTTAGAACTGATGTTAAATGTAAAACTTATCGTATTGATAGCAGTTGAGTTGGAAAGCCAAGGTTATACAATACTTTCCCTCCAACTCAAGTGAAATGTTTGAAATCTCAAACATTTATTTCGAAGACTTAATAGCACTCACCATAGCAAAAGCAGAAAAAGTCCTCCACGGACTTTCTGAGGGCTTCCAGTTCCACAATATCCACAGTCAGTCTGTTTACAGGTGATACAGTCTTTGTTTTCTGCAGCTCTGCAGCTCTCTCCTCTTCTGTAACGCCTGTAAGTTATTTCGTAAAATAAAAAAGTAATTAAAAACGCAGTGCTGAATCATCTGAATTTGAAACAGACGATTTACGGGAGTTTTTGCTGGAGAGGTGGTAGATCTACGCTGAAAATAAACGGGCAAAGGCTAAACTGACATTATGCCATGATTATTATATGCTGTTTACGACCTTCAGAAATATCACCCTCTGAGGTGTAAAAACAATGATGAATTAAGAGACATGTTGAAATAGATTTCTATCTTTGAAGAGATAGACTCTCTTCATACAGAGACTATACGGACATAGGGACTCAGAGCAATACAGCTATTCCTGATGGCTTATTCAGCAGTTATGCTATAACCCTTTCAATTTATGCTGCATGTCCTTATCTGATTTTCCTTTTTATGCAAGGGTTCTGAATTTTGGTACAACAGCTCTTAAGTACAACTCCCTTAGGACAGAATAGGAGAAGCTGCAATCAAGCTGTTAGTATACAGCACAGATAATGAGGAGATCTAAGCACTCTCTTTTTCTTTCACCAAAAGCCCTTGCAAGAAGAGTGAACAAATAACAACACTTTTGATTTTACACGGCCAAAGAAAGAGATCTGTTTCATGCTGTAGCCTTGGGTCTGTATTACTCAGCTCCTGTAAAGATTTCCTGAGAATTCACAGCAAAAATGGGCAAAAATAACCCAGATATATTCTGCATTTGGAAAAAAAAAAGCAAGGAAGATTCATGTTCATGTATGCAACAGAATGCTCAATGTTCAAGTTGCACCATGACTTCACAACATGCAACACAGTGAGTTGAAATACTGCAAACTGCATTACAAATGCTGCTAGTATAGTAATTTTAGGCTAAGATAAGAAAACCAATATGGACAACTATTTATTATCAAAATGATGAAACTGTTAGTTTCAACAACTGATAATAAATACATCATTAAATGAGCTGAAAAAGCAACACATTTACTAAAAATGCATATACCCTTTTAAAAATTTGCATCTCTGAAACAAGTATCTATTCTTTGTCCTACAGAGCACACGTGCCCTGGGAATCCACCTCCAAATTACTTAGAAATCTCCAGCTCTTCGAGTCTGAAACTACTGCTTTCCTTGGAGATAAAGAATATGGGTTAGGGCAGGGCCTACTGTAACAAAAGAAATTATGCAAAAGGGAAATATTACTTATCCTTCACACAAGAGCTTAATTAATGACAGTTCGTAAGATTTGCCTGCAGATGCCAGGATAAACTATCAACTTCTCCACATACTGCTAAATCTCATCCTGTTTTATGTTTTTCACCTAAAAGACTGATTCAGTGAAAAAGCCTTTATTGTCAATAGCTTTTCAAAAACTAACAACACCTTCTAAAACACAAGCAAAACAAAAATCAAGATGACACTGCTCATGTGTCATTAAAAATTTAAAAAAAGATGAAATACAAAAACTTTCCTTCTTGTTTAGAAAAAGACATTACTTTTGATTTTTATTACCTGATCTGTATCCAATTTCCTGAGCTCAGATGGTACCTCTGTTTACCCCTCTAATCTCTATTAAATTTGTCAGCCAGTTGCAATCTAATTAGACAAAGGAGATCAAGTCCCAAAGATAATAAGTTTGTACAACAGCTCTGCACAACAGAACAGGAGCCATCTGTCTCGTCTTTCTAGCAGCAAAACCCAGTTCAATCAACGTGGCCACTTGCCAGATGAGGAACAGGGGCTAGCTGGCCAACAACAAGGCACGTAACAGCCATCCAGCTAAGCACGTTCATACAGGAGGGTGAACTACTGTACCAAAAGCCTAGAAAGAGATTATGGGGCTTCTTACCTAGCTGGAAGCCAAAACAGACAGCAAGTCTAAAAATATTGTTCTGTTTGGTAGGCAACCTCTTTCAGAATTGTGGCAAATGGGAATGCAAAGATTTAATGATAGAAAAAAAAATCCAGTAACTAAGATCAGATGCTATTTAGATGCTGTTTATTCCAGCAGAAGTGTCCTGCTGGAGCCCCGCAGGTCAAATCTGATGTAGGAAGCCATTTTATCCAGTTCCAAGAATTATACTGTGATAATGTTCGGGGCAAGTATTATGAAAAAGTATATTGTTTTCAAAGTGGATATTGTTTAATCTGTTTTACCTGACAGTACAAAATACACTTTCCAAGTAACAAATATCTTGTAACTGGAGTAACATAAAGGATCTGGATTATCAGAGCTAACATAAGATTTAAGCATACACATTCATAGAAACCACAGCTGATACAGTCGAACACAAGCATAGACAGGATGCCAGGGCATCCCATGGTACAAAACCAGAACAAAGAATGGTCTCTCTCTCCTTTGGTTACAAATCTACCCAGGGAGATCAAAGGAGTTACCAGATCTTCTGGATCCCTGGTCTGTAGAAGATGCCCCAGTTTCATCATATAAGCACACAGACCCCTGGTACACCAGGATCTAGGAAGTTTCATGTAAACAGTCTCTCTAGGTTTTCAGGGAAGCACTTTACGAAACAAGATCTGGAGAAAAGCTGAAATCCCCATAACTGAGAAAGTCACTAGCCAAGAATGTACAACACAGGCAAAATCCAGAGCCTTACCATGGATTATTGAATCCTCCAGACAAACTCTTAAGGAGAATGTTAGCTAGCAGTTAAAGCATTTTCAGGAGCAAATTTATTTTACAGATTAAAACAGCTGCCTTTCAAGCAATGTTTACTTAGCCAGACACAACATTTTACAGCTATTGTTTTTAAATCCCCTCCCAGACTGATTCCTCCCTCATCCCCTGCTCCTGACATATTTTCTCCCTCACCTTAGACAGGAAAACATACATTTCTTCAGTGAATAAGCAGTGCCCCGCAGCAATATTTTCCTAAATGAGCACATCAACACTGCCCCAAGGAGTCACTAACTGTGAAAGCTAACTCCTAAAAGATTGTCTTGTACTCAGTGCACCATCGTTTATATGCACAAAAACGTCACCATTTTACTGTAGCAACGCATTAAAAATAAGACTGTCAAAATACACATGATACAGATGTAACTTAATATACTCTTGCCACAATGGTTTCTTTCTTTCTACTAAACTACAGTTTGTTACAGAAAAAAAGAAAACCAAATGTAAAAAAGAAAAAAAATATACTATAAAAATAAATGTAGCTACATATATATAGTAATGCCAATAATAAGTCCAAAGTATACATCTCCTCTACAGAAATATGAAGTGATCTGAAGAAAACAACCATTGAGTTGAGAGAGATGATTCAATAGCTATTCAATGCCCTGACCAACCTTAATGAGGGGGGAAAAAAACGCTGCAGAGATGGAAGGGGAAAATGCAAAGGTGAAGTAACCTGCACTAACTAGGAGAGAAAATATTGTTAGGCTTGACAGTTTAACACATTATTATGCTCATTCATGATATCCTCAAAAGAAGAAAAGCCAAGAACATTGTCATCCAAACCTGAAATAAGACACTAAGCAAGATCACTGTCAACCATGGCTTTTAATATTCTCAAACAGCTAGTTTGCCACAGCTAATATACTTACTGCATGTAGCCACAACACACTGAACTGTGTTTCCGAAAGATAATAGTATAAGGTAACATACATGAAGTAGCTTGTGAAAAACAAAAAAGCAAGGTTGAAACTTACAGTATTTAACAAAATCCTTCTGAAAATCTTTCCTAGAATTGACAAAGGCTCTTCCTCTCTCAGTTCCAACTACAAACACATCTGTTTCATATACAGCAATACAGGCAACTTCTGCCTTGGTCTTGGCAAGTTCTTTACACTATAAAGAGAAAAAAAAAAAAAAAAGGCTTCTATTACCACGGTTAAGAGTGTATTTAATGGAAAAGTATATAGAATCAAGTAAAACAGTTTATTACTTTTGCAGCCACTGTTCACCCCTCAGAGGGTGCTGCAAGTAGCCCAACATTATCCATTAGGCCAAGAATATTTTTTACCTCTGAAATGATGTTCATCAGGAATCTTACAGTATCTCAGAAGCACTGATGAAATTAAGGCCCTGTTTAGACCCAGCATTTATAAAACTGTAATTGTGAAACTGTAAAATTGTAAAACTGAACATCTTGAATGCTCTATACTAGTTTCAACTTTCAACAGAGCATGTACGAGTTTTGCCTATTCACATCATGCTATTAATACAAATTGCACTGTTTGGAAAAGGGTGGCTGCAAGCAGGAAGGCTGTCTGCAGCTCGCCCGGTCCTGCCTGCTGTGGTCTGGCCCAAATGATGTCTCTAGAGAAAAGGAAAGGTTGCCCCTTTCCTATAAGCAATGAAGTGTGTTCTGCTGGGAGGCACATTCAGCAGCAGGCAAGAAAGGCAGGAAGACTGCAGTGCAAGAGAAAGACAGCAAGATCATTAAAAAGTGACCACTGTCCACCTCTCCTAAGATTCAGATGATAACTTGCTTCAACCTAGAAAGATACCAATAGTTTTTGCACTGAGAGAGAAGCTTGACACGCAAAGGCTGCAGGAAGAGAATATGTCCTTTGGGAAAAAGAGCTTGAAGCCAATTTTCTTATTTTATAACCAGACCACACTAAGTTCAAGTGCTATAAAAAGAAAAGCTTATTCTTATTTATCATTTAATACAGCTGCAGAGAATGAAGTCTTTAGCAGTGTTCCAACGTTAAGGAAAGAGTGCAAGCACTTTCCCCTCAAAGTTCCGACCAACCTGAGATCCCACCACACAAGTGGGACTGCGTTTCCACAAAACAGAAGATGTGACAACTTAAAGCATTTCCTGAACAAACTTTGTTGAAATGTTATAGCATCCGAGAAGACATCAGCCTCAAAACTGGTTATACGTTCTATTTTAAAGGTGACAAAAAGTGCAGAATTACACCTTTTAACTGTCCTCTGATCAATCAAGTAGCATTTCTAGTTTATTTGACCAAAGAATTGTCAAAATAATCAGAGCACAATGAGAAACAAGGTGGCTGTTAAGATCACTCTTAGCAGAGATTTCCAGGAGCAGAACCTCAGTAACAGGCACACCTGTTAGTAGCACACCCTAAGGTGCAGGTATAATATTACACATCTCCCCTCCCCAGCAACACTGGTGTAATCTCCACCAAGAGATGTGCGCCAAGACAGGCGTGTGACACAGTTGCTTCATGTCTCTACTAACCATTGACTCAAGTGCTGACATGAGGAACGTAACCACCATTCTGCTTTCCGAGGAGTCCTCATCGCGGATGGACCTTGCTGGTGCAGTAGCTTGAGCCATTTTCCCCCCTATAAAATGAAATATAAAACCTGTTCAGATATACACAGCAGTGCATGAAAACTCAATCCTCTCTTATACGAATAAACAAGGAAGAAAAAAAGCCCTTTAAAAACCCAGAATTTCCAACACAGACAAACATTCAGAGAAAGTGATAGAAAGCAGTGTTCAAATTTCTATTTTTAGACCGCCTGCTGTTTCATCCAAAGCCAAAAGCAGTTGTTCAAAAGTTACAATGCTGTACCATCACGAGACCACAAATCCTTTGTGCCTACAGGTATACATATTAATCAATTAGATGAAATATTGTTCTTTCTTCCTAAGCACGCTTGCAACTCCAGCAATTTAAATAAACACTGGAAAGAAAAAAAAAATTGTAAAGGTCAATGACATAGAAGCGATATAGCATCACATGAGGAATAACAAAAAGATGTAGTTATGACATGGGTATTAGAACAACCTTCCCTGTAACTTACAGCATACATTCATCATAATGTGGAAAAAAAATATAGCAGAGACAACAGTATCAGCAACCAGAACACAACATTTTTATTTGCACATTATTCAGTTGTGGGATTTCAAAGCTAAGTCCAGTTTCAAAGCCCCAATTAATGTGCTAAAATTAAAACCTGAGTTTCAGAAGTGATAAAAGAAAAAGATTTAAACTCATTTTTTATATGTATTTCGATAGATTTTCCGTTTATTTAAGACATAAGTAATAATCAGGACTTGTTTATGCTTTTGCTGGCAGAATTATCTATAGAAAATAAGGAATATAATGAGAATGAAGTTTGAACAACTGCTAAGAATAGATTTTTCTCTTTGAGTGTTGCAACTCGTTATGTTTACATGTATTTAATGCAACATCCCAACATGCCTAAGGGATGAAAAGAATGGTAGGGAGTTAGCTGTTACAACTCTATGTGCAAGTCTTAAGAAAATCCCTTCAATAGCCATGACAGCCCAGGTAAATAAGACATTTCACAACAGATTTCACACACCTGGTTGCTCCTATAGCAATTGTCCCCACTGCCTGGCTCAAGATTTTCAAGATGTATCCTGAGAAATGCACAGACAAGCCAGGGCAGCACAGACCACCACTGCATGGGATAAGACATGCATGCATTGGAGAAAAATAGTGCTTTGTTGTTCAACAAAATTTAGAGCACTTGACATTACATAATGTCAAAAAATAAAGTATTTTATATTTTAAATAAAAAAACAGCACTCCTGAAAGAGCAAGAGCCCCATTTCAAATGATTAATCCTTGCAGCATTTTTTTCTTAACAGCACTGACCCTGCAAGCTAACAGACTTTCTGAAGTCTTTCAACTCTCTAAACACTGATCTGCAAGGTTTAAACAGCTTTAAATGTACATTATGGATAAACTGGCAGGGACACGGCCAGCAGCTGCCTGAAGATGTAGACAATAAAAGGATCAAATAAATTCTAGAGCAGAGTTCTTCAGGTCTGAAAAAAAAGCCAATCTCCAAGACTGAGTATAAAGGGAAGGACAGATGTTAAGGCTGATCATTTCAATGACCCATGAACAGGTTAGTTGGCAGCCGTGGTCAAGTCACTTGGAAAGGCAGAGGACAACAGGATTATCCTCACAAGTCAGAGAGGCAAACAATTTATTGGTTGCAGAATATTAGAGGTGAAACAGATTATGATATGACATGGAAAAATAAAACAAAAACCCCACATCAGAGTTATGTCTTCTGGCTCATCACTCCCAAAGCTCATCTTCGGGAAGCACTTTTCCATTCTCCTTTGAGGGCTAAAACGTTGACAGTCGCATGTAACATTACAGCTTTTTGACTTTAAAATAACACCCCGATAATGTGATAGAAAAGGCAAAATTAGAGGATAACTACGTATTTCTTCCTATTCTCCTCCTTTCCTTCTGCATCTCTCCTCACCAAGGCAGTCCTTCTGACCACTTTAATATCTCCTAAACCTAGTGATGTGCAACTACTCAGTTTCAAAGAGACCTTGTTCCATTTCCTGGAAGGTCAGGACACAGTTAAATCAAGTCAGGGAGCTCACCCAGAGAGGGGCTCTGCAATCCCTACTCCATTCCTGGTACAGCTGCACACACAACTGTCCTGGCATAAGTTATGGCACAGCCCAAGCAGCCTGCCTGTTGACCATGAAGCCGCAACCCCAGCATCTGGGACTTTCATTTGCATCAGAAGTTGGGCACAGGACCAATTTGTTAATGCATATGGTAAGGTTCTTTCCAAATTATGAAGTCTAGCGCACTATGTGTTGAGGATCCTCATGCTTGCTTAAACAGATTGCACAGTGACAGATGAATATTGAATCTGGAGACATCCTGTTGCACTGTAGAATATTTATTCCCACTCACTTAACGGCAAGTCACATGTGAAAGATTTTCCAAATTTCACCAGTTTCTCCCTTTCAAACATAAGTTTTCAGCATCATCTCTATCTACACTGTCTGTGTTTCCAAGATTAGGCCCTTAAAACACATGCGACAACATGATTGCCCAATGCAGCACCCAGTGCAAAGCTATGAAAAAAGCAAAATATCTTATCTGTTATCAAAGTCTAACCTCAAAAAGAGCAATTCAACTCCATTCTTTGAGTAATTAAAACCTGGCTGCCACTTACGATGCTGCTATTAGCCTTAACCTCATATTGACCAAAATCAACTTTCACATCAGTTAATACTCATGATAAATATCCATAAATCCTTCAGTGCAGCTCCGCCAAAATCAGTCTTTGTCCAAGCAAAGGTCTGTAACCAAGAATAAACCATTACAAAAAACACTGGCAGACTACCAGGATGCAGCGCTCTGCCATTCCCACCCAATAAGGTAGTCACTACACCACAGAACTAACAAAGCTGTTTTCCTTTTACAAGGGGCAAAATAACGACAAACCAGTACCTTTGAGGATGATACAGCAAACCAAGATGCATCTCATTACACATGCCACTTGCTTATGCTTTCGGGAGCCAAGGAATAAAAACATTTGAGGCAAGTGAAAACTAAACCACAAGACACAGTTATTATCCTTCCTGCTTATGCTCATAGAACAGTTCACGTGCCAATCTTGATAAACCCACCACAGCAGAAACTCTCTCTAATAATTGTTCTGCAGACATACAGGGAAGTGAAAGAAAGATATGAGCTTCATGAAGAAAGGCTATTTAAGCACAGAGAAAATATGGACGGGGAGGGGAAAAAAAAAACACCCACAAATTGCAAATACTAAAACAAACCTGCTATCCTCATAGGAAGGATGCAATTCCTGAGAACTCCAAGATACACCTGGATATGAGTCTAGGTAGACTCCTCCTTACTTACCACTGAAAGATCCGCTGCTCCCTGCAAGCAGTTTCTGGCTGGTAAAGATTTCATCCATGAAATTCTTTGCTTTCTGCACCTAAATATACTTTCAGCGTATTTACTTGGCCCAAACAGTGCCCCTCTGATGAAGAACCACAGTTCGCTCTTTCCCCTAACTGCACAGATTAAGATGCACAAGCTAACTCTTGAGTGCCAAAAACACTTATTAACAGACCTTGGCTCCAAGTTTTTTTGTTTGGTTGGATTTTTTTTAGTTTTTGGGTTTTTTTTCCTTGTGCAATTTAGATTAGCGATGCTATGCTCCAGTAAGAGTTAAATCCAACATTTCCCAGCTAACTTCACATAGCAGCTTTATTGTGGTGCGCACCTAACTCATTCACTCAAGCTGCAGGAAAACAGGGTAGACAGTTCTTGCTTTTACCCCATAGCTTGTTCCTAGGTGACCCACGCAGTCCAGGCATTGTGATCTCTCTGTTGATCATGACATTTCAGGAATCACTTCAAAACTACACAAATATCTCACATGTAGGTCGCAGTCCATTCTTGGCACTACTGAACTCATGCACTGCAGAAATGCTGACGCTTAGACTGAGTTGTCACTCGGTCTGGATGGAGTATATTTGGACTGTGTTTATCTGGACTGTCTCCAGATATACACAACTTCCTTGAAAGTAACGGATCCTCACAAGTCATAACCCAAGAGAAATTTAAAAATCTGGGATTTCTTTCACAAGAAAACACCAGCAGCTCTTCACTATCTGCATTCAGCTCATCTGGATTATGAATCAGCTAGGATGAGCAATATCCAAGGTGCCTATGCAGAGAGCCAGCCTGGTCTGCAGTATAAATCCCACTGCACCATACCAAGCAAAAGCAGCTGCAGATATTCCAGAGGCAGCTCAGAGGCAAAGCAAGGAATCAGAAGCAGATCTGCCAAGGTTTAACTCTACGAAGATGAAAGACACACTCCGAACCAGGAAGGAGAGGCAATACAGAGATACCAGGCAGTACCATCAGCTCAGATCCACCAGGGTTTCTCTCTTCTGGTTTAGTGTAACCATTCCGGATATAAGCCGTCTTATTTGGCAGTATCAGGGGTGCCTGCAGCACAAACCTCAAGAACTTGGGTCCATCAGCTGAAGAATCTGGGCTCATCAGTGTCTCAAATACCAAGGGCCAGCCCCTAGCTGGTGCTGCACACCCAGGCCACCAGCCCCGTGGGCAAAATGCCGCCCTCGAGGATATCTGAGCAGCTTGCAAAAGGGCTAGTGTGCTGCAGGGGCCCCACACTGCTGCTCCTCCACACGTGCTCCCTGAGCATCCAAACAAGCTCTTCGTTCTTCAGCTTCTACCATCAGGAACATCAGAGTGGCTTATTCAGGAAGAGTTTAAAAATAATAAATAAATAAAAAGAAAGAAAGAAAGAAAATCACAAGTCAACCTTATTGCCCCTTGGCTAAAATTATGCATCTCTAACCTTAACCTTTGTTGCCTTCTATACTGCAACAGCAAGCATGCAGACCTGCAGCACAGATTTCACGCGAGCAGCCTGTTTCTTGATAAGCAACGCTCTAACCGCTCAGATACAACACCATTACAAGTTCTGCAACAGCGACCCATTAAACACAGCAGCTGGGACATTTGTGGCTGCCATTTCAATCCAACTCCCACTGCAGGGATTTAACCCACAGCAGCAGTAGAATCAACAAGACACAGCCCAGCACCTTCCCACAAAGGTGGCTTCAAAGCAGCAGCTACTCCCAATACCCGATGCAATTAATGAAACAATTCACAGAATCATGCCAGGCACAGAAATAGGATCTTCCTGTAAACCAATACACATCTCACGGCAAAACTAAAAATTAGTTCCCATCCCACTCTTAGGACACTCAGTGACATACAATGACTTTTTAGGCAGCTTAGAGTATTCCTATCTTTGCTACTCTTATTAGAGGCATTAAAAGAATGCAACTTCATTCATGCACTGAATGCAACTTCAACAACTATTACTTTAAAAGCACTGCCAATCTCTCTCATTTGGAAGCCTACATCCCACTATTTCTAGATGTTCTGATACAAAACAAACTTCATTATCACAAAACTTCAGATAAAATTCAAATTCAGAATCTAACTGATACCTTACTAGGTCATTACCTAGAAATAAATTATTACCTAATTTGAAGTAACTAAAATATTAACCATCAAGAAGAAAGTTCAATTCTGTATTAAAGCCAGATGGACTCTGAGAACAACATCACTTCTTTTTATTTTTAAATGTATGCAGAGCATCCTACAGCAAGGACCTCCATATTCATCACTTATGGTTAAACCATGTAAACAAAATGAAATATTCATCACTGCAGTCTTGACCATCTGATAAAATTTGTCTTTGCCATGTAAATCTGTTTACTTTGTCAACATGACAATCAGGTCAAAGAATTTTATTTGTGTCTGTGTTTATTTGTGTCTGTCAACACTAGATCAGAGTATTTAAGAAGCAAATTAATTTAAACTCTCCTACTATTTATCCAGTTATCAAATTTGTTTCTGGCACCTTCTGACATCAATTACACTCATTCTTCCTTGAATCACAGCATTTATCTTCATCCTATTAGAAACGTCTCTTCCACCTTGCTAACAGGATCAAGGCACACACTCACACGGGCAAGTTCTTGAGCAACAGCTTGAGAATTTGCCAATAATTCTTTTGTCAGAAAAAAAAAAAAATACGAATTCATAGACTTTCCAGAAGGATGCAAGTTGCAACCAAACTTCTCCCGAAAGGTTCTCATGTCCAAACGATAAGAAGATTGGCCAGTAACCAGGCCATCACTCATGGGATGAGAGATCCTGGACTGAGACACTGAGCTGAGCAAAGCTGAGAAGGAATTTAACACATGCGACTTTCAAAGCTGTAGAAGCACCAACACTGCCATGTTGGCTAGTCTGGAGCACTATGCTACATGCTGTAACTTAAAAAAAAAAAAATCTTTCCCCATCCCTGTTAAATTGCTTGCCTCTATGGAAATCTCAAACTCCCCAAACTGTTCTATCCTTAGTAACAGATTTAACCACCACATTTAAAGGGGACAAACTTTCATGCCACCGAATTTACTTAACAGATTTGCAAGCTCTCTTTCTCTGTATATTTCATGGAGCTTAATAATTTTAATTGAATAGCTAAGTTTAGACAAGAAAAAGAAAAATGAAACATCCTCATTATGGCATATCAAGCCAAAGATTTGTACACACCAAAAACAATGCAAGATTGGCCTGTGAAGGGGCAGATGCACTCACTAAACAGTCACTGTGCAGGTGTTTCAACAGACTTTGACACCAAACATTCGGCAGAAGTCTGCAAAAAGAGCTGAAACATAAAAGGTCATGTCTAAAAACACAACGATGCCTAAAAACACCAGGACCAACTCCAGAGAGTTAGATAACCCACCCAGGCAGGTGCAGGACTCGATATTAACATCCCCCAGATACCAGTTCTTCCCCTGTGGCTATGGACACCCTTGCTGCCGGCGGCTTTGCTGCACACGGAGTCAAAGGATAACAAAACCCTTGAGGATGGATTGTCTAGCACATCCCCCTGCTCAAGCAGGGGCACCTAAAGCCCATGACACAGGGTCGTATACAGGTGGGTTTGGAATATCTCTACGGGAGACTCCACAGCCTCTCCGGGCAGCCTGTCCCAGTGCTCATGCTCACAGTGAAGTCTCAGCAGATTCGGTTGCTGTCTCCAGGCCTGCAGCTCTCCTGGCAGAGTCTCCAGCCTCAACAGCGACCCCGGGAAGCTGCTCCCCTTGACGCCGTGCGGCGCAGACGGCCCCTGCGAGACCGCGGCGCTGGAATGAATTCAGAGTGAAGCTGCCTTGCACGCAGCACGTTAGAAGACAATCAGGTCTAGATTTTAACGAGGGAAACAAAACACAAAGCCCTCAGGGTACTAACAGTAAAGCTCTTTCTAAAACTCTTCATAGCTCTACTTCTCACATCAATTTGGCCTAACTAATTTGAACCTCCTCAGCTCGCTGAGCGCTCACAGTCACAAAACCACATTTTTGTTCTCCCCTAGGTGACATCATTTTAGCCACCCGCCCTAAAGCGGAGCACCAAACGTCATCACAACCGCAGAGCCCACACATCCAACCCCTGCGTTGGTCCGGGGAGCACCTGGTTCCTCCGTACCTGGCGTGAAGGAGCGGTTGGGACCTCGGCGCTGGCGCCGGGAAGGGACCCCGGCGCTGAGGGCGGGGGCGGGACACGTCCTCACGCACCACCCCGCGGGCTGCTTTGCATACGACGCCCCGCCCCCTCCCTGCTGCTTTGCATATATTGTCCCGCCCCCCTTGGCGCCCGCACCCAATCGCCGCCGGGACCCCGCACGTGCGCGCGCCCCCCTCTGCAGCCAATGGAAGGCGGCGGCGCCCCCTCCTCCCGACGACTCGGGACGGTGGGGGGAGGGGTTCGGTCTTTGGGGTGTCCCCCCCCCCCTTCCCCCCGCTAACGGCCGCGCGAAGCGGGCGTCGCGCCGGGACGGCCTCCCCCGCCCGCCAGGCCCGGCCCGGCCCGGCCCGGCCCACGCTCCGCGTACTCACCTGCTGTCTGTCCAGCCCTCGTCCTGCCGCCTCGAGGCGAATGGCGGCCACTCGCGGCCCCCTTCGTCCCCCTCGCAGCCCAACGCCGCTCCGGGGGAGGCAGAACGGCGGTGGGGGGGACTGTTTGTTTATTTATTTATTTATTTATTGTTCAAGAGGCTCCGGCTGCGCACGCGTAAACCTCCCGCGGAGCCTGCCGGGAGTTGTAGTCCACTGGAGTGGGGTTAGCCCTGCGCTAAGACAAGGCGGTGAACTACAGCTCCCATGGTGCCCCGCGCGGGCGGGCCGGGGGCGGGCCGTGCGCCGCGCAGGGGAACACGGCCTGAGGCGGCGACAAGCGGCCGGGTGCGAGCCGAGCGGGGCATGTAGATAACGTTGGTTCCTTCGGTTTCTTACTGCGAAAACTGGCCACGTTTGGTGAAAAATATAAAATAAAATAAAATAAAAAGTGCAGGCGATACTTTCCCCTCAAGCATGAAACCTGGCCCTTGGTTAGAATAAATTGCAGTAACGTAACACGGAAGTAACTTCTCCACGGTTGCTAGTTACTGCTATTGCTGTACCCCAGAGGCGCTAAGCAGAAGTGCTACCATCTATTTTTATAGGTCATCCATAACCAGGCAAGTGTTTTAGCTGCCAGTCACTTAAACTTGCCTGGTGAGCAAAAAACACACAAGAAGTTTGGGCTTGAGCATACACACACACACACAAAAAAACCCACCTATTCACTATTTTGATGTCTTTTTTTTTTTTTTTTCTTTTTTTTTTTTTTTTTTTTTTTTTTTTTTTTTTTTTGGAACCTTGTTTTAGTTTGGATTGTGTTTATTCATTTCTTTTGGACCATTACAATGCATGTAAACGCATCAATTCTCTTTTGGGAATGTTAACAGCTTGTTTGCAGTCTAGACTAACCACAAAACATTAAGATTCCAAGTAAACTTCCTTTTAAGGGGGAATTGAAAAGTGTCCAGTTTAAAGCATTTAGCTACTTCCTCGTTACAGTAAGTAGAGATAAATCAAACAAGGGAAGAAATGAATGGGAGTGATGTTTTGCAGTGGCTTCCTGCTGGCAAACCCATAGCTACTATGGCAAGTTTACCTCCCATGGGGATCTTCTGAAGAGGAGAAATTCGGTATTTTGCGGGGAAAAGTTTGTTCCCACTCTTCCATATACTTCTCCACCATGTGAGTTATGCAGCTGGTTACTGCTTAGGGAGAAAAAAAATGCATAATGAAAGTTAACTAAAGTCATGCTTTATTCAGAATAATGTTTATCCACTGTGGTTACAAGATGACTAACTGAAAAATTAGTTCCTTAAGGCCCTAACTGCATCAGAGACATTCATTTCCAGCCACTGGATGTTGTAAATCAATGTTCTGACGAGAAATACTATGTATGTTTTTAGTAGTTGGAGTAATTAATAACTGCAACATGCTACCATGGGCCAGGAGAATTTCTCCACCAACTTAAAGCTTGAATATATAAGCATTTTTTCTTCTAAAAGAAACCTTTGTTGCAGAGCCAGCATGACTTTTTAGCAGCAGATTCCTGAATAGACTGTAATACTTAACATCAGACTAGCTAATCCTCATGTTTTTTCTAGGTTTAAAGATAAGGAGCGGTTTCTGGATGAAAACACTTTCATCTAAATTCCTTAAAGTACTTTCTATCGTATCAGTTTTCCCTCTACTAGTTAACCAGCTGAGCTTCAACCTGTTCAATCAGGTTGAACAAGATTTTCACACAGCTACAAGGCAAGAAAACATTTCTCTTAAACAAGGCAAAACCAGACCGTAAAACCACAAGCTGGAAACCGCTGGAAAAGAGGAGTTATTTTTATCATAATTAAAAAGGCAAATTCCATTTCAAGTTCATACTCCCATTCTGAAAGCAAATTGAAACCAATACATACATTTTTTTTTCACATTACTTTTGGAAATTATTCTCTTTCATCCCCAGATATATTATGGGGGATGTATTATGTATAACTCCCTTTAGAATTAAAAGGTTTAGGCTGTCTTTATCAGTAGTTTTAGCTGCAATAAATGCAATGAGTTATAAATGTAACTTCAAGCTAAATATAACGTACAGGATTTCAAATCAAGTTTCTGTGGGTAAATCTAAAGCTTACATCTAAACTATAAGCTGACAGCTTACATCTAAACATGTAACATCTAAGACTCCTAAAATCTTAGGAAATGCCAATGGAAGCTATTGGACTCCTTAAAAAACTGTGAAGGGGGGTTATGCCTGAAGGCGGTGATGGTGAGCAGAAAGCAGCCAGTGTTTCTGTGCTCAGCATGGACTTGCTTTTCCAAGCAGTCATCTCTTCCCCAGAGAAATTTCATGTGCAGAAGGATACTGTGCTTTACATTTTCTGCAGAAATTAAACTTCAGTGTTTGGAAGCCATGTGCAAAGCTAATAGACCCTCAGAGCACGGAGTTCATAGTTCCCTGACTCTTTTATATGTAGATATAAACTCTTCCTTTCTTCCAAATTATGTTTAAATATAAATTCTGCAAGCAACATAGCTCCACCGTACCTCAGGAACAGCGAAGCACTCTTTGCATCAGAGAACATTAGCCACAATGGGCTAAATCAGACTGTGCATTGCTGGGCCATACAAGCCATGTTTGTCCAGTGCACACATCCAGATAAGCTTATTTCGTGCTCCTTCATCAAGTTTTCCTGCTCTAGTTGTCTGGGTTCTTCTGTGGTTTTCTTTCTCACCCCCTCCAAATGTTTGCCCCGCTGTTTTCCCTTCTTATCCTCCCAAAGTGATGAACTCAAGTTAGGAGTCTTCTCTTTTTATTATTATTTTTATATGACTGTATAAATTGTACAGAGCAGGCAACAATTCCATGCCTGCTTGTATGCTACATTTTTTTCAAAAGAACAAGGAATTATTTAAAAATAATTTCCTTGCATGATAGAGGATTGCAACAATAGTAAATATGCATTCTCCAAAATAATAAGATTAAAAAAGAAAAAAATTCACACTATCCAAAACAACAGCACCAGGAATAGGTCATGGGTGCTCTCCTCCGTGCCTTTATTTATAGCACAAACGTTGCCTTTTCGAAAGGACCTGGTAAATCTGCTATAAGATGCTTTGAAGACAAGCACAGCAGTTAACATGTGCATTAAAAGCATCCCTAGAGGCTGCGTAATTATCCACACCTCAAAAGGATGGCTGCACTTTAGGCTTAAACGGACACTGCAGCTGCGCCTCATTCTTCCCAAATTTTTCCCCAGCCATCCCTGGCAGCAAGCGGGGGTTCCTAAAACACGGGGGATGTTCTAGCATCCCCCTGCTTGTGCCCAGCTCTCCAGTGCCACGAATTTGGTCCGGCCTTGCAGCCACGGCAGCAAGAAGCACAAAACCAGCAAACACCAAATCCGGTCGGTACTTAATATATAGCACAGGGTGAATTTATTTGGCTGGAGAACAAATAGCTCCAAGGTGCACAGTAGCCAGCAGGGCTTCTGCCTGGTCCTCAAAGAAACTTGGGCAGGAAAAATATTCTTTTTCTTAGCTATTAGGAGGAAATTAGATCGTGGTTTTGCCAGCGAAGGTTTGTCATGCAAGTGAGGAATTTTATTCCTCCTGTGCCATGCTCCTCACTAAGAAATCTTTGCCAGAGTAATTATAAAGTTTGGATGAAGCTGTTGACAAAAACACCAGCCATTTGAGCATATTTGATGTGAATATCCCTAACAGCAAAGTCTAAAAGGGAATTCTTGTATGTGTTTGCAATGAGAGAAGAAAAATACTCCTACTTGACCTACCTTTCTAGAAGTTTGGGTTTGGGATCAGTTTTGCTTGCATTACAGAACTATTTCACTGGCAGCTGAACTATAGTTTACATGTTAAAACATGTTTACATGAAAGCCAACCAAAAAAAAAAAAAAAAAAGAGAAAGGAAAACAAAACAAAACCAACAATTAAGGGAATTAGCCTGTATTTGGTTTATGAATTGCAGTCTGCACTTTTCCTCCAGATATTATCTCTTCCCCAGGTGTCCTCCTACATTTGCAGCTATCATCCTGTAAGCTGGTGGCCATCAACACAAGCAGAGGTAGGGGCTTGGCGTGACCCTTTTCAGGGTGCCCATTTTGTGAGATGAAAAAATTGAGGGAAAAAATGCTAAATAACTGTAATGATGGGTTGCAGAAGTTCCTTCCTTGCTTGGACACTACCTACCTTGTATATATATATTTATATAACCACTCAAGAGAAGATGTTAATCTTACCAAGAGGCTGGGCCAGTTTGGTTCAGCTCCACCAATCTGCCTTTATACCCCATGGATCTGTTAATTTGACCCTGAGACAGCTGTTTGAAATATTCATTTAACAAAAGAGTTAGCCACTGCACTAGCAGAGCCCTCTCAAGACACCGGAGAACCTCTAGGACCATGTAAGCTTATCCCCAGCTGCTTTGTGAGCAGTTTTACTGCCAAATTCCCTATTTTTTCACCACTATGCAGTGTCAGGACCTCACACAATCGACCTAGCTCCTCTCCTGCAGTTCTGCTTGGACCCGCTGAAACTGCTGTCAGAAGCAGCAGCAACAGACTGGTTTCCCTTTTGCTGCATCCCAGATCCCAAGCAGGTGCTGGTGCACGTTGTGGAGCAAGCCGTGTCTGATGGGTGCAAAACTTGCAAGACATGAAGCAAACACTCAGCAATTGCAGCCCCCGAGACACTGAGCTGCTGCCACCCCCTGGAAAGGCTGGGATGTTCTCCTTGACAGAGCAGCAGCCACCAGAGGAGCCCATGCCTGTTTCTGCACTGCTACCACTGGCATTTTGGCACCAAAAAAGAGCGCTCGGGTTCTTCGCCCCCCTTGCACTGGCACCAAGTGGCCGTAAACACCACTACAGCCGAAGGAAATGCCCAAATCCTGCTGCACAGAGCTTCTACAGTGCAAAATCCCCCCGAAAGCCAAGTCAGCAAACCCACAAATGCACTCAGAAACGCCACAGCCCAGCCTGGAGCCATTCCGAAATGCCCTGGGGCCACCCCTGGGCAGGATCAAAGCTCTTCTGCACCAGTTGAAATCTCCAAAACAACAACAACAACAAAATAAAAATAAAAATAAAAAATAAAATTCCCAAAGCGTCAAGCTCCCTCACTTGCACTGTTAGTTTCCTCAGGCTGGCAAACGTGATTTCTCGGAAATGTTTTGCAAAGTGTCTCCTCACAAATGGATTCTGGGGGTCTAAATAAAAGCACAGATGCTGTTTATGCTGTTCTCTAGCATCTCAGTGCACTATATTTAAAGAAAAAAAATGGTTTGAATCAAAGCTCTCATTCTTTAATTAAACTTCATTTAGATGCCATCTGCCTGGGATCAAGATGGCTTCATGTTTTGCAACTCTTAATGAGGATTGTTACTGGGTTTGTAAACACATAAACAGCCGCCCCACCACTGCCACCGAACTCTTTGAAAAGTACTAAGTGAGAAATGTGGCTCAAGTGTGAAGATCTGCTTCTTCAGGCGTCTAATTGTCCGGGAACAGGATCCATTCAGTAGATAATCATGTTACATACAAGAAACCGGGGTAAAAATACCCGTGACTGAAGGAGAGATAAAGGAAAGCACTAGAACTGCAGTTGAGTGAAAACAGTAATAAAGCAGTAATTGCTGTTTTTTTTTCTGAGGGAAGGGTCCAGATACCTGTCACCCAGACGGCAATTGGCTGCAATGGTGGGAATTTCCTACGCTGCCTATGGATACTGGGAAGTGGAAATTGCATCCCTATAACCCTGAGAAATTAGGGGGATTTACTGCTGTGCACTCCCCAAAATAAACCTTCATGGCAGAAGGTAAAAAGGGGACCCAGGGAAGATTGGCCAGGGTGGAGGACAGAGGGAGCAGCCCCGCACGTAGCCCCTGGCAGGGACAGAGCAAGGGCAGAGCAAGGAAACCCCACCTGCTCTGTCCTTCCTTCACTTTTTTTTTTTTTTTTTCCTACTTTTTCCCCGCTTTTTACAGCCTTTCGGATTCCATTAAGCTTTATGAACTAAATCCTTAGTCCCCAGTGCAGCTCTGATGCCCTACTTTTAACTACAGGACTCATTTCACCCCAGCCTTTCAGGACGAGTAATTAAGGCCCCGTGGCCGTGGCCAATACATCCAGATCCCGCAAGAAGCATCAATCCATCACACGCTCACAGGAGCTCTGAAACCTGGAGCAGACCCGCAGTAATGGCAGAGCTTCGCTCATCACGAAGCCACTCCGCTGCCCTCAGTGCTACCCTAGCGGATTTTTTTGGGTTTTTTTTGAATAAAAAAGTCAACGTGTAATGAACTGGCCTATTAGGAGACACTTATGTGTGGCCTGATCTGTGAATAAGCCAATTTCAGGCATTTTCAGAAAGCAAAACTGCGTTTTTACCTCTGAATTGCGTTTCTCTGCTTCCTAATTGGAGATGCCATGGGTTGCAGCATGAGGCAGAAACATAAAGACCTCAGCTCAAAGTGTATATAACTATGTTAAACTGTAGTTCTAACTAGGGTCACTGATAAAGAGATTTTTGTCCTTCGTTTGGCTGCCAGCTTTGCACCTTCCCTTAAATCTATTTGGGCTTTTACCATCTTTTGTGATCATTTGCATCCAACTCAACAGCAAAGGAAAGTCGAGTAACATGTCAAAGTCCTGCCAGGATCAGGATCAAAATGTGAATGAATAGACTCAAGAAGACCAAAATCCCACAAAACAAACTCAGAATCACACTAGAAGACCAAAGAAGACCAAAATCCCACAAAACAAACTCAGAATCACACTAGAAGAGCTGCTGCAAATGACTTTGATCCCTGTACCCACCATCATCCCCTGATATTTAGCAGGAAGGGATCTGCTGTATGCGCGATCATTCCTCCTCTTTCTGATCAGAAGTGATTTTCAGGCTAAGGAGCATCCCACAAGAGCTCTTTTGGAGAGGACCGTCTCGTTCCTGCTGTGCTTCGGAGTGCGGGAGCAATTTCTTCCAACACTGCATTCAGCATTTGCTTCCATTGTATTTGCTCAAGCCCGAAGCCACCAAGCACTGGCTTCCCCACTCCCTCACCTGCATGCAGGGCTCCCAGCTGTGAGACACATTAATGATGCGGAGGGGTAACGGCTGCAGCAGCTTCTCTCACCAAAATCCACTAGTGAAATTAAAGTATAACTGCAGAAAATTCAAATCAATTTACAAATTAAAATAACTTTTTTTTCCTCTCAATTTATTCAGTTGTTTTGGTTTTTTTTTTTTTTTTTGTGCTTACAGGAGGAACCGGACCCAGGCACGTCAAGGAGACGTGGGGCTGCAGGAAGCACGTTCCTGCATGGCTTTCACGACCCATGTGAGTGACTTTTGGTCCAGCGTTATTGAACCAATCCAGGGTCAGAGAAGACAATCTGTACTACTAGTTCTCCTCACTCCTTATGACATCAAAATCTCCACAGAAATCACAGAGAAGAGCATAATGAAATGAAAATTTTCTACTGCTTCAGAGGGTGGTTAAATGCATGTTGCATAAATTGCTTCTGATTTTCTAAGTTGAGTGGATGCTAGCTATGATCCTAAACAGGGTGTCTGTGGTTTATCCCACCGTGGTGGGGATAATGTGGTCTTAAACCTCCTTTGTGATCAAAACCTTTCTGTTAAAAACACTTCTGTGCTACTTATGGGCCCAGGTCTTCGATGCTTGCACGCATTCGGTCCCCACTTCTGCACCAACCCTCTTGCATCTCTTTAAACAAATTTATACTGAAGGCACCATGAGCAAAGGAAGTACTAAAGCATGTCAAACTTCTTGGTTTCAAACACTGATGACACTAAAGACTTTATTGAGCAGCCAAAGCATGACAAAGTTTGCAGCTGTCTGTCTGGAGGTGTCCTCCTGTGCTTACACTTACCTACAAATGCAATTCAAAATTCAATAATATATGTAATAAAATAAGTACTTTTAAGAGCAAGGCAACACTTTTTATTTTTATTTAAAAAGGCCTTGATGGCAGGAATATAGTGTAAAAATCATTGGAAAAACTAAAAGGCATTGATACATATTGGAATATACACTTTTTACATAAATTACATTTATTTATTTATTCTTTCATTTGAGGTTCTTATTCGGTTTTGAGGTCTAATAGTTAATAGGTCCTGGGATCTGGACGTTTAGACCACCATAGTCTAACATGTACATGGGCCATTGCTGAAAGAGAGGGAGAGAAAAGAAGGCAAAAGTCTCTGTTAGGACACAACACAAAAACATGCATACATCACATCTCTGACACGTTCAGACACGGGCTGTTGCTCCCACTTTCCAAAGAAGATTAAAGAACCAACCCAAAAATGAAAGCACCATCAGGAAACCCAACAAAAGCCTTTTAGGTTGGTATTTCTCTCCTTTTTGCTTTTTTTTTTTCCTTGTTTTCCTAGCGCTTGGTGTCACACAGGACTCAAGCCAAACCCTGAGGGAGAACAGGTCTGCACGTCCACTGACTCCACCAAGTGTTTCCTACAGCTGCGATCTGCTACCCGATGCAGGCTCTCCCAGGACAACCGGAGCTCAAGGGCCACGCGCCAGCCCCAGCAACCCCGAGGGACAAGGCAGCCCCGAGCTGCGTCCTCCTCCTTCGCCAGACCCGGTCGGGCCCATTTTACATTGCACTTTTTATACAGAGTGTCAAGCGAAAGGAAGTGCTGCTGGTTCGTGGAGAGCAGAGCGCGGCATCCTGAGGCGGAAAGATAGGTAGGCAGTAACCCGCTTAATATTTGGAAGGCTTTACCACAAGTGAGATCTGATTTGTGGAGGACGTAGACTCCATGTTGGAAGAGGAGGAGGAGGAAGAGGAGGACGATGAAGATACGGAGTTCCCTTCGGAGATCCGCTTCCGCTTCCGCTTGGGAATGCTGCTGTCTTTGTCTGAAGGGAAAGAGGGGACAGGTGGGGCACCCGAATGCCGAGGAGTTCAGCGAGGGGCTGTGAGGAGGCAGGGAGGCTCCTTCCATGGACCCCTGCGAAAACGCACCCGCGTCTTCCCAAAGCGGGGACACGAGGCACCACCCCTCCTCCACTTGTAAGATCTTAATTATCCACAGGGGTGCTAATTCCGACACGTTTGGTTAAAAAATGGGTGGGAGTTTCTTGGGGAGGATGGGACAGAGGGATGCACACAGGGAGATCAGACAACCTGCTTTCCTCAGCAGCTCGGCTCATAAACAAGAGTCAATTTAAGGGGTTTAGCCAGTGAATAAACTGGGAAAGAGAAAAAAGTCTTACCTGTTTGTTTGGCCTCGGAGCAGATTTCGGCAAAAGGCCTGCAGGAGGAGGACAGCGAGGGTTAGGAGATACTGCATATTCCACATGTGGGATGCAGCCGGGATGGGGCTCTCCCAGGGCGACCTGCAGTAGTTCTGCAGGGTCTCCAAGCCACCTCCTGGCCCTTCTTGAGGACAGGAATCACCTCCCCTCCCCTGTTCACCTGGGGAAAGCAGCCCAGCAAAACACCACTGTCAGGGATTCCTTCCAGACTTGGCAGACGTGGGACTCCCTTCCCTCTAGCTTTGGGCGAGGAACAGGCACCTTTCACCTGAGCAAGCTGACCTGTGGCCACCCCAACTGCCCTGAAATCTCCGGGTTCTCACACGCCAAGGGGACAAGTCAGGATCATCGTGGCTTACTGGCTGGAGAAACACAGCGGACATCTATCAAACAGAAAAATGACCCAGTTCCCAAACCACGGAAACTCACTGGAGTTGGTTTATAATGACCATGCGGATGTTCTCGCGAGCCTTCAGGATCTTCTCCAGCCGATGGATGTCGTAGGTGTTGGGATTCCTGAAGGGGATGTCATCTGGCAGGCCGGTAACCTCCACGGCATCAGGACTGTCCCGGATGAGTTTGTAGGGCACCATGACGGGCCGGTTCAAGCCCAGAGCTTCTCCTGGAAGGGCAGAGTAGAGGATGGGGACTGTGACTACGGGCAAACCAGGCAGCCTGCCCTGGAGCTTTATCACGCTCTTCCCAACACTGCATCTCTCGCTCCATGAGCCTTCCTTGAAATGTAAACAGCAAAGTATTTGCTAGAGAGGACAGAGGTAGTGGTCGGAACAAGAACTGCCATCAGCGTCTGGAAAACCTTCCCCCCATTTCAGCTATTTCTATGCCACAGCACACCAATTTATTGACTGCTCCCGTACTCCTTACTTGAAATCTTTCTCTGAAGGCTATTTTACAGGAGCTATAGTCCAACCTTCACATACTCTGCTCTGTAGAAGAGCACCATTGCCACATGTGGTTGCTCCCTTTGGCTTCTGCTGCACCCTGTGGCAATACAATACCACAATTTAATTACATGCTATGTAAAAAGTACTTCCTTTGACACTTGGCTGCTGATTTCTCTGGGTACCCTGTGTAACTCCTGCCTGGCAGGATAGAGCGAATTTTCTCAGACAAGGAAAGGCTGAGAGAGCTGGGGGGAGTCAGCCTGAAGAGGAGAAGACTGAGGGGGATCTTATTAATGTGTATAAGTATCTGAAGGGAGGGTGTAGAGAGGATGGGAATGGATTCAGTGATACCCAGCAATAGGATAAGAGGTAACAGACATAAACTGATATATGGGAAGCTCCATTTGAAGACAAGGAGAAGCTTCTTTACTGTGAGGGTGACAAAGTACTGGAAGAGGCTGCCCAGAGAGGTTATGGAGTTTCATTCCTTGAAAATATTCAAACTTGTCTGGACGTGATCCTGGGCATCTGGACTAGATGATCTCAGGAGGTCCCCTCCAACCTCAACCATTCTGTGTTTCTCCCAGACCCTCCTTGCACTCTTTCCACCATTTGTGATTTTAAAGACCTGTCATCTCCAAGCACGCACATGCCGACGGCTGCCACCAACATGTCCTGCTGCCAAAGCTGCCCCCCAGCTAGAGACACGTGGCTGGATGGCAGCCCCAACCCAGCCCTTTCCCGCCCCAAGCCAAAGCTTTCCAGTCCCCCTCGTTTCCCACTGACATTCCCAGGCTTCCCCAGGGAAGAAAGGGAAGGGTAGGAGTAGTTAGACCTGCTCTTGCCTCACATTTTTGCAAGCCCCAAACCTACGCACTGAAGGTGTAAGTTGCTGCTGGGCTACATTTCTTGAGAGAAAGCTCATCTCTGATCTCCACCTTGCACGAGCCCACCTGGCACTTTGTGTCTCATCAGCACATTTGCGCAAGACACAGGTGCGGGTTCAGAAGCACTTGGATTAGGCTCATAACCCACCTGACGGATATCAAGTCTGCAATACTTGAGGTAAAAATGACTTTACAGTAAAAAAAAGATGCAAAAACTCCACACTCTGAAACAGCGTGCTCATTGGAGACTAAAGCAAACCCATGGGGATTGCTAGGCAGGAGCCAGACTCTCAGAGCTGCGTTTTTAACCTCAAACACCCAGCACCCCTGTGAGCACAACCCCTAGCAACTTCAGTGCAGCTCCTTCCCCTTCGCACTTGTGCAGCTGGGGCATGACTCAAATCTTGTGCCTCTTAACATGCGATAAACACATCATGCAGATAGATTAGGAGCAATAAATAGAGAGTGGCACAGTGATTATTTAGCAAATAGCTGTTGATTTCTCAGCTGGAAGGCTTCCAGCAGCAGCCAGACCGTATGTGCGTGTGCTCTCCCATGGCTCTCCCACACCCTTTCCATCACACTCCGTCTTTCTCAGCGGACACAAATGCTTGAAACAGGAGCCTGCCTGCTCCCCTCCCTGCCCCCCAGCTCCTTAGGCTTCACTTCGCGTCTCACTTGCTTTTTCTCTGCAGCTGTTGCAAGCCAACGTGCTGGGTCAGAGCACTGTTGCACATCGTGTCACACGCTCTGGGTGTCCCTGCTGGAGCAGGAAGGTTGGACTAGATGATCTCTAGAGGTCCCTTTCAACCCTAACTCTTCTTTGATTCTGTTACTCCGCATACAACCTCAGCCCAAGGTTTGCTCCCCCCTGGGACAACACTGGGGTTATGCAAGCAGTTGCAGAGGGGCAAGCAAGGAAGAGCCTACCCAGCCTGGTCACAGGGACACAGCGTGTAGTATTAAGCCAGGGGCACAAGGCATGTGTTTCCCCATGTCCTTACAAGCCTATGGGTGTAATAAATAGTTCCAACGGGAATAACTGTGCTTACCAGAAGCTAGGAACAGCACAGTTCAATGTTGAGTTGAAAGTTTTGAAGCCCACCGACAGAAGGAGACTGATTCTGAACAACATCAGAAAACACAAGGCCCTTGCTTTCCAAATGCTTTTAGGAAAAAAAAGCTAAGCTTGGATCTGCACAATGCCAGGACTCGCATGGAAACGCAGGTTCCTCTGAAATGCAGGGCTACTGCTGCCAAGACAGGCTGGCCGGGGTGTCTAACCAGGACCAGCCAAGCTCAGGAGATGACAACATTCCACCAACAACTGGTGAGGAAGGATGTTCTTTTTAACTAGGCACGCAAGGAGCCTGCAAACTGTATTTTCAAATCCTCAGTGTCTTGACCTGCTTTTCTGAGGCAGCTCCAGCAGACACTGTGCCCCACCTCTGCACATGCTGCACGGGGCTTGATCCTGCTCTGCAGCCCAGGGGCAGAGCGGGTGGGAGAAGCTTCCTACGAGGAGCTCTGTGCACCGCCGGCATGCTCAGTGTGCCCACCACTGCTTGCACTGGCCCAGGGCATGTTAAAAATGCATTCAAGGTTGACACCAGACAGAACAAATCCTATTCTTTGAATGCATTTTTCCTCCTTCCCTCCCCTCTTCAAGGAGGAGATGTCAAAGAGAAGGTCACAGTCGCAGCGATCAGCACTGAGACATGGGAACATCCCTAAGGACAAGATGAAACGTGAAGCAGTGTGAAGATACCTGTGCTGCAGCAGCCTGCTGTGCGCTTGTCCTATAAATAGAGGCCTTCAATGTAATTAATTTTAACTATGGCTGCTGTCAGCAAAAACAAACTCACTTTGCTATGTGTGCGGATGGGAAACTCACCGTATTTTTCATTGAAAAGCTCTTTCACTTGTTCCCGAAGAATCACCTTCTCTCCAAGCCTGTTTGCATCATCCTCATCTGCAAAGCAAAAAAAGGTGCAAGATCTAAAAACCTGGATTCATTTTGGCCCCTGCAAGCTGTACCCCGCTGTGGTACAAAGGGATGTGCTGCTGCCCTCCAGGGCACTCCCCTTCCCAAAGGCAAGGCAGGGACCCTTCGGCCGCAGCTGCTCTTTGCTTGCACCTTGTGTCACCTTCCAGAGCTGTGCAAAGTAGCTATAAAACGCTGCCAAATCTGCATTTGCCACGCGCTTACACGGCTGATAGCATTTTACATCCACTTTGCGGTGCTATAAATGACTGCAAAATATGCAAAGCTACAGAGACTCAGGCCCTCAGTGTCACAAACGCTCCCACAAGTGATATCAAGGAATGAGATAGCAATTTTATAGCCAGGCTCTTAAGTACAGTATTGTTTTATAATACGCCATATAATCAGCTTGGCTTTACTAGCTTTTTTAATTATCCTCATCATGCCAAACAGTTTCCTCTATTCTCTCATCTTAAACGATGTGACTGTGCCAGTAGACTTCTCCCCAGCTATTCCGCATCCTTGGGGAGGCTCCGGGCACTGCCTGCCTTCAGTACCTGGCCCTTTTAAAGCTTTTCCACACTACAGAGAGAAAGGAGCAGCTGGAACGATCTTTTCCGTGTCTCCTTGTAGTTCACCTACACAACGCGGAGACGCACAGCGGCACGGAGCAGCCGAGCAGCCCGCCCACAATCACACGCAGCCGCCGCTGCAGCGCCGTCTGGGAGCTGGAAAGCACAGGCGGGGGGACCGAGGATGTGCTGCTGCCAAGATTACACGGGATTTTAATTTGGCTACTTATTTACAGCGAGCTCAGCAAAGAGCACAACAATCCAGCAGCCCTGGCACTCAACGCAAGCATTTTGGGGGCTACTCTGCACCCCATGCAAGCATTTGGGGGCTGCTTTTCCTATTAATGCCTGCTCCTTGATGCACCTGCAACACGGCAGTTGCACTGCCAGTGGTGCAAAATAAGCTTTTAATGGGGGCCCTTTACACACGAATGCAAAGGCGTTGGGTAAATTGGGCTTGCAGCACTGCCTGCTCCTCTCAGTTTAGTCCTTCCCAATACCTCAATTTCGGTGCTCCAGGAAACACAAGATTAAGAATAACAGCAGTAATAGTAACAACAATAATAGTCATGATTTAATTGTTTTCCTTTGCTTTTATGCTGCCCTAGACTGCGTTTTTAAGGTCGCTCAACAACCATACAGCTTGAAATTTTGTTTTAAACACAAGTTGACAATCCTGTACAAGTTCCTGCCTTGCAAAGCTGGGCTTTTGAGCAGGATCCAACCATTACCAGGCTCACAGCACAAACCCCGTGGTTTGGCCAAGCTGCACTCCATGCCCCTGTGATCCCCACGGAATCGTATGCCCTGCCAGGAGCTGCTGCTCGGAGCAACTGCATCTGGAAGATAAGAGTCTGGTAGGTCCGTGTGTAATTAGGAGAAAGGGAGATGTTTCTGTAAAGAAACCTCAAGACCAAGTAGCACTCCAGAAACTGCAGTAAGAGAAACTGAAGGGGATCTAGCAAAGAAAAATGAATAGAAAATATAGAATACAGTAGAATAAGGTAGGGTAGAGTAGACCAGGAGTCCCTGAGGAGCTCTGATTTACAGAAAGCATCAAGATTCTCCTCTCTGCCACCTGCCTACAGGTGCCATTGCCGGGGCTGCAGCAGGCCCTGGGCACTGGTCCCTGCGGGCTCCCTCTGCACCCTCCTCGTCACTTATGCTCAGTTCCTTGGATGTGTGTATGCAGCCATATGGATGTATAGATGGTAGCAGACAAAGAAAGAAACATCCTACTGATGTGTTTCCATTTGCTTAGTTTTGCAGTGGTTCCTCTTCCCTGAGAAATGCCAGAACTCCTTCCTTGCCACTAATGGTCCGAGCGAGCCAACCCTGCAGTGGCAGCAGGGATGGGGCAGCCTCCACTCCCATCTCATGACCTCAGCTCATCAAAAGCCAAACGGGGCTCAAACTGAGCACGCACAACGGAGAAGGTGGAGAGGAAGCGTGGAGGGGAGCTCCTGTACAACCACGTCTGCACTATTAAAGCAGGGGAACACACGCGTTCGGGTTCGAAACTGTGCTATCTGCTTTTCTTTCATGCAAGCAAAAGGCAGCAGCCAGTTTGCTGGCCTTTATATGCGAGCGCTGCTTGGTAAGGAGACAACAGACTGAAGTCCTCTCCTCAGCCACGCATGCGGGCTCCCACTGCAGCCTCGATCCCTCACCTTGCTCCCATTAGAACCCAGGCAGAGGCTCTTCAGAAAAACTTGCCCACTGCTGTCTTCCCAGCAGATCAAGGCATCTGTGTTTGCATCCAACATGTAACTCAGTGGCTTCTGTTTCCACATGCACTAAACCATGAATGGACCAGGGTACAGCCTGGCTGCTACGAACAGCAGCAATGCCCACGACAACGAAGACCCATCAGCACCAGGATGGGCAGAAGTGGTTAGCAATCCCCCTGGTGCCCACAACAGCCATTCCCTGCTGCTTGCGTGTGCTTTACAAACTCCCCTTAGCGAAATAACATCCCTCGCTGCAAAAGCGGCTCAGGTTTTGGTAGCCTCGCGCACGTTCTTCCTTCTCCCGCTCATTTCAAGGGTGCACACAGCCAACACAGGCCCTTGGCGGGCCCTGAACTGCGCAAGGACAAACACACAATGCCTCTTGTCCTCCATCACCTTGTCAGAGCGCAAATCCAGCCACCCCAGTGGGAATCTGGAGCAAACCCGCGAAGCACAAGGGGGTTACTCCACAGTGACACAGCTTTAAGCACAGTGTGAATCAGCCTGACGCACACGTTAGCTGCATGCAGCCAGGAACATGCAGGCACATGCAAGCAGCACCCAGACACGGGGCAGATCACGCGCTGATACGAATAAGCCCAGCTCTTCCAAGGGCAGCTGCACTGGCACAGCGTGTCATGCAAGGGCTGCACAGCAGGCAAGCTCTCCTTTCCTCCTTAAATCATTAAATAAGCCGAGCTCATGGAGCATGCTCCACTCCGCTGTGTGGATTAATGCAAAGCATCCCCCAAACTGCCTGCTATGAATTGCAGAGGGGCTTTTTTTTTTTTTAACAGATTAATCAGATAAATACATGGAGGAGCTAAGTGTAACTGGTCAGAGCAGTTTGCCCAGAGCAGAGCCAGCCCTGGTGCTGGGGCTGCAGTGAGAAGAGCTCAGGGGTGCATATGAGATTGGCCACAAGAACCAGCATTAAGCACATTCTGCATTGTTCCGTTCTGGGTATTACTGGGGAACAGAGCAGGGAGGAGAAAATACCTGGCACCGGGGCCTTTTAACACCCTTCCATTCCTGCATTAAAACACAAGTGCATTTCTTGTCTGCTACCATCTACGATGCATCAGCTGAGCTACGTACCATTCAAGGCCGCATACGCTTTTTCCAGTGACGTTATCCGTCTAGGGGCTACAGCATGAGTTAAAAGAAGAAAAAAAAAAAAAAAAGGAGAGAAAGAAAAAGAGAGCAATGAGTGCTAGAGTTTGTTTTTCTTGTTCACAAAACAAAATCAAAACCCAGGATGGCCCTGTCCTTAACCGCTTAAAATCACTGCGGTCCCCAAGGCCCTCTGGCATCGTGACCAGGCGTCCCATGGGTTTTTGCTGAGCTATTTTTGCTGCAGGTCCTTGCACCCACCCCATCTAGCAGGGAGAGGCAAGCAGCTCCATCACCCCATCCTGTCCCATCCAGACCAAAGCCTCCAAGGGCGGACTGCCCCAAAAGGAGGGTAAATTTGTGAGTTAAAGCAGATGAAGGAAGCTCGCTCCCGAGGAAGCGAGCACGTTCATGAGCAGGAGGACAGCCCCACCGGCATGTGTTGGCTGGAGCACAGCCCCACCACTCCAAGCACGGTCCAGAGCATGGTCCATCACTACACGCATGGGCAGGACCAGGTTCCATCACCACGTGCCACACCAGTGCAGGAGAAAAGGGGCTACCACAGTTCTCCAAAGGAAACGGATTGAGCAAGAGCAGAGGGACTTCAGGGCCTGGGACTATCTGATGTGGGTGAAGAGGTGGCACAGGCAAAGAGAAACAGGGAAGCAAAGGCAGAGAAGGATGGTCTGAATTGCAGAGGACAAGCACCAGGTGCTTAAGATGCCTTTAAGAAAAAAATTTGGGCTTTACAAAACTATCGGCTTTCACTGCTTGATTTTCCATGTTCAGACCAAAAAGAGCAATCCATCACCTTCACGCCAAGAACAAATACTCATCCTGCAACAAAGGAAGGCAGATAAGAAGCAACAATAACCTGACCGCCCTCGCAAGGGTTAAATATTGTGATAGAGAGATGAAGGAAGCCCACATATCTGGGCTTAGGACAAGGCAAGGAGTGAAACCCACTCTACTCAGATCCCTTTTTCTGTTAGGAGTTTCAAATGGGAGCTACGGCTCATCCAAGTCTTGTGATTAAAAAAAAAAAAAAGATGCCTGGATATGTGTTTTTTTAATTAAAAAACACTGCCTGCCCTACTTTATTAACTGGAGTATGGGAAATAACCTATCAGGGCGGTAAGCAGTTTGGGGAATAGGACAGATGGAGCTGGCGTACATTTTCAATCAAAGCACACAAAAATTAACATACAGTAAGTTTTTTCTTTCTCCTTCTCTTTTTTGCTAGATTACCTATGCTTGATTTTTTTTTCAAAGGCTCAAATTAAGCCTGTTTTGTTTCTTCACACCACAGGAAAGGAAGAAACGAGAGGAGAATCTGCACGGGCAGTGCTGGAGCTCCAATGCTGTGCTCCTAACTTCTGGTTTGGCACCAAGAGCCTGAGCCTTTTCAAAAAGCATTTTGATGGTCTTTTGCACAGAATCGATAGCATTGACAGGGAGAAGGAAAACTGGAAAACAAATGGAATTCCCTAAAGGCCACGGGGGCTGTGCTTGCTCAGGGCCTGAGGTGCTCTGCACAGGGCATCCCCCAGGGTCTAAACCACCTAGTTGGGGTGGTTTTTTTCCAGAAATGGCTTCACCCCCCAAAACGTCTCCTTCAAATGCAGAAATCGCCAGCTCTGCACACAAGCTCTCCTTCCGAGCACTGCGAGTCTCACCCACGCGTTTGCAACCCGTTAGGGGAGCGATAGCATCTTGACAGCAAAATTACAGATAATCTCAAGAAAGAAAAAAAAAAGGAAAAGAAAAAGAGGGTGAGGCCCTCAGCAGCGCATTGCAATCCTGTTATGCACTCCTGCAATACTTAAAAAAAATTGCTGCTCCAAAAAATGTGGCGAAGGAGCCCGGCTCTGTGCATCCCTGCAGGTCCCTGCATAGACACCCCTCCGTGCTCACTGCAAGCATAACCCAAAGCTTTAATGACCAGGTAACTACTGCCCCTGAAGTGTGTTTTTAAAGAAAATTTTGTATGCACTTGTTTTTTTGTCTCATTTACAACAGGTATTATTGATGCAAAATTCAGCAGAACCACAAAAGTAGAAATCCAGGTACATTTATAAAGAAGTCGCCTGGACTTTCTAGCACTTAATGGCTTTTGCAAGCTCATCTGTGGCAGGGAATGAGGGTGTGTAAATATCACCTTTTATTTTAATGTTATTTTGCAAAATAAAATGATTTGCATCATTTTTCTTCTAATGACAAGGACACATGTCTGTTGGGATCAATTTTACATAACTCCATTTTAATACAAAACATGACAACTTCCCCCATCTTTCATTTTTTACGCTCTATGGCTATTTTGAAATTATTAATTTTGTTAAGGCAGATGAAAAGCAATCAAAGCAAAAGTGGTGCAGGTACCACTCTTTCTACCATCAACACATGTATAATAGGATGGTAGAGGGGGAGAGAGGTTAATTGCTGCCAGTTTTTTTTTTTCGGTTGGGGAAAGATCAGAATAGCTTTATTTTATTGAAGAGATATTCCTGTGCTAGGCTTGTTATTATAAAATAATTTCAAGTGCTTGAATTGCCTCCTAAGATTTGGTAAAAATATGATATAGTCTAAAACAAATTGAGGTGCTACTCAAACACTCTAAAACAAATTTAGGAAAGAAAAAGAAAGAAATTCCTATCTGTAGCTGTTTTTACTCAAAAGTTGCCACCAAACCCAAGAGCCGTGAGGATGGGATGCAGTACTGGTGATGCCGGGCTAAGCGCATGATGGGGACAGAGGAGCAGGGACTATGGGACCACTTCCAGGGGCTGCTCTGGCAAAGCAATAGCCTGGGAGAAAATATTTCTGCAGCTTCCCCCTCACATGGGCAAACCCAGAGGCAACAGCTGGAAAGACATTCCAGATGTGCTCCAAAACGGCACGATTTGTGTCAGATGGGTGTCCCTTAAGGTAACTGCGCGTGTCGCTGCACAGGAACGGGAGGACAAGATGTGGCTGGAGGAGTGGGTAGGATTCGGTTTGCTCCAAAAGCCAGTCCCTGCGGCTCCACGGCAAACTGGAGCCCGTCAACACACATATGTCATGGCAGGCTCCTTTGCGATCCAGCTGATGGGAACTGTCTGGGATTGTGGCGCTTTGGATCCAAAAGCAAGAACTTCCATCCCGGGCCAGGGGAGGTCTCTTGGATCCTCTCCAGGGAATTGCCTGGGCAATAAATAGGATCCAGAGGATCAGCCCATAAACCATGGCCTGGACTGAATTTCTCAGACGGATCATCTCTTGCCAGAGCTGTCTCTGGCGTCTAACACTATTTTTTTTTCTTTTTTCTTTTTTTTCCCCTCCAGTTGCCAGTAACAGTATATAATAAATGTTTTCCTGTCTGCTGTATTTTTCTTCCCCAAATTGTGCCATCTCCATGGAGGCTGGCCAAGGAAACGGAAAGCCATCAATAACGAAGACAACTCTTTTTGCACCCATCTGTGCTCTTCCAACAGTTGTAATTACACACGTTTAGAACAGAGACGGGTTTTTAACCACAATTCCAACAGCAAGCTCGCTCTTCTGGAGAGTCAGCAAGGCACTGAGCTATTGCAGCAGTGCACGGGCAAGGGGAACGTCCCCATGAGACCCTTTTCACAGTCCAGCTTCTGGGGCCTGGCTCAAAGCAGCATCCTCAGAAGAGCATGAGCAAACCCAGTGCTCCTCCTGCGTGCTGGGAAGGCTTTTTTTCTTCCCCCCCCCCTCAATACCTGCATTTCAATTTTTCCACCTAAATGTAGGATGCAGATTCCTGCCCTTCCTGCTCTTGGAGAAACACAAGGAAAAAACGGCAGGACGCAGTGGGTGGGCGGCTGCCTAGGGCAGGGAAAACGTCACCCGTGCACCCAACATCACTCAACTGGGAAGTGCACAGAGGCCACCAGCACGAGCGCATCCCGCCAGCACCGGGCCCCCCTCACCGCCACCAAGAGCCAAGTCGGGGCATCGCGTAGGCAAAAAGCGCTTACCGGGTTTGGGGATGAGTCCTTGGAAAGGCCTGCAAAAAAAAGGAAAAGAAACAGGAAGATGTAGAGTGGAAGGGCAGGGAGAGGATGAGTGTGGAGCGCGTGCCGCCCTCCAGCAGCGAGCGGCACCGCAGGCACGCACCTCGTCACGGTGAACTTGATCTTGTCAGCCACGGCCAATATTCGCTCCAGGTTCTGGGAGCCGAAGGTGCACGGCTTGCGGAAGGGGATGCCGGGGGGCAGCCCTTCGATGATCACCGAGCCCGGGTTGCTCTTGATCCGCTTGTAGGGCACTTGCACGGGATACTTGATTCCCAAGGCTTCCCCTGGAAGGAAAGCAAGGTGCATGCACGTGTGATGCCAAGGGGCTCTGGGATGGCTGGTGTCCCCGGGGATGTTCCCAAAGCGTCATGCTGAGCCCAGCAAGGTGGAGCGTGTGGGTCAAGGATCAACACTTGGAGGCCATCATCCTGGGGACAGAGGGGTGGCTCCCGATGCAGAGGGGAGGGTGAACAGAACCCCCTGGCCAGGGAGTATCAACATGCAATGGAGGGATGGGGAGTAAAAAGGAGGCAGGAAAAAGATGCAGGGAGGAAGGGAGCAGAGAACTCCCACGCTGCGCTCTCACCATATTTCTTATTGAACAGGTCCTGGACTTGCTCCCGCAGTGTGTTAGCGATGTCTATTCTGGAAAGCCTGGCATCATAATTTTCTGTAAAATAAAAAAACAATTATGGACTTCTGCTGTTAAATTAAAAGGCACTCTGTGACTTTTAAGTAATATGATTTTCTAATTATAGGAAAGTCCTTATCTCGCAATTAGCTAATCTCTGGAGTAGGCCATTCAAAGTCCTTAAAAATAATCTAAACAGAAATGCGTTCCCCCACCCCCAACTGCTATGAATAAAAGCTGCATGAAATCGAAGATGCAACTGAGATAATTGCTGACATTAAAACAAAATGAAATCAAGAACGGATCCAAAAACCTTCAGTGGGCCAGGGGGCTGCTGGGGCTCTCGACCAGCCCTTGTGCTGGCTCCGCACGTCTGCACAGGCCATACATGGGATTCACAAATACCATCCCAGTGCAAACGCCACAAAGGGACAAAACGCGAGGTTTAGGAGACTTCATTTTGTGTTTTGCAAGGTCAGACTACATGATAACCAGAGCAGTTTAATTAGGGCACTGTGCACTTCTTGTCACTAGTCTGGGGGACTGTCCACCCCAGCGGTGCTTGGCTCCATCTTAGCCTTTCTGTTTGGTCTCCTATCTTCTCATCTCATCTCCTCCTTTTCTTTTCTCCCACCCAGCCATGCTTCGAGCCTCTACCAATGCAACCAGCCATCAAATGGTCCATGTGCTGAAGGTGGCAAGCGTGATGAAGACCATGGGACTGAAAGCCGTGGGGCACAGAGGGGGCTCACACACTCTGCCCGTTCTCACCTTGGAAGCCCTGTCTCTTCACCACATCATCACCGACTGGGTCACTGGTGTCCCTCTCACCAGCTGCCAGGACAAGGGAGAGGACAGAAATTAGTGTTTTCAGCCCAACCAGAGAAGATGACACAAGGAAGCAATTTCCAGAGGCCCCAAACACCAGGGCCAAAATGTGGCCAAATTGGGCCAGATTACCATACAGGCCAAAAATGACGCAGCAAGGGAAGGAATGACAGGTAGAGGCTCATGTTCCCCTTGCAACTCATCATTAACTACTGTGCATTTCAGGACCTACCTTTGGCTCCTGGGCTGTCAGAAGAGGTCTCCTTAATTCCCTCAGCCAGGAGCTCTGGTCTGGAAAACAGTGAAGAGCAGGCAAAGTGCCAGTGAGGTCCCATTCCAGTAAACCATCAACATTTTACTGCTCCATCATTGAGGATAACACTCTCCATGCACAAACCCGCTAAACGTATCTGGCTAATGCAATTTTAAAGCCGCTGCAATGCAGCGGGAGGACTTTGGAAACACTTTTCCTGCTGACAGGCTCTTTAGTGAGGCTGGGTACTGCTTTTCAACATGCTTTAGGCCCAAAAACACGTCTCTTGGGCATCTGAAAATAAAAACAGGTAGAGATCTAATACCCGGACTGGTTAGCAGCCCTTCAAAACCATGTTGGTAGCTATGCTGCAAAGAGATTTGGGATCAGGAAAGGATGGGGAGAAATCCCAAACCTACTGTTGATGTGTTCATGTGTAAATTCCTGGTCTGATGCCACAAAGTCTCCCTGCTCCCAACTTTTCTATTTCAGCCACCAGACGGAGTCGACTATGTTGCTTTTCTCCTCTGTGAAGGAGAAGTTTTCTCCAACTTTGCTGCTTGCCAGAATTGAATCTACGTTCACAAGCCAGAGGACACAGAGCCTGGAGTTACTCAAAGCAGCAGCAGAAACTGCCGGACACACCAGTGCCAATCCACACCTGAAGTCTGGAGGCCACGGAACTTGGTTCTTTTCACCTAATGAAGCTTAATGGCCTTGGGGCTTTAAGTTAAAGTCATGAAGAGCACAACAGATTGCTCAAGCAGAATGGGGATGGACTGAGGTAGCATTTGGGTGAAAAACCTCTGCATAATACTAATACCCTATCCCTGGGCAATAGCAGAGAACTGCATAGGTACTGCACCCAATTCTTCTCTCTACCCAGTGATGCTTTACTAGATACCAAAGATCTAAATGCCAGGTGAGACCTGAAGGCTCCTGCACCAGCGGAGAGAGCTGGGCCTGTTCAACCTGAAAAAGAGAAGGCTGAGGTGGGATCTAATCTGTGTATAGGAGTGAGGAGGATGGGGCCAGCCTTTTTCAATGGTGGCCAGCACAAGGCAAGAGGAAATAGCCACAAACTGACACACCAAAAGTTCCACAGGAACTTAAGGAAAAATTCCTTCACAGTGAGGGTGACAGAGTCCTGGAACAGGCTGCCAAGAGAGATTGTGGAATCTCTTTCTCTGGAATACTCAAAACCCGCTTGGATGCGATCCTGTGTAGCACGCTCTAGGTGACCCTCCAAAGGGGTTGGACGAGATGATCTCCAAAAGTCCCTTCCAACCTTAATGATTCTATGATTCCATTATCCATTCTTTCCTATGCCGTTCTGTTAAGATCATGGCTTTGCAAAGGCAAGTTAAAAACAAAAAATGAAGAGACAGAGAGACTAACACAACACTACTCCCCAATGGGGACATCTCCAACAAGGCAACACCACCTGAATGCTTTTAATCAAGCAAACGTATTGAAGGTGACCACATGACAGATGTTTCTGTGGGCACTTACTCAAAAGCTGTTACAGCCCCAGAAGCAAACGCTAAAAACAACAGTCCTCATCAGAGGTTTTGGCTAAGTACCTCATCTTACCTTCTAACGACAAACTGGATGTTGTTGCTTGCTTGTAGGATCTTCTTCAACTTTGCAATTCCAAAGCAGTTTGGGCGGCGCAGGAGAATGCCTTCAGGCAAGCCCACCACAAACAGGTCCTCAGGGTACATCAGGAACTTGGAGTAGGGAACTTTGACCGGCTCTGAAATTCCTATGGCTTTTGCTGAGTGACAACCAAATCTCATTAATTTCCGCTTCCAAACCGAGTAAAACAGTCACGATACACTGAGCTGAGTTCCATTACTCTATCCATTGATGCAGATTCAAGGGGAAATCTACACAGGAATCAGCAGCTGCCTTGGAATTTGCTGGTTTAATAGAACCTGCCTCTCAGCAACACTCTTGTCCAAAGGGCTTTCTCAAACTTTTTTTCACAAGAAAGAGGGGGTCCCATGTCTAAACCTTCATGGATGCCCCTCTGCAGCTGCCAGATGGGCAGAAGACAAGGGAAATTGGCTGCATTTGAAATTTGAAAATTGCCCTATTTGCCCTGGGAACTTGTTTCATCTCCTGTAGACTGGTGGGGAAACTTGCAGACTCATTGCACGAAAGGCTGGACTTCCAACAGAAATGCTGAGCATTGCCAGCAAGCAGGCCCCATCCCCACAGACACATCCTGCCTTCTCTGCTGGGCACTTCGCAGGGCTTTGGCTTGCTCTTCTGAACTTGGGTAGTAGGCAAGTGGATGTACAGCCACTGCCAAGTAACAGTTTTTGGTCCAAGATGAAAAACCAAGACCAAAACCCAGGCTGAGCTTGAGCAAGAACTCCCAGTCTATTCCTAAACTGGGAATGAACCCATCATCCAGTCCAGAACTTTAAGCTTTACCAGCAGGGCACAACTCTGCCCAGGGAGCATCCTGGCCCTTCTCAAGGGCACCAAACCCCCAAAATAAAGCCCATCTTTCCAATGTGCTCTGTTCATTCTGAAGATCTCTCCCGACTGAAGCTGCACTATCCAAATCCTAAAGACACACTTCTAAAACTAGGAAATAACCCTGTCCTCTTGGACAAATCACCTCTAAATCCAATCCGCTTATAATTCCTCAAAGGAATGCAGGACTTAACACTCTGCAAAAAAGTATTTTCTCATCCAACACAAGCAGGGACCTCACTGCCACAAAGCAAAGCCCAGAGCAGCTCGTGCAGCCTGAGCACCATGGCCCAGGCTCCAGCATTCCTGGGGATGGATGAGCAGAGTCTCATTCCCGCTTCCAGCCGGCCAAGAAAACTTGCTGCCAGCTTTCAAACTCCCTGGATAACTTCCCTTGTGGGTTTTTTTTTTGGTTGTTGTTGTTGTTTTGCTTTTTTCCTCCCAAGGTTAAGCAAGCTTGATGAAAAAAAAGAGAGGAACATTATATACGCATAATTTTAACTGCATCCCCTCAACAGCCTCCTGAACTCAACTAGGACACTAAGACAAATCCTTATGCAAGGAAAGCAGATAACACCTCGAGGTGGTGGGGATGGAGGTGTCACGTAGCCCAACATTCCCCTGCTGCACCAGAAACCAATTCTGTTGAAGGGGGGAAAAAAAAAGTTAGGAAAAAACAAACAAACAAGCAAAACCCCTCTATGACACTGCAAACAAGTGGAGGGAAAACCGCTCCAGTCCCTTCCTTCAGCACAAGGAGGATTGAAGGTGACCAAGGCAGCTCCTGGGTGGTAACCAGCTCAAAGGCACCAAGGAAGCCAAGAGCAAGAGCTGCAATAACAAGGCCCGTGGAGACCTCAGATGCATTGGCAAGCCCGGCAGACAGCAAAGGAACAAATTAGATTGCACCTTTAGTCAGCAACGGGTTTGGAAACAGTAGGTGACAGTTCTCAGCAATTAGAAGCTCCCTAAGGCAGAGGCCAGAACTTGGCTTTAGTGGCATTTGACTAATGACAAATGACAAATGATTTTTGTCAATCTAATGACAATCTTACCGTATCTGGTGTTGAACAAAATCTCCACTTGCTTCCTCAAATGACTTAAAACATCCCCTACACCATCTGCAGAAAAAAAAAGAAGCACACAGAGAAATCAGCCACCCCCAAGGCAAATGGATGAGGACGGGCCAAGTGACTTGTTTTCCCTGTCAGAGCCTACAAAATCAGAATCGGCCCTTGGGCAGCCTGCAAACTCCTTGCCCCAGTGCAGAAATGCTGACCATGCCTGATCATGGAGCAGAAAAATCAGAAGGATTTTGAAGGCCAAAAAGTTTGCATGACATCCTTGGCCAGACAGCCCTTCCCAACCATCCTCCAGTGCCTTGCGAGCCCTGCAAAGTCAGGACATTGAGTTTGGGGTGCTGCACCCAATGAAGCAGGAAGTCCAGGGCACCGAGAGGCACGTGGTGGGCAGCAGATGCTGTAATGAAGCATTTGCCATCCGTATTGGTCTTGGCGGTATGGCTTACTTCTCTCCTCAGGCTCTATTTTCAAAGCCTAGCAGTGGGCATAAACATGCACTGATAGCCCTGTGCCTCCCCATCAAATTATATAGCAGAGATCTGATAAACAGAAATGGTTCCACTTTTCTCTGGATATCCTCTATTTTCTGCCCCTGGTTGCTGATGTTTAAGCGGCGGGGCAGCACTGATCTGTATTTCAGGGACAAGGAGTGGTGGCTGTCGCTATCCCCCCAGCACAGTGCTGTTAGCCCCGCTGCAGAGAACATGCTGGGCTGCAGGGCCCATGGGGCCAGGGACATCCTGTAGATGACTGTCCCTGCCACGCGTTCGCCAGCCTCCCGAGGGATGCACCGAAGGTGCCGAGTGGTGAGGAAGGAAGGGCTCAGTTACAGACTCCACATGACCTCAGTCCAAGTTTGCAGTTTTATCACACTCTGCTCTAATCTCTCTCCTCTCTCACCACGTGACCCTGTTCCAGAGAGAGAAGGCTTCACTCTTCGACCCATTTAGGAGTGAAAACGCTGCGAATGATCTGCGTAAAGCTGAGAAGTTTTATTCCAAGCTGTAAACAGCTGCTTGTGCTTTCATTGCTCATTTGTCCTGCACAGAGCAGAGGAGAGGGACGCGAGCTGGCCTAGACCCTCCTCATCTGGATCCCACCTTGGGTAGCTCCATCACAGGAAGCAGCAGGCACAGGATCAGGGAAACATCCCAGACAGATCTGTGACAAGAAACCATCTCATGAAAGATGGCACCTAACCTGCACTCTAAATGTGGCACCAGCGCTAGGGGAGCAAACGCACCAGGACACTCTCCCAACTGCGTTACAGGTGCCACCAGGTCCCACTAAAACACAACAGCGGTGCATCAGGACCCCAAAATACAGAGGTGTCCCTTTGACCAAAACCTTTAGGGGGCTGAATATTTTGCAAACCATTAGAAAGGCCACCAGCCACCATTCAGAGCACATCTGGATTCCTCAGGCCTTTAATACCCTGGGGGAGTATCAGGGGGCGACACCTGGGCTCACTGCAGACTCACCTGACCCCTCCAGCTGCTTCTCCTCGTGCCGCAGATCCTCACTGGAGCCCTTCTCCGTACCTGCTGAGGAAGAGGAAGGTTGGCAGCGCTCGGAGAAGAACATGCCAGAGACAGGAAAACACAGGAATGAGCTGAGTGTGAAGGGAATGAGATGGAGCCTCCATGGCACTCCCAACAAAGTGAGGTTGGATGGCACGAGGGAAAACACTTTTGCCTGGTCTCCAACAAGCACCTGTCACCTGGCTCAGGTCCAGGTGCTCCCAGTTCAGGTCCGGCTGTCCCTCCAGATGATAAATATCAGCAAGTGCAGAGATGTCACAGCACTTATTGGGACCATGATGTGTGAACAGGGCTCCTGCCTCGGAAATTGCTGTTTATAACAAATACTCTGACTGTGGATACACACATAGATGCAGTGCCTCTGCACCTTCTATGACAATGCCTTAAATTTTTATTACCTGTTCCTGTTTCTAGCATGTAGCTTGACTCCTCTGAAGCCATGTGCGTGGCCACTGGGTCATGCATTTCATCCGAGCTGGGCGATCGATCTGTGGACAAAGCAGCAGAGGCAGTTTGTGCTTTGCTGCTGGAGACCTCAGTCCTCCCCATGCAGCAGGTAGGAATGTGTGAGCCTGGGATGCAGCCTTGCAGACGTGGGACACCAGACGCCAGGCCACGGGCCAAGCATCCAGTTAGCAAACCTGTCCACTTCCTACACAGCAGCCCCAGGATCTCTTCCGAAAACACGTCCAAACTTCCACACTCAGGGCAAGGCACCCTACAAAAAACCTAAACCTACAAAAGCTTCTTCCTAGATTCCATAGAAGGCAAAGGGCAAAAATAGTTCAAACGGATTTAATTGGCTTAATTCCATTCAGCTACTCACTTCTGGCTTAAAAAGTTAATGCTACTTGACTTAGCTACTCCACCTTGGGAAGACCATACTGATAATTTGCTGCCTTCCTCCATAAAATGCCACCACCTCTAAATTTCTCTTGCATATACATGCAGGTCCTCTTAATTTAAACTTGTATCCCATAATGCTCTCCTATGCCCTCAAAGAGATATCCAAATTTAGTTTTAAATAAACTTTTAGCTAGTTTAAATACTTCAATCAGGTCACTTCTTAACCACCTTCTTGCAGGATAAATAATCCAAATTTCATCCATTTCTCCTTGTGTGTGAGCACCTCTTCTCTATTAATCATCTTCAGTGCCCTTAGCCATACTCACTCTGATTTAACGTTATCTATCTTCACATAACATAATAAAAAGTAGACTCTGGACTTCAAGTACAATCTAACCGGTCCCAGAAAAGTGATAACACCTCATCCTTACACATCCTGCAAGCTCCACACATATTAGCTTTCCTCTCTCCCACTACCTGCCCAGTTGAAAATTAAAATATTTTATCTACCAATATTTAGCTCTTTCTCCCTGCTCTGTATTAGCTGTAAGTTAAGTCTGTTCTAGTGCAATTCCAGCACAATTCACACTGGTGCAACGTGGAGTGGTGCAATTTGGCTGCAGTCAAGACTAGCGTGGCTTTGCTTGTGCTGGGTGTCATTTCCAGCCCGAGCATCACTTGGCACTCAGATACGCTTCGAATCATGTTCCCACTTGCATTCTGGGGAGATTATTAATTAATGCTTGTAAAGCACACCAAAAATGCAAAGTGCTAACTAACCATGTGTCGAATCCATGCTCTCGTGCCACCACCTGGCAACAGCTCAGGTAGCAGCTCTAGAAAGTGGCTCTTTGGAGAACGTGTCTCTCACCTGGGCCACAGGAACCCAACTCTTCCATTTTCAGTTTACGCTTAACGTTAAATCTGTTCTCACAAACTTTTCATGCTTTTCTAAATTGGGGACTTCATTGAAATATTGCACGCTTGCATTGAAGATCCTCCAAACCCCTGCACCATGGAAAGCCATCGCCCTGGACCAGCGCAACGCCTACCTGGAACAGTGATTTGAATGATGTCCAACTCGTCCGGTTCAATTTTGATCTGCCTGATGCCACTCAGCTCTCCCGAGGTACCTGAGCGGGAAAGGGAAGCGAAGGATACATAACCTCAGACACAAATATCCAGCACGTGGGCAGGGACAGCGTCGCTGCTGGCGGTTCAGGCTCCCAACTGCAGCAGATGCCAGTGCAGAGGCTGCTCATCTTGGGCCATCCAGCGACAGCCCCATGGTGAAGAGAGAGCAAGATGGGGCCATGGGATCCCATGCAGCCTGGCAGCCTCCGCTGGGATTTGCACCCATGTACAGCCTCGACAGCACTACGTGTTGAAGGGATGTTAAAAGGGATGGAGCAAACTGCATTTACTGCAAGGTGGATTTCCTCCTCATGGAGTGGGGCTAATTCACTCCAAGGCGTCGAATCCCATCTCGCCACAGTTTGCCACGGCTTTACCTGCTTAGGCGTCTGTCGAGAATTTAACTTGGGCTGGTTTCTCCGGCCCAGACCCCGGAGTGAATTAGTCCAGCTGTGCAGTAACCTTATCTGAAGGGAGAACAGGGTGATTTGCCCCTCGGAGCATTTGCAGCTCATTCAGAGCGCTCAGAGCATTCCCAGGGCGTGCTGGGGAGCTCAGCTGATGCGCGGCATCGCAGTCATGTGTCTGCCGTTAGGTAGGAGGGAGCTCACACATTAAAGACTTCATTGAGCATCACATTTAAGCACATGCCCCTGTCTCATTCTTTTCAATTTATGCTTTTTTTTTTTTTTTGACCCAGCTGCACGGTCATATGATAACAGCCGCTATCGCCGTATCTATCAGACAGGAATAAAATGCTGAAAGCTGCCCCTGCTGATACCATCTAACTAGTGTCACACTTCCAAGTTACGTTTAAAGGCCATTCGCTCTTCTGGTTCTTCATCACAAGTTTGTTCTGGTTGCCAATACAACCAAGCTAGCCGACCACCCCAACATTGGCAAAGTTTGGCTCATTTTCCCAAACTTTTGCCCCCATTTATCTTGCTGCATCAGCAGGTGAGTTATCGCATTGCTACTACCCTTTACATTTGTTTTGTTCACGCTTTTTCTAAATGAGACCTTCTTGCACAGCAACCAACAGACGAGCATCGTGTCATGCACGTGCCCTGCTCTGCCTTGCAGTTCTCAGACGGGATGGGGTCATTCCTTGCTCACCTGGTTCACAGCTTTCAGAAACGCTACACTTCTCAGCCCTGTAAGAGAAAAACAGACAAAAAATGTAGTGAGTAATTAAAGCTTAATGCAACATGCCCACGCATAGCACTGGGGGATGAACCACAGCAGAGGTTGGCATGGGCTGGCTGAGCCCCCCTTCCCAATGCATCCATCTGGGAAAGCTGCGCTGGGATAAGTTTTAGGAGTGTGGAAAACACAGAGGCAACTCTTGCAATTGCTCTCAAGATGGGCAGGTCTTAAACAGAGCTTGTTTTTCTCCCATAATGTGTTAATTTACACTCCAGTCCCCAGAAGGACTAGACTATCTCCATTCCCCACACCTAAAACATTGCAGATGCCCAGGTCCTGGCCCGGGATCATCTTCCAACCATTGCCTGCTCCTCAGCATTAATCACGGCAGATCCCTGGAGTCCAATGGATACGATCTCAGCTAAAGGCTCCTGAAAGCAAGGGGAGTTTTAACAGCAGCCTCAAACCTTGAAGGCTCCATCACTGTGGTGGGCAGAAGTGCATAAAGTATCATTACAATGTGATTACTCATGCAGCTAAAGCAAATATAAAGAAAGGAAAAGAGTCAATTGATTTGGTAAATATTTGTTCTACGCAAAGCTTTCCTCTCCCCTGAATACTGGGCACCATCCCAATCTTGTGTCTACTGTTAGTGCACTTAGAAATTTATAAAAGGTATTCAGCATCTAAATTAGATTACTTTGTAGCTCAGGCCTGATTTTTCTCTCTCTCTCCTTCTTAATAAGAACTATGGCATTCAGGTAACATAGGGACCAAGGAACGACACTGGGAACCACAGTCACTACAACGTTGCTCCATCAAAGCAAGGCAACAACAGCCAAGAGGGTCCAACATCTGTGCTTGAAATCTTCTTCCTAAAGATGCTATAAAGTCATACCTTTCCACTCTCGCACTTTGGGTCAAAGCCAAACTTTTGCTCTAGAAATTTGGGAGAAGGTTGTCCCTGTGGAAGCGATTACCCTCCCGCAATATCTAGCGCTTCTCCCTTGAGCATTTGGTCCTGCCTTTTCTCCAAACGTGGACTCTGAACTGGGTGGACTGCTGCTATGGAAATTTGTGTGTTCCAATCACAGAACAGAAGTCTCCTCGCTTGCAGGAAGGAGGAACAAAACGGGATTTGATTATCTTTCCAGGATATGTATTTTCCTTTGGTGCAGATATGTGCTATCAATAGATTTGGAGGTTTAACTTCCACATGCCAAAGAGCAAGCTTTGCAGCACAACCACACTTTGCAGTTCCCTTTTGCAGTTTCCCAGGAGTGCAGGCAAGAGCTCTCCCCGAGCCACAAGCTTCCCGCTGCCTTCAGCGCATCTTGGGGGGGAACAGCCCCAGCACCATTGACACGCTCCAAGACACACAACCACAGGTTTTCCATCTATTGCTTTGCACACAAACTGCCTCGGCCTCCCTTATACCCTGTCTCTCTGCTGGCAAGAAAAGGAGCCTCAGGGACTCGCTCAAAGCCACAGACATCTCCCCTTTCCTATGGGGCAGAAGTCCTGACCTAGGGATGAAGCCAGCACCCACGTTTTACCCACTGGTGGTGGGACCACATCACGGCAGACGGATTTGAAATCCACCCTGGGAATCCCAGCTCCTGAAGCACACTTGAATCAGTCATGGATTCATTTCAGTTAAGAACCAAGGCGAGGGGAACCAAAGAAGCCCTGGAGAAGCCTGGAGCAACTTAAGACATCTCCCCTGCCTGGCCTATAGAGGATTTTTACCTGGCAGTTCTGGTCAAAGAGGATGATGAAGGTGCCAGCGCTGTGCTGGAAGCTTGGTGCTGAGGAGCTCGCCCACATCCCATCACACTAACCCTCATCGGAGGGCATGAAGCCCAGCAGCAGCGAGGAAGGACAGCGGAGGAAGTCAAGTTCTTAAACTGCTCGCCTCTACCTGCCAAAACTGCCTCTATAAAACAGCCACACTGCACATTTATCTTGGGATGAAGCCAAGTTTAACCTGGGACTTGCAGCGAAGCGTCTGAAGAGGACTAGGACAGTGCCCAGCTTCACCTCGGCTTTAGGCTCATGATTTTGACATTGCCTGCTCCTGTTTGGGCTCACAGGCTCCAGGGGACTTCCAATATCCAGTGTTCCCATGAGCACTGGTCTGCCCAACGCCGGGAAGCCCAAGAGCAGCTTTGGAGGATCATCAGCCTTCAAGTAATTTAGTCTGCAGACTCTCAAAAGCTACCAGGGAAACACAGCCTGAACTGAAACAGGAATTTCATCTCACCTGCAGACATCCTGGGAAAGCTCACACTGCTCCCAGTGCTCCTAACCACACAGAAATCTGTGACTGACTTGGTCAGGATTTCTAGTCTTGGCTAGTGGGTCTGGGACAAGGGCTACGGGAAGGTGAGATCCACAGGCACTATGAGCTCCATACTGACCTGCCCAACCCGCAGACTCCTAATTGCTCTTATAAAAAGCACACTGAACTATTAGTCTCCCTGCAAGCTTTTTCTAAACAAATAGTGAGTAATTAACAGGGCATTTGGGCTGGGGCAACTCCTCCGGCAGTGCTTTAAACTCCTGAGGATGACTGCATCCAGCTTGTCTTTACGAGCCCCCGTGTCATCACTTCTGTACAACACCAGGGATTCCCAGCGTGACCTAGCTCGCTCAAGAACGGGAATGCCCTGTCCTCCCTGCACTTGCTGCTTACACAAGAGAAGCCGCTTTGCAAGACGTGGCAGCCGCGGCATCGGCAGCAACTTTCCAACCTGCTCCAGCTGCAACTCCTTCCTCACCTGCCAGTCCTTCTGAGCGCACACGGCCACAAAGCGACACCATGTGCGACAGCACCAGCTCCCTCCAGCTTTTAACACCTACCCTCCCTGGCTCTTTTCCATCCCAGTGGGCAATCCCGCATTCCACCCTGGACAGGGAAGCCCTAAGATGCAGGGTGAGCAGCGCAGGTACCTGCTGTTGGCCTGGGACGTCCCTGCCAGATCAAGGGCGGCTGCGGCGCGGAGCGGCTCGGGGGAGATCTCACCCGGCGGGCTTGCAGGCTCCAGCTTCGTTGGGTCTTTGGTGAATTTGCTTCCTGGTCGCCGTCGTGCAGGGTGATGTGTAATTAAAAGCAAAGCCATAATTAATGACCTGGTGACATCCAGTTCCTTCCTCCCGCAGAGATTCCCAGCCCTGCCGCCAATGAGAGCCCCAGGAATGGAAATGTCTTGTACTATAGTGGGGGAAAGGATGCAACTGGTCAGCAAGGAGGGAGGAAAAGGGGCATTTAGTCACCAAGAGAAACCTCCCCTTTACCTTCCTCAGCCCTCAACAAGCTGAGAGGCCCTAATGAAACCTCGGCAATGCCCTTGGGGACAGAAAGAGCAATCTGAAGACCAGTTAGGAAATGAAAAAAAAACAGGGAAGACAATGGATTGGTGCTCGGAGGAGGTGGGAACGAAACGATGCTGCCTAAATGCATAGATGCCCTCTGGAGCACCCTTCACCAGCCTTAAAGCCCCCTTGGACACTCCATCCTTGGGAAGATACCACCCGCGGGAATGCAGAACCTTCTGTCTCCATTCCACGGGGACGGGTATGGCAATAGCCCCTGTGGCAACACCAAGTCTTAAGGACGTTATCTATTCACCAAGAGGCAAAGAGCTCCTTTTAATTGTGCTCCCGATGGACTCAAGCCCTCTCTTCGCAGCGCTGAGGCCCATCCCGAGCAGCCACCCAGGGGAACAGTAAAACCAGGCTCCCCGGCAGCGGCAACGGTAATTAAAGGGTGAGCAAAGCCGCCCGCAGCCGCTCGAGACGCCGGCCCCGCTGCAGCTCTGCTCCGCCGAAACGGTGTCCGCGCCGGAGCGGCACCTCCCGACTCAGCAGCTGCTCTGGCAGCGCTGGATCTGCGGATTCCCATTGAGGAAATGCAGTTTGAAGCTTCCACGGAGCCTGCGGGGCTGTCTCCGCCACGCTCACAATGGAACGGAACGCTTTTTCCCCGCTGTTTCTGGCGGCACAATGCAGAGGGGGATGGCGGCAGCAAGCTCTTCTTCATGAGCAAGTGGTGGGATCAGGGCTTCCCACTATCCGTCTCATTTTATGGACTACAAACCCTTTCAAACGGCTTTAGAGGCAGAGGATTAAATGTGTATGGGGAGAGAAAAAAAAAAAGCAGAAGAAACCCCCCAGGATTTTGTCCCTGGTAACACTGATTCTTGTTCTTTTATTTTAAAGCAGCTAGTAGCTGGATAATGTAAGCACTTTTTAGGAAAAAAAAAAAAAAAAAAGAAAAGACTAATTTACCAGTGAGGAACCAGCAGTGATTTTTCTTCCCCATGAAAGCACAGAAATGTGTCATGTGCTTCCTGTAGATGAGATTTGCCCTGGCGCAGAGCGCCAGCCCAGCCTCATGCACCAAGTATTTCCCACTTAAGTCTCCAAAATGATATTTGAGTGGTACACAGGGCTTGCGTGGACCCCGGGCAAAAGCAGACCTTGCCATGCCAGGGCGTGATGCAGACAGGAGCCTTTTCCTCCCTGAACATCTCTACCTACATCCTGCACTTTCGCTATGTACAGGCAACATTATTACAACCCAACAGTCTGTCAATCTGCAAGCAATAAATCAAGGAGCATTATGAACATACCTGTAAAAATTCTCTCATCAAACATCCTGGAGGGAAAGAGAAAAAGAAGAAAGAAATCGGTGCTTCTAATGATTTTGCTTTAGATTTAGTATAAAACCAAGTCAAAATATTGTTATTTTACTAATTTCATTTAAAAAATAACAACTTCAAGCTTGTTGGGCAACCAAGCAATCTTACAGTATGGGTTTTCAACTGAAGTACCTCTACACCTACTTACAAGTCATTCTCTTCATTTAATTAACTTATTAAACAGGGTTAGCTTCACCAAAAAGGGAACCAAAGTAGCTGTTGCTAGGTTTTTCCTCATTGCAGACCATTCAACAATTTCCATTGGAGTGAAGCAGAAATATTTACACTCTTTCCATCTTGGGGGGAAAAAAAAAGCTATTTTGGACACCAGGCTTCTCCTGCAGGTGGTATTTCAGAGCTGCCTGGGACATCTTGCATGGAAGTGCTCAGAAGAGCAAAGCATGCTCAGATAGGAACTGCCAGCAGAAGCAGGAAGGAACCAGATCCCAATTGAGGATACAGATCCCTTGAAACCCTTTTCAAGAAAGATATGGGGTTTTTTTTTTGTTTGTTTGTTTGTTTTTGAGAATAAAAAATACAACATTTCTGCAATGAGATGTTTTGGGTTTTTTCCATCCCGAATTGCAATCCCTCAGAGTTTTAACATGCAGGCAGACCAGGGGACAACAGGAATGAGGTTGGGACACATGGGCACCCTCTGAGCTGCAAAATTCAATCACAAATTCTACCAGCAGGGCTGGCACTGCTTCTGCAGTGAAATCCTCCTTGCCCTTCCTCCATGTGGGCAAGCCTCGTGGGACACAGCAATGCTTCTGTGAATGCAATCTTTCCAGACATTTAGAAACTTCTTTGCTTTCAGGATGCCCAATTCCTACTGATTGCAGTGATTTTAATGCCTTCAAGAACCTTTGCCTCGTTTTGTCCTTGCTTAGCTGCACAACATGGGAACACCACCACTTTGGTACAGACAGGGACCTATTAAATATATTACAAAATGAGACTCTCCAACGGAGGAGCAAGGAGGGATTGCATGCTGTGCACATAACCAGGAAAGCTCCTGCCCTCTCCCTATCCCAGGGCAAAAGTAAAAACTGGGATACAACATTCTGTACTTAGATAATGAAAAAATATCCAAAATGTAGAAAAATACCCCACAAAAGCACAAGGTTGAGGGCATTTCAGCAGGACTTTGACTGCAGTTGAAGTGTCCTGTGCACCCAAAACACAGGGTGGCAAAATCCCAGTCTGCCCAGCCTTGCCACCATGTCACCACCACAGCGGTGACCGTGCTTATGTGGCTCCTGATGGACATGTGGCTCAGCCACACTGTTAGCAAAGAGGGAAAGAGATGGAAAAACAGGTCTCAGTGAAAAAAAGTAGTGCCTTCCTTACGTGTGCACAACAACCACTTAACTCGTTGCAAGAAAGAAGGGTAGAACAAGTTTTAGATGAAAAAACACCAACTTTTTTTTTTTTTTTTTTTTTTTTTTTTTTTTTTTTTTCTTCCATTCCCCAGCCACCTCTGAGGTGTGGCAATTCCCACTGGGAGCCGAGGGCATGGATCCGTCTTGGAGCAGTCATTCCCGGGAGCCTGAGCAGCAAACTGGCTAAGGCAGCACTGACAGCTGAGCCGAAGGGAAGAAGCAGACCCCGTGAGCCAAATGTGCTGCAACGATGACATTAATGCTGCATAGACCACCAGCTCGTGCCCGGAGACTACGTTCAGAGGAGGTCACTGGTGACAGAGGACGCTACCCGGCTCGCCACGTACCTTTTGATGACAAAATGGATGTTGTGCCTCTCCTCCAGGATCCGCTTGAGCTTGGGGACGCCGTAGGTGCAAGGCCTTTTGAAGGGGATTTTATCGGGGATGCCGATGATTTCCACGGCCTCTGGGTCACAGGCAATCTTCCGGTAGGGCACGGGAACCATGTGGTCTAAGCCCAAGGCTTCAGCTGCAAAGGCAGCACCCGGCGTTGGCTTAAGCGTGCGCCGAGCGACCCAAGCCCAGCCAGGTGGCCATGTCCCAACACGCTTCCCTCATGTACAGGTGAAAAGCAGCAGCCAGGATGATTGCAATCTCCTGGTTTTCCACCATATCGGTATTAAACAGGGGCAGCAAAGCCTCCCCCTCGCCCGTGGGACTTGGGCATGCTGACTGTCCCCCGCCCGTGCTGCCTTTCCGCCCTGGGACATTGCACAGCCGAGTTAGAAATTCCTTAACACGGGGGATGCCAAAGGGAAATATTGACATAACCTTAAGAAGCAAGGCAGCGACCGGGAGCTGCTGGGCTACGGGTGTTAAAGAGAGAAGGGAGTTGTAGCATATGGCTTCTGCTGCTGTGTTAGGGAACAAAAATGATTGCTATATAATGATATGCAAACCACAAGCACTGCAGATGCATAATGGGATATTAACTCCTACTCACCATATCTGCTGTTAAACAGAATTTGCACGCACTCCCTAAGGGTGTTGATATCTTCAGTTTCTTTTATAAAACTGTCCCACTTATCTATCAAAACAAAATAAAAGAAATAAGGAACTTCCATATGGTTCACAGGCAGCAGATGTACTTTTCTCTTGCGAGGTGCTGAGAAGCAGGAATCAGGCTTTGCTGCTTTAAAAATAATCATTTCCCCCTTCCTTCCTTCCTGCAGGAGCCCAGCAGACAGGGCCTGGGCTTCCCCTCAACCTCCCCTGCAGCCACGTGAGGGACGAGCTCCAAAGAAACGACCCCCTAGAAGATTTCAGCCCCCAAAAACCCTACAGGAGAGGACAAGCTCTGTACGCAAAGCACCCTCGAAACGCATGGCAATTTCACAGAGCAGCTTTTTGGTGCCGTCTCTTTCTCAACTTTCCCACCCCCTTTTTATCCTGAGGGTTTTGTGTGAACACGTCAGCGTTTGAGGCCCATGCGCTCCTTGGGCGCAGCCAGGGTGGGCAAGTAGAGCAGCCTCCTCCCTCCTCGTGGGAAGCTGCTCGTCATCCTCTGGGCACCTTGGTCCTGCCAACCAAGGCCTGGACTCGACAGGAAGGGAAATCCTCCGTTGTGCCATCTGCCCTGGCCCCCACTGGCACCCCAGCGCCCGTGGAGCACGTACCTGTCTTGTCATGGACAATGGAGAAGAGGATGCGCTTGGAAGAGTGCACGTTCTGGATGAGGGGCCCCCCAGCGCCTGCTGCTTTCTGTCCTGGACACAAGGAGAGACAAGGCCAAAGGGATGATAAGAGGCAAATCGAGGCAGGTGCAGGGGACAAGAGGTGCTCTGGGACTCCCTGGGGACACCTGAGAGTGTCACCACCTGCCGGTGACATGCAGGGTGGATGCAGGGCAGCATCCCTTATCATCTAAGGGCAACACCAAGACCGGGAGTCCCACTAACCCCCATCATGTGCCTCCAAACTCCTTAACTCTCCTCACAGGGTAGCACCCATCACTTTGATGAGAGCCTTTCATGAGGACCTCGAATGCTGCCAAGGGACAGATGAGGACCTCCAGAGGAAGCAGCTTGAGACTGTATCTTGGGGCTTTGCTCACCTCCAGGGGGGCGTATGGCCACGTTAAGGGCAAGGGCCAACCTCCTGCAGCTCTAGAGAGCTGGGAAAGACCCACGCTCCATCACCTTGCCTTCAGAGACGAAGGTGAGCTGGAAATCGCTCTGCAGGTTCAGGGCAGCCAGGCCGCACCCTCAGAGCAGTGGGAGCTGCCCCCACCACCGCACCATGGGACGCACCCATGCTACAGCAGCACAGTTCGAGACCACCCAAACACGGCGGTCTCTGCCCTTTCCGCTTCGGTGGCCTTTGCACCAAGCCCTCCTCCGAGAGCAAACTTAAGGCTATTACCACAGCAGTCGCTGTACTCCTGTGAGGAAGGCACCTTCAGGTCTCCTGAGGGCCTGGCCATCAGCACCTCGCTGGCTGCATTCACCCCGTGCACGACGGAAGACACCTCTTGCTTTAGGTCCATGGCAATCTGCGTAGGCAGCGAGACACCATATAAGAAATTGGTCATGGCTACAGCGGACGGAGTGTCTTGACTGGTGGATTTAGCGATCTGGTTATTTGCAACGGGCTCCCGGCCGCCTTTGGACGCTAGGGAGGTACAATTCAACTCTACACTAGGGTTCGGCTCTCTGCTGGGCTCATCCGCTGGCCTAAAGGGGAGAGAAAGAAGAGAAGAGGAAAACACAGGTTCCTTCAGGTCCACACACTGCAACTAGCTTCGGCAATACATGCTGCGACCCACGCGCGCCGAGAGCTGCCGTCCTGCCCAGCTCCTGCCGCAGGCAGCGTGAGATTCACTCGCCACCATGATGCTCTGCAATTGGAAGCAGAAAACTCCTTGAAACGGGGTGAAAGAGCTGTCTGGAAACCTGGAGGCACCAGTTTCAGACGCAAGCTGGGTTGAATCAAAACTGCTCACACTGTTGGCCTTCTTGGGCCAACATTTAGGTAGATGCAAGCAGGACAAATAAGCTAGACAAGCAAAAATTGGAAGATGGAAGTGTCCAGGAGTCGTGTCCAGGAGGGTGGAAAGTTTTTTTTTTTTTTTTTTTTTCCCCTTTTTGTTTCTAAAACTACAGCTACCATCTAAATTCTTCCAACTTTCTCCTGCAGCCCTCTGCAGCACTTTCTTCTATGGCAAGTAGGTCTCATAACAGTTCAGAAGGGTTATTAGCTGGGGCAAACCAGTCTAGCTTTGTAACTTGGGGCATTTAAGGAGTAAAACTATCAGTAAAACTACCCATTGACATTATGGACGTTCTCAGCTCTAAGGACTCCTGACAAGACCAACAAGGACCTCAACCAATCCAAGGACGAATTACACACCAAGGACACACATGCTTTACATGAGACATGCAGCCATCATTTCAAAAATAGCTTGTCGTACGTGTCCTACTTTTAGCCATCTCTGGTTTTTCAAAAGTGCCGAACCTTCAAAATAAGCATTTGCTGGTGCTCAGCATTTCTCTGAATTGAACCAAGGCGCCTGAAGATAGGCAAACTTCAGGAGAACAGAAATCTGAATCTGACAGTTCCTTGTGAAAACATGTTCCAAACAGCCTGGAGAGTTCATTCCCCTCCATTATCCCAGCCCTTCCCTGTCATCTGGTGTAAAATATTCATTTCAGCCTAGAAAGAGGTTTAAGGCATTTACATTGGAAATGCCTTTGGTGACGAGAAAGCACTTAGCTTAACACAGATGAGTTTTTGGTGGAGAATAAAAAGTGATGTGGTTAACCTTGCACGCTTAGATGCAATTATTAGGTATCCTTCCCATTTTCACTTAATAGAAATAATCTCGAGCCCACTAAACACTGATAAATCTCTCTGCAAGGCTGGATATTGCAAGGCTGGAACTACGTGGCAGGGATTGGAGGTCTTGATGGGGGGAAAACAGAGGGCTAGAAGCCAAAATACCATGCGTGCCATGGTGGCATTGCTGCAGACCCAGACCGACATCCGTGCCCTCCATCCCCTTGGGGCGCTCCTGAAGTTACCTTTTTAGCCTGAACCGGATACTGTGGCTGTGCTCTAAAATGGCCATCAGAGATTTCACATCGTACTCCATGGGCTTCTTGAAGCTGATGCCCTCAGGCAAGCCAGCGACTGCCAGCAATCCCGGCTCTTTCAGGAACCTCTCATACGGCAGGGGCACCACGCTGCTCTTCCCAATGGCTTCACCTGGGGGACAGGCACAAGGACACACGACAGAAAATCACTGGCCTTTCCAGGCAAAGTTTGCAACCTCCTGCAGCCACAACAGGGCTGTAGGAGATGTGACAGCGAAGAAACGTGACAGCACCAGCAGCAGCACGCCACAACTGCTCCCTCCGAGCAGCTATTAGAACGAGATCATTTCCTAAGTCAGCATTTAGAATTTAAGGATCTGCAAGCATTTTATAAACATTAATTAATAAAAATCTCAGCAAATCCAATAAGTAGAAGGCCCTAGGTTTCACCATAGAATCGTTAGCCAGGTCCCTTGGCACAGCCCCAGGCTCTCACAGCGATGCTGGTTTGTGCCAACCCTGGCGGGAGCTGACACCTGACAGAGGCAGGATGAAGGGGTTGCACTGATTTTGATCTCATGTTTACCGAAACATTCTGGGGATCTTACTCTCGTACTTTCTTATTTAACTTAGTGGTAGAAAGTCCTAAGTTTTCTTCCATTTGACACTTCAAAAGTATTGTGAGCATCGATACGTTTGAACGCAAAAGACCTTCAGTGGTCTGAAGAACCTCTCGAGAAATCTCACCACTTCCCCTTGGCAGAAGGGCACGCAGTTCATCCTCACACGAGAGCCCCAAACACACAGCACTGGCTCAGTGACACAAGAAAAACACATGTAATCTTTGCACCTTTCACAGCAAAAGCACCCTGAAGAACAGGGAACAAGCTGCTTCCACTTCTCCCATCAGCGAAAAACAACCATTTCCAAGAGCATCACAGTTGCACGGAGGTTTTCTGAAACAACTAGAGGCTAGGTGCCCGAACCTGGCATGCTAAAGGGAGCCTCATTTCCAGACAAGGCACTTCCTGGTAAAATGAGCCCCTCAAATCTTTCAAGAAGAGCCAAAACCCTTGAGCTGCTCCCCCTTAGAAAAAAAATTACTTTGGAAACCAACCCAAACCACTGCAACCAATAAATCCAGTGTACAAAGCATGAAGCAGAAGAAATAGCCGCGCATGAATGTGACCTGTCTGGCAAATCAATATCCAGCTGCAGAACATCTGGCTACATGGCAAGGCTTCCACTCCTTCATCTCCAGGCTTTCAGGGATCTCACTCCATGCACTATGATCATGCTAAAGAGAATATGGGACCTTACAATAGCTGTGGCATTTTATACTGCTGATTTTAACTTTTTTTTTTTTACACCTGCAGAAGATCTTGCAGAAATCCTCAAAATCTCGTGGCACTGTCAGTAAATCCTTATTAAAAATGATTTCTTCAACACGTTCTTTGAAGCAACGCACAGTAACTAATGATGTGAGACTTGCACGAGCCATCAAGGTTCCTTATAGCTGGGACGGATAATGTTTTAATTAAGCCAATAACAGAAGTTTCAAAACAAACCTTTGAACCACAACACTGCAAGAACATTTTCCAAAAGGTGCTAATTGATTCCTTGCCTCAATGCATCCTCTTGAGCATGTTTTCACTCCCCATCATCACACCCCTTGGCCTTGCTGGCCCTTGGGGAAGACATGGGCAATGCCCACAGCACCTCCTTATTTATCCAATGCTCATCAACTCCTGGAATATATTTTTATGGGGAATGCGTTACTGTCAAAGTGACCTTCAGCCAGCCTCACGCTGCCACAGGGAGGCTCATGGTTTAGCTAAGGAGAGACAATAATGATCATTAATGCCTGTTTAATAGAACTCGGCGGTAATCAGTCATTCCAGTGGCGTGGAGATTACCGGGCTCTGGAGGGAATATGTGATCTTTTGGGCTGCGCATTTTCTAAGATTTGTTTTCAATCCCTGTTGATGGGAGGCAACTGAAAGGATAAAGGAGAGAAAGAAAGCAGAAGAAAGATAACTGTTAATTTTCAAGAGCCCTGTCAGTACTGGAAACAGAATCACCCTGAGGAACCTCCTATCTTTGGCGTCAGTTCTCTGGAGTCAACCGATACATGGGCTTCTCCATGTCTGAAACAGGGAACGTGCCCCAGGGCCTACAAACGCGCCCCTCGGTTCTCAGCAAAGCCACCTTCTCCCCTAAATTCAGGGGAAGATGCTATTGCTCAACACCTAAAACCTTCCAGGTTAGCATAACCCAAGTCAGGTCCTCCTTCTTTGGGAGGGAGGGAAGATCTACTTGCCAAAGAGGAGTCTCCGCCCAGCAGATTGCACCATATAAAGACTCAACAATCACAGAAACAGCTTTTCCTTTTCAAATTAGCAGGAAAGCACCAAGGCTAGATGTAGACCTGTATCTTCTGGTGGCAATGACAAGGCCCTCACCACCAGCCTGGGGGCTCCAACCTTCTTCTGCCATGCCCTTCACCTAAGCAGCACCTGATCCCATCAGCAGCAGCAATACCCAGCAGCATGAAGCAAGGCACCATGGTGGGCCTAGGACATCCCTGCTGGAAATGGCTGCTTCAATGGGGACCTCATCCAGCTTGTACCTGTTCCACATGGAAATGCACCCCCACCATGCCTCAAAAAACACAGAGCTTCTCCAAACTGCTTCTAATATGAGTGTTTTCTATGCTGGGGATTCAAATGCTAGTGCACTCTGGTCATGTTTTTTATACAATTAAACATTTATATGATATAAGAATAATTCACGTATTCTCAAGAGGCCTTTAAAATGTAGCTTGCTCTCAGCAGATGGATAACAAAAACTCCTCATTCAGCGTAGGGATCTAACCAGCTCTCTAATGAAATTCCTAGCTCATTCGTTTGGCTTCTCTGCACTTCCCTTTCCTTGTGACTTGGGCTGAGCCTTTCAAAGGCAGAGAGAGGATTTGATTACCCTCTTTAATGGGAATATCTCGTCCAAGTCCTTTAAGTGGTTTTAGAAAACCTCAGCTTCCGATCATTAGTGTCCTTCCCCCGGGGAAGGAACGCAGTCTCCCTCGCCTGTCTGCAAAACCCGCAGCTCCTTCGCTGGGTGAGCTTTAAAAAGGGAAAAACATCAGCAAAAACTGCCCCATCTTAGGTAGGAGACATAGGGTAAAAAGAAACCTGAGCTTAAAGCAACAGGAGAGCTGAGCTTGGAGGTAGGGGCTGAAGCTCAGCTCCCGCTTGAAACTGCAGCAGCCCCCAAATCTCTGCAGATTGGGCCCAGAGGGAGCTCGGCAACCCAGCGGGTTACACATCAACCACCATATGGTCATCTACATTTTAATTGCAGGATCTTTATGGCTAGGGATGATGCATGTGCTGGAACGGGACCAGCTCACATCTTGGGGCTGAAGCTGTGGGGCTGCCTGCTAGGAAAAGCATCTTTTTCCTTTTAAGCAGGCTAGCTGTAGGAATGAGCCAGAGTGCAAGCATTTGCAAAAGAGGGGTCGTAGGAGCGGTGTTGGGGATAAAGGTGCATTAAATAAATAAAAAAAAAATTAAAAAAAAAAAAAGGAAAATCACATTTGGAGCATGCAGCGGCTGACAGAGTGCGCTTCGCCTGCAGGGTAATTTCGGTTTTGGCCCTTAATGACCAGTGTGGGGAATCACTTCTTTCCTTGTTTGCCTGCAAAGAAGAAGGCCACGTGCGGACCCAGTTCCAGAGAGCCATGCACGTTAGTCTCTGGGAGCCCTGGTGCTGCCCAGGGCATAGGATGTCCCACGACGGCTCCTCGGCATCGGGGAGCCTGGTGGCTGCGGCAGCAAGCAAAATCCCCAAATGGAATCGTGAAGGTTCTTACTATAAAGCACATCAAACACTTCCTCTACCATCTTCCTGAGGAGGTAAACGTCTGATCCCTGCTCCGGCGAGACCCGGAGCGCGTTCCGCCCGCAGTCCTTGGCCTTCCTGGGCACCTCCGCATCCTGCTCCTTCCTCTGCTGGAGCCCTGTGGGAGAGAGGGGACAACGTGGGAGACGCTAACGCCACGGCAGCTTCAACTGGGCGAGGTTTGTCCCCTGTTTAATTAACGCTTCCTCCCTCCACCCCCATGCCAGAAAAAGGAAAAAAAAAAAGGGCAAGAGAGGAGTAAGATGCAAAGACGGTGCGGACACGCTTCAGTCCCACACACCTCTCCCTGCCCTGGATTTTACACATTTGGCTCCACTGAAACCACTGTGATTAACTGGCCGACGTATTTCTTTCCCCTGTTTTCAATCTGCTTAGCCTTCAATCTCCCCGGAAAGAAAATCCGCCTTTCTGGGAGGCTTTTTTACCCTTCAGCGTCACGTAGCTCTGTAATGCCAGTTATTTCCTGCTAATTTCCCCCATTAAACCTCAAATAAAGCATATCTTCGGCAACGACTTCCTTGCATCTCTAAATACACAGAAAATTAAACACTACAAGTGCATTATTGCCATTCTATCTAAACCTATTCACAAGGGATTTTCAGTGGCAAAGGACTAATTCTTTCATCATACTCCACAGGCTCTCACCAGCGATCCGCCTGGATGCTGCTTGACTACTTAAGGAGGAACTTGCAGATGCCTTCAGCTTGGCGTTGCAAACAAGCCCCTATGCACAGAGGAAATCCAGTTACTGCTCTTTAAATGGAGTTGTGGCTAAATACTATCTGGGTGATGTAGGAGGGCAGTAAGCAGATGGTGCTTTGCTGAAGGAAGCTTCCATTGAGTGCAGCATCGGCACTGTAGAGCTGCAAAAAGATTTTGGAGGGCGAAACAGGCAGCAGGACCGGACCTGCTTAACACAGCAAGCTTCAGATAGGCCTCAAAACCAGCTTGTCTTGGGATCATTAAGCTCGATTTTGGCCTGGGTAACAGAGGAACCTGCCCCGGTTGGGTAAGAAGTGCAGGGATGTGCCACCGCTCTGGACTGCACACAGGTCTGCTTGTGCAGGGATGCAGATGTGCAGCCCTCAAAGAGCGGGAGCAATCAGATGCCAGCTCGTAGCCCAGCACAGGAGCTGCTGTGGCCAGCAAGGGCAACTGTTCGTGGCTGGTGGACAGATGGGAGGTGTCCAGGTGGTCCTAACACCAGCCAGTACCACAGGCATGGAAAAGGGGATGCCGATCCTCATCTACCTGGACAGTCTACACCACAGACACCCTCTAGAAATGGCTTGTTAAGGTAGCTCAGATGCTCTGTGGCAACAGTTTGGATGCAAAAAGGATGACAAAGTACTTAAAAAGACTTTAAAAAAATAAATAAATAAAACAGAGCAGTTCTGGGCCATGGGTAGCATTGGTCAAGGGTGCCCAGTGCAAGACAGGAGAGCCAGCACAGCTTCCTCGGCACGTGGGGGAGGGAGGCAAAACATGTCAAACGCAGGGAAAAAAAGCCACCAAAGGAAAGAGAACCAGTTTCCCAGGTCCTTAAGAAAGATTAAAACCAGAAAAAGTGAAAAAGAAAATAACACACAGCTACATGGCACATGCGCTAGCCAACAGCCGGCCGTGCTGTTTCACATCTTCCTTGCCATTTCATGTCCGCAGCTTTCTTGTTTAAAAGAAAGCCAGCTTCTCATGAACTTAACTTAGAACAGACCTCGATGTAACCAGCTACATTTTACAGCTCTCTGAAGCCATCTGTTATCTCTGCGACCAAGCGGTGTCTGCCCCAAAGCGCCGGGCAGCATCTCTGTGCTCCCCGCTGCAGACTGCCCCTTCCTTGCTGGCACATCTCAGTCGCTGCAAGCCCGTGTTTTAGTGCCCCTAACTCCACTGTCCCACGGCACAACTGTCCTCACCACCTTTGATGAGGCCACCAAAGACTCCTAGCCACACAGGACCACCACTGGCAATCGGTCTGCGAAGTACAGCACAGAGTATCCTGCTTTTCTCTTGGGCACAAAAATGCCCTTTTCTCCCTCAATATTTTATTGAGGGCTCCCCGTTGTTTCTCTGTGGCACAAGGAAACACTCCCTGTAAAATATTCCTGACCCGGCTGCAAAGGCTGTGAAATCTAACTGGATTCACACCCACCCACGACTCTCCCCTCCTAGCCAGGCACCACTTCTTCCCTCTTTACATTCATCTTCATAATTGTCACGTCCCCCAGTACGTCGGGAAAGGCTGGGCTGGAGCTTCAGATAAATGAGCATGTTTGAGCGAGGTCTGTGTGCCCAGAGAAACACGGCTCGCTAGATAAGAGGCTTCTTATATCTTCCAGCGATGTCTGGTTTAGATTATTTTAGATTCTGTCTAAAGGGGCAGCTTGACTATAAATCAGAGGCATTTCCAGGGATGCTTTACAATGCATGCCGGTTGTAAGAGCTTTATGCACTGCAGTTGAGCCTTGGCCATTTATAATTCAAGACAGAGTTACCGCGTTTCACCCTGTCTCACATATCAGCTGCTTTGTCAGAGCCCCACGATCAAAATTTTGTGATCGGTACCAAACGTTACAATTTCGTTTTCAGTGGGGCAAATTAAGCCAAAAGAGGGGAAATCGGGATATAATTGCAAGTGCCTTGGCACATTTAGGCTTGCCTTAACACAGTGCTAGGGGACTGGCCACAATATACGTATACGCATGTATACACACAAACGCACACGCACAAGCACAAATATATATTTATTTCTTAAGGTGAGATTTGCAGGCAGTCATCAGACAACGTGAGCTCTAGAGAGGCATAGTTAGCCTTTTATGTATTAGATTTAGCTTTCCCATGCTGCCTATCCGGTTGCAGCCAAAATGCTGAGTTGCTTTTCTGCTTCTGTACGTGGTGGGAGGTGGGAAGGGGATGCGGCAGAATCACCCACAGAGGTAGAGACTTTCTTGAAATGCCTCCTGCCTAAAGACATCCGCTTGCAAAATTAAGTACATCAAGATGGAGAATGAACGAAGGTGGCTTTCTAGGAGCTAAATAGGACAAAGTTCAGCATTTCCACCCCCTAGAAAAGAGAATAAGCAGAAGCCGAGAGCCGACCCTTGCAGGGCAGCTCTTCCACTGAGCCAGTGGCTGCAGGAGGCTCCGGGCGAGCCTCGCTGGTGCTCCCAGCACATGCGCAAGGAATAACCCAAGCAGACAGTGACCCTGGCAGCTTTACAGAGCTAATGTTTTCACTACAGTGAACTGTGCTTGAGCAATTTCTCCACGGATTAGGCAGAAATATGGTTTCTATCAACACCAGGTCATGCATGCACCCAGAGAGATGCAGTTTGTTGCCGTCTACCTTGGTGTCCCTGCACAGGGCTGCAGCGCTCAGTGCAGTCAGTGTGTTGAAACAAACCTGCTCCCTGTGCTGCTTTTGAGCCCTTCACTGCTGCTGCAAGGGCACAGAAGCTGCTCCTGCCCAATGCAGCCCCTCCTCAGGACCCAAAGGCATAAGCTGTGCAAACATGGGGCTGCTCTTTAAAATATTATTAAAAATCAAGCTTTTCTTCCTAGCTCACAACAGCTGCAGGGGCTCAGGTGCAGAGCAAGAAGCCAGAGGGCTGCAGCATTGGACTTCGAGCATCGAACGAACTGAAGTGGTTCATCAAATTGTGATTTCCATGCCCCAACCTAGAGGGTCACGCTGAGCACCCAGCACACCGTGCAACCACCTGTCTCACCCTCTTAGGCTTTGGCTTGTCAGTGCAAAGCAAAGTCCCTTCCCAAAACATCACTCCCCGGTGCTGCCAGGAGAGGGGAAAGCCAGGGAAAAGCATCCGTCAGCGTGCTGGGGATGCGGCCACCAAGAAAACAGGTCATCCCTTGCAACGCACCTCCTGTTCCTCCTCTCGCATTGCCTCTGAAACCTGATGGATGTCACCCCCAAATGCTATCCCCAAAACTTGGTCTCAATCAGCTGGGCAGGTAGCTGATCACTCCACGTGATCCACCCCGATTAGAAGTGAAGCACCCAAAACACTGAGCAGTAATCATTACTGCGGATCGGATCATTATGGAGACTGACAGATAAGAGCAACGCTCCCCTTTCACTTCAGACGTGTTCGGCAACGTGCCAATGATGGGACATGACCAGCAAGGCTAGTCTCGAGTTTGCAGGGAGCGGAGGACACTGACGGAGGAGGAGTCTGCTCCCGTCTTCCCACAGGGGCAACATCCATCCCTCCGGCGCAGCAGTGTCCCTCTATCGAGCACTCCTCTGCCTCTCCGGACACCAGAGAGCAGCTCCCAGAGGGCCTCACATGCAGTGGCAGTGCTGGGAGGGGATAGGCCTCGGACCAGGGATCTCAACACATCCCTCCTCACACACTGGCCTGGAAAGACCTCGCAAGTCCATGGCCAGCATCGCTATTCCCGCTCCCTGCGGCCTGCTCCCGATCCTACGGTAAAGACCCAGGACCAGACAAAATTCTTGAGCTGTTCCACGATTTCCAGCTCCTGACTAACCACTAGGATGAACTACTTCTGATAATTCCTGAAAATACATCCCCTTGACACTAGTGGTGCTCTTAGCAGAATCCATCCACCCTCAAACTCCACAGCATCCCACAGGGACAGAGTCCTCTCCAGGCCATCACCCACGAGTTCTGGTGCCACCTGAGCAAAGGGTTTGGCCCTTGGGGGACCCTCAGCAGACACAAGTGACGTTCTGGATGCAGGTTCAGCCCTAGCTACACTCTCCCCACCACCGCATGAGCGGAGATCCCTTCCACCAGCAGAAACGGCCCAAGAAACACGCCCGGCGCAGACCACCCGTGTCGGGGCAGATCCTCGGCTTCTCGCAGGGCTACTCACGGCAGAACTTGTGGAAGTCGGCCTGCAGCTCCTTCCGCGCGCCCATGAAGAGCCTGCCCTTCTCGGTACCCAGCACAAAGGTGCTCTCGGCGTGCACGGCGATGCAGGCCACCTCCGCGTTGAGCTTGGAGAGCGCCGAGCACTGCGGTGAGAGGCAAACAGGTTAGCCGGGTTCAAAAGCGAGGTTCTTCTTTGGGTCAACATCTTCCTTTATTTATTTATTTATTACGCCTCAAACTGTTTAAATATTTGAACAACTTTAGGATGCCGCAAAGCCTTGGACACCTGAAATGAAGCTGCTGAAATCAGAAGTTTATCCTATCATTTTGTTTCAATTATTCCCCCCAGAGAAGTAACTGTTTTATACATTCCTTTCTTTTATATAAACCACTGCCTTGAAGAAATAATCCCTAGTTTTAATATATAAAATATATATATAAAATATATATATTCATATATTATTTATATATATCTATATATACATTTATACATTACATATTAATATATACTACTAATATATTGTGTATTAATATATTATATATATTATATTCATAACAGGGGAAATAATCCCCCGTTATAAAATAAGGAGCATGGGAATTTTATTTCAGCTGCAGAACACTGCAGGGTCTATGGTCAAAATCTGGATTAGGCGAATGATTCTTCCCATGCGGTTATGCAAAACATTAAGGAGTTGGAAAAGGTTTCCTTCATTAATCTGCTTTACGTAATGCATGCTTCCTGGCTATATATAATATACAGGGATATGCATTTTTATTATTATTTTTATAATTGCTACGCAGTGTCTGCAATGAGTCACATTCCCATAGCTACAGAAATGGGGATGATGCAGACAGCACCCAGGGTCCAATGATGAGGAGATAAAGTGACAGCAAGAAGGACTTGCCCTCATGTAGTGGAAGGTGCTGGGTGACTTGTCCAGATGTTCAGAGGGTCCCTGCAGGACAGGGGTTATTAACTCAAGATGTGATTTTTGGGGGGGGGGGGGGTTTTTTTATTAGTTATTAGGCTATTAATAAATTGGACATACTTCTTTCTCAACTACTAATAATGATGACAGCTTCTCACACAACACTTCTCTTATTTTTTTTTTTTTTTTTTTTTTTTTTTTCTGTCCCCAATAGACAGTAACCACTCCAAAGGTGGTGCACTTTTCAGCGTGCACAGGCCATGGTCCCGTTATATTTATTACCCACACCTACACAAGCGGGTTTCAGAAGAACAAGAGAACAGTTGCAAAGGCAACAACTGGGAAATCAGGAAATGCAGGAACCAAAGCGGTTCCAGAGCAACTCAGCTTCCTGCTCCTTTGGTCAAGGTGCAATTTGGACAGCAGTAGCACACAGTCATAGAGAAGGAAGCCTAGGATGTACGTGACAGCACATATAGGAACTGTCCAAGCCACTTTGAGTGCTACAGCTCTGGGCAACAGTCTTTTTATTGGGGTGCAGAGGCCCAGAAAGAAGCACATTGCGAGAAATACGTAGAAAATAGGATGCTCTCAAGACAAATATATCGAATAAAACATGGCTGTAAAAGGGAGGGCTGTTTAGCACTTCACATTTTAGTACACGTCTGTAACACACTTCCCCTTTTTATCACATTCACAGTTAAAAACAAGATTAGCTCCGGTCCAAGAGACTTAATCCAGACAGTTATCTTGTTTATGTAAGCAAGCCTGACTTATGTAAGGTTTCCATTGGGAATTCGACGTCAAAAGATATGAAAGTTCTTTTCTTTGTTCTCTGAGATAAAAGCCATTGTTCTCCTGTTGTGTAAAAGCTCCCAATAACATCGGTAAAACATCAAGAAAAAAACCCACAACACCCTACACTGAGTTGCTACCAACATAAATATTAATGGGAAAACAATACCCATCTGAGATTAACTTTAGCTGACTTTATGATGCTCACGGCTGTCAGGATAGGGATGCAATTTCTGCTTCCAGCTCAACGCCTTTTGCTGCGGCGGTAGTGGCAGCAGTGAAGGTGACATCCCTGACACCCAAATCCCAGGCTTTGCGACCCAATTTGGTCTCCAAGCTTCCGTGGCCCTGGTCCCATCTCCAGCAGCTGTAGGGATATGGGTCCCAAGAGGGGACATGGAGCCAGGCAGAGCCTAGCACTAGGACTGAGGTCTTTTCTGTGCAGATGGTAGAAGAGGCAGTCCCGCTTACCATGGAGTCTAAAGCGGACACTAAGCTGGTAACAATCTCATCTTTCTGTGGGAGAACCATGTTCCACTGCTCTGAGCGGGTGTTGCCAAGAGCCACATCCAGAGACTTCCCTGTCAAGGCCATATTCACCTGAAAAGAGAATAAAAACATGAAAACCAAAGGGTGCATTTGTGCCGTTACTCGCAGGGATTGGAGCGGGCACCTCCTGGCTGGAGATACGGCCAGTTTCGCTGTGGAAACAACAGGATTTGGTTCACCTATGTAAAAAAAGGTCATAGCAAGCCAGATACCCAGCACACAAATTATGTCATTTCTGACAGAAACAGCGGAGTAAAAAAAAAAAAAAGAATAATCTGGCATGACAGACACTGTAATCAGAGCCTTAGTGGCTGGAAAGGCCATGCTGGCCAGACTCCCCTCCTCTCCCTGCCTCCTCAGCTCACCAGGCCTGATACCCCAGTGACGGGCAGCAAGGCAGACCCCGCTGGTCCCCTACTCCAAGGACCGGCAGCCTCGGGCCAGGCCTCCCAAACGACCCGGATGGGGCAGGCGTGGGGATAAACTGTCCCCCGAGCTGAGCGCGGAGCCGCCGCGGGCGCGCGGGAGCACGCGGGCAGGCGCAGGGACGCAGACGCTCTCGCACGGGGCGCTCCCGAACGGCCCTTCTGCCCAAGAAGGGTGGCAAATTAGCCAGCAACAACGCGGAGCTGCTTGAACCCGACTGTAAATGACACGCTCGAAGCTGCAAGCGGATAAAAGGGGCCAGCGAATTTCTAATGAAGCAGGATTAGGAAGCAGCGGAGGCGCGCGGGGCCTGCCCAAGGAGTACGAATGAAGCTCGCGCTCGCTGTCCTTAACTCCATGTGCTGCTTGGGCAGGAAAGGCGGCCAAGCCAAGGGTGCAGCCGGCTGCATCCCTGGCATGGGCCAGGGCTGCCTCCGTGTCCGCTTCCCCTCATACTCTGGCTTGCAGAACAGATCTGCTGACTTCAAGCTTGATTCTTTTCATCAAATTAGAAAAAACTCATCATAGTTCAGAGGGGTCTTAGCTACAAAAAAAGCTGAGAGGTGGATCCAAAGACACAGGTGGATCCATAAGGATGTAGCTAAGAGCAGGGATTTCAGGTCCTTGCCCACCACCACCAGCTCCTCATCTCTACTTGCTCAGCTGGAGGCCAGCAGGGAAGAAATCCCTTTCACCTGGCTAATCATCTAATAGGTAGATGGAAAGTCACTTAAATAACAGAATATGACTTAAGAACACAACTGGACTTTCAAAAGCAAACTGGGGAGCAGTTCTTATAAAACATTTAATTGCTTATGGTCACAAACAGCAGTGACAGTGCACTTGGCAGGAGGAAAAAAGACAGAAAAAAAAACTTTACAGCAGGCAATAGGCTTATTCAAATCAAATTAAGATGTACAGCCTGCCTAATCAAAGGGAATGTAATCTTTAGGAAAACTGGGGTAAACCACGACCAGTGACTGGCCTCCCTGATGCCCCAAGGGAACAGGTAGGCTGTCCCCACAGCAATCCTGCAGCCCAGCACATGGGGGACAAGTGAAGAGGGCTCTGCAACGCCCCAGACCCAGGTGGGCCGCCCGCACAGCCCGCTGCGCGGCTCCTCTTGCAACACCCTCATTTTGCACTTCAAGAAGTCTGGAAACGATGATAAATTTGGCCCTGGGCAGTTTCACTCGTGAATCACTGGGGCCGCCAGGAAGGAAAACCAGGCACCTTTAGAGGAAAAGTGCTGCCAGGCCACGAGCTACGGCCACCTTGGGCTTCCCAGCGCGGGCAGAGGTGGCGAATACAGCTCCCCAAACTCTCCTGTTTGCATCAGCTAATTCTGCTTGGTCGCTCGCCCAGAGACACGCATCACCTTTCCAGCACCGGGATAATTGCTGCAAACTTCATATCTCTCCCAGAAATAAACATCCTCGAGTTTTGCATGCTGCGTCACTATTTCCAAACTGCTCAGAGCAAACAAAACCGATGGGGGGGAAAAGAAAATCCCAAAGGAAATTTCCATGCAGAAAGCTGCGTTATTATACAATTCAAATTATAAACAGGTACCCACTAAATCACGACAAAACAAACAGGATTCACGTAATCTGAGGCCCCAAAGCGAAGAAGTCCAAGTCTGGCCTTGATCATTCTCGCTGCAGAGCAGCACAGGGCGCAGACCCAGGCAGCCCAGCTCACGTCCCTGCTCTGCACGGGCAGCACCAATTTCCACTCTCACAAGACACTTCCATTCTGCAAGCGCAGCGTGCGCCTGCGGATCAAGTCACTGCATGTCTTATTAATCACTTGTCGGCATGGAGAAGGTGGCGAGAGCGGCAGCTCTTCCCACTGTTTCCGTCAGCATCGTCACTGTTTCCTGTGGCGGCCGCCGGAGAGGTTCTCCGGCGCTGCCTGCACCTCCTGGTGCCCACGGCTCGGGACACAGTGTTGGGGGGTTTGTGACACGGGCTGTAGGACAAAACAATCAAAAGCAAGGACTCCAAGTGCACAATATTGACTTGAAGACTGGAGGAGTCTTCCGACCACCTTCTTTTTGCTCTTCGTTTCATGCCCAACATCAATTTCCAGCTGTCCTCCACCATCAGAAGGAATGCTCTCTTCAAGCAGGAGCTGGTACGGCCACGCTCTGGTGGTTCCAGGAGATGGAGGCTGAGGAAGGACATGTCTGCCCCAACGGGGAGAGCTGGCGCCATGTAGAACCTGCTGCCCTCTGCCCAGAGAGCTTCTGCATCCCTCCACACACACACGTGTGCTCCCACAGACACCAGTGGCCTTCAAGATCTTGCTGAGAACATGTTTAGCCCTTGTCCACCCCACACACTTCAATGCCTGCAAGGAGGAAGGCAATGCTTAATGCAGGACCAAACCCAACACTCTTGGACATGCAGCTGGGCTCCTCCATGCCATGCTTTCTACCGGGGTCAGGGAAGGAAAAAACATCTTTATGGAAACTGCATACGGCTAAATGCATTTATGATTGGGAAAAACGTGAGTCCCCACAAGGACTTAGCTTTCCCAAAACACCAGCACACAGGGAGATAAAAGCAGCTGAAGGCTCAGGAGACACAGGAGATTCTCACTTAGCTTCCTCTTGCACATCACAGACAGTTTTCTAACAATTCATGGTTTAAACTGAAAGGACTGATTTTTATCGCCCCTTGCATTTCCACTAAACGCAACCCTGGCAACCTCCACAACATTAAGTATCTTCCATAACGCTAATCCAAAGATGACACAAGGCCACTTAAAAATATTTTCAAGGGAGGAAAGAACCTGGTGCCCCATCCTCGCTAGCCAGACTGGAAGCTCCCGAGAGCCCAGGTGGGCCAAGACACTGAACCGAGATCATCTTCCAACTCCTCCCTTAAACCAGCGACTTCATCCAACCACAACAAAATGGAGAAGAGCAGCCTACCCTCAGCAGCCACGGAAATCTTATTTTTTTAAAAAAAGAGCTTGTTTGAACTCATGACACGCAGTAAGGTAGAGCAAAAGGTCAAACCTTGCCTCCACCGAAGTCAATGGCAAAGCTACCGATTCCCAAAGGTGATGGATTTAGCTCTCACCTCCCAGGTGCCGGGGAGCAGGAGCCCGCGCACGCAGCGGCCACGCTGGCGGTGGCACGTCGCTCTGCCTGTTACGCAATTAGCTTTTTCAACTGTGCTTCACACCCGTGACTCATACATCCATGTCCATGCATCCAATCCCATCCCTCTCATGAGTCAAAGTGACTTTCGGAAAAGGCGCAGAGGTAGGAAGATCGGTCAGGGAATGCGCCTTGCTATTTCCCCTTTCTCTCTGTTCCAAAGATTTCAACTCATTTCTTAAAGTCAATGGGAAGAGTGGACTTTGCACCAAGACGTTCACTACAGCACAATTCCCAAACTGAAACCAGCCTCTGAAGGCCCAAGCAGAAGCAGGTGACCTTCATCCACGTTCACAGAAGATCACCCATCACAGCAGTCAGTTTGCCCTGCAGTCCTGGGAGAAGGGACTGATGTTGGCAGGGCAGCTCTGAACTCAGACATCCATGCCATGATCTACAGACCTGGGTATCATGCAAAACCAGGGCAGAAATTAACCTCAGATGCAGGGTGTTTATGAAGCACCCGGCAGAGCTTGGAGTCATATTCAAGTTAGCTGATGGCACCTTGCAAATGACACCAGGAACAACCTGTTTCCTGATCCATCTGCCCATTCAAGAAGAGAGAGAGGTAGCACAAACAACTATTGAAAGGGGTATTTGGGCTTCCTGGTCATTGAGTATGTTTCTCTGCAAACACTCATTAAGTCAGGGGGAGTCCAGTACCACAGTGACCCCCTTCTATCCCCACTATTTGGTGGGAGCATCACCTGAGAGCATCAGTTCCTGCACCTGCGTCACGGCCATGAGAGTAGCAAGACCGAGACCTCAATTCTGCACAGCCAGAGAGAAGGAACGTAGCACTCCTGGCCAAAGCATAACATTGGTAATGATGGAGCGACACCAATTTCATACATAATTGTCTTTTACTCCAGGTAGGCATGCTTAAAGGAGATTTTTTATAAATGACAGAAGCCCTGGAGGTCGCTTCCGTAATTAGCCCTGGCTATCATTAAGCACACCCCAACACTCACCAGGAGCTGAGGACATCCATCACACCACATTCTACACAAACCATCCACCCAGCACCCCAGGACGTGATGGGAACACGCAGCCGTGCACCCGTCCACGCTCCCAGGGCTCCCGTGCCAGCCATGGATGTGAGGTTTGCCAAGGATAAGGTTCCAGCTGCATCTCTGGCTGCTTTGTGAGAAGGGGAGGTCGGCTCTGAAGGCATCTTGAGGACTTTTGAGGGAACTCCTTGGGCTGCTGGCTGGCAGCACGCTAATGGCAACGGCTAGGTGCAAAACACCGCAGCAGCTCCGCAGGAAAAAGCCCTGGAAACCACATAAAATAGACCAACGGCCTTAGAGAACAGACTTGAATTTCAACTTGTGGTTTCTGCAATCGCTTGAGCACACACCGGTATCAGCAGAGCCGATGGATGCGAGCGGAGCCATCGCCCCCGGGAGCGCCCCGAGCGAGAGGCGCCGCAGCCGCCCCAGGGACCCCC